CCTCCTAGGCATTCCAGTCACCTGGGTACACCCTGCATACAGTTGTTTCTACCGAATCTCACATCGAGGGTGGAGAAGTGTCTCGCTGCCCATTTTTCACAGCGACAGGTAAGGCAGGAAGAGTGAGATACTGTCAACGTTGCACCCTGACAGTCCCTGTAAATCGAATTGCGAAAGATCTAACGAGAACGGATATGGTACCCCCCGGTCCACAATGGTTGTGTACCTAGCTTACAGATGGATCATTTCTGTTGAAAGTGAGATCTGAGAGCTGAGGCTGCGATGGGGCACACGGAGCCGTGCTTCTAAGACTCCTTGGCTAGAGGGCCGCGGAGAAGGGTACGATACACGCGTGCTTGCAGACGAATGCGAAAGAGAGCAATTAACTCGATCCTCGAACCAGGAGTCGCAACACTTCGCAATACCAAGCAACCACGAGCCAATGAAAAAAGAATTCCAATCATACAAAAGCAATAAGAGACAAGTATCCTTGTGGCATATGTTGAATATGCCCCGACGCACATCCTCAAGCGCCCGCCCAGAAGCATCACACGCCCTCTCCGGAACGTATCGCCCACCTCGGTCTGACATGTAACGATAGACGGCTAGATCGCGGTCCATCGCAAAAGTACTGCGGCGGCGACGACTGGAAGAACACTGACCAGTTCACCCAACCCTGCAAACTCGGGCGGAATTCTGGCGTTGACAAACGCGCCAGCTCCAAGGAGAATGGCAAACAAGTTGTACACAAAGCTCCAGCCAAAGTTGAAGGTGATCCTGTGAATAGCCTTCTTGCTAATGGCAATGATGGTGAGAATCCCCGCAAGACTCGGACGCATGAGAACGACGTCCGCGGCGGACTTTGCGACGTCGGTTCCCTCGCCCATGTGCACGCCAATGGTGGCCTGGGCCAGTGCAACTGCGTCGTTAGTGCCATCGCCACAAAAGATGATGACAGGCTGTTTCGGATTATTCGGTCTGGATCCAGGGCTGTTCGAAAAAGGTTGAGACAGGAGGTTCCGGATGTACTCTTGCTTGTCTCCAGGGGTGCATCGGGAACGAACATTGAGATCAGGGATACCCAATCGTGAAGCTGTTGTTCGAACGGCACCATCATCATCCCCGGAGAGGATGTGAACAGAGATTCCGGAAGCCTGTAGAGTTGAAATGGTCTCATGAGCATCTGTGCGGATAGAGTCTTCAAGGCCAAAGACAGCAACTAAATAATCATCAATACTGAAGCAGAAGGCTGTATAGCTCTGGGATAGGACTGGTTGGACTCTAGGATCATTTGAGAGACCAAGCCAACGCGAGTTGCCAGCTCTCAGAGTGGCTCCGTCAAGTTTCGCCTCCATACCCTTGCCCGTCAAGGTTTTCAGATCCATAACGGCTGTAGGTGCATCATCGTTTGCCTTGAGATGAGTGAAAACAGCAGCAGAGACTGGGTGTTTGATATTACCGACGAGTCCGAGAAGCAACGATCTCGTAGTCGCTTGATCTTTGGTAAAGTATGCCTCATGCGCAACTCTTAGTTTTCCAGTTGTAAGAGTTCCAGTTTTGTCAAAGACAACGTGCGAAGTCTTGTAGGCAAGCTCAATGCTGTCAGCGGATTTGAAGACAACACCCTTTTCGGCGGCTACACCGCTCGCAATTAGAATGACTATAGGTACCGCGAGGCCTATAGCACATGGGCAAGATACAATAAGGACGGTGATGGCGTATGTGACTGCCTCGATAGTTGCTTCAGACCCAGTCTGCTTGCGTACAGTGATGCCAACGGCGATCCAGATTGAAAAAGTGATGATTGTGATGGCCACAACTACCGGCACAAAGTACGATGCGACTCTGTCAGCAATGTCCTGGATTTTTGGCTTAGAAAGCTTGGCCTCGTCGACCATCCCGGCGATATTGCTGATGGTATTGTTGCTAGGAAGCCTAGTTAGACGAATGGTAAGAGCCCCAAAGCCATTGATTGTGCCCGCAATGACGAATGATCCGGTAGTCTTTTCAACGCTTCCTGATTCTCCGGTCATCATTGACTCGTCAATTTCCGAGAATCCTGAGATGACTGTTCCATCGGTAGGGATTCTGGAGTCTGGGACAACTTTGAAGATGTCTCCGTACTGAAGAAGGCGGGCGTCGATCTCCATGTCTTCGCCAGCTGCGTTGATAATCAAAGCTGACGATATCTGGAGAGATCGTATCGAGATGGATTCGATGGCTTTTTGTCGCGCTAAAGCGCTCACATATCGACCAACCATGATGAGAGTTACAAGAAGGGTGCTTGTTTCGAAGAATTCGTCAGTCGAAAGGGGTTTGTGAGAGACAAGAAACCCAAATGAGACAACGGAGAAGATGTACGCGGCACTTGTGCTGAGTACAATCAGCAAGTCCATCTCGATGACTCTCGAAAAGATTAGACTCTTCAAAGCTTTTGGATAGAAGGGCCCGGCAATTGCAACTTGTACAATCGTCGCCAAGGCCAGAGATGCCGAGCCATAAGCAATTTCTCTCTTTGGAAGGGGTGCCCAGGCCATAATGAGAACGGGAATAGTCAGGATAATTGAAATCAATGTGATGAATCCCATGTTGCGAATGTGCTTACTTCCAGCCTCCAACGAAGGGTCTGCTCGAAGTGGCGCCAGAGTAAGAGGCGTTTCCCAGCCCGCTTCAACCAGATCGCGGGCTCCAACGACCTTCGCATCAAATTCTACACGGACACTAGCCTTGTCCACAACGCGTATGTATGTGACTCCATTGGGCCATGGCTGATTGATGAAGTCCTGGGGATCGCAAGGGCAGAGGATGTCAACACTGGCAGCACCCTGTGTAGTCATCTTTTCGCATTTGAACTCAGTGGTTCGTTCGAGATGCTTGATGACTTCGTCCACCGAGCCAGCGCCGATGTTCAAGTCAAATTCGGCTCTCGCCAATACCAAGCTGGTCTTGAGGTTTTTGACTGCCTCCACTGTGGCCAGAGTTCGCCTGAGCTTGGTTTCGCATCCAGTGCAGGTCATACCAGAAATGCTCAGAACGACGTGTTCCTTCCCAACCAGGCCCTGTTCGACATCTTCGTTGACATTCTTGGACTCTTGCGACAACGGTGGGTTGACAGGTCCTGGTGATGACTCGTCGCAACAAGAGTCAGCGCATGATCCAGCATTGCTCAAAGTTTTTCTCAGAGGCCTGGGTTTCGAGCAGCAACCATCCTCGCATGCATTCGATTTGATACCGGGGCTTGAAGGACGAGCAAGCTTTTTGCTGCACTTTCTTGCCGCCGGACTAGAAGCGAGTTTGCCCATCCCGGAAGCGCAGCAAGAATCAACTGAGACGCGATGAATAGATGCGGACTTCTTTGGAGACTGCTTCCTTTCGATGGAGGAGCGCTCACGGGGAGCGCAGCAAGATTCCTGGCCGAGAGCTAGAAGAGCACGACAGATACAGCCCAAGGCATCAAGCTTTGACTGATAGATCTCACGAACGCTTCGAGAGTGACCTCGGCATGCCTTGCCGTCTCGACCGCCGGTGCAATTATTGTCAGTGGAGCCTGGGGCGGATCATGTTAGCAATTAGGAACAACAACCTCGTTGGAGAGAAAAGCACCTTTGCGCAATTGGTATGGAGTTGGCGACATTCCGTTGGTGCATTCCCGCAAAGCGAGGCGATCGATGCAAGTAGAGTCGCAGCAGGGTGAAGTCTTGCCCTCGCAACAGCTAGGTGCTTTCTCTCCGCGAATGTCAGGTACAAAACCAGATGAGCAGGATCTCTTGATGCCATTTTCTGAGCAGATCTTTGGAGCTTCATCACCACCGGATTGCTTCATAATGACTGCCTTGCCCGCAATTGTCTCAATTGGCGTGGTCTTAGGACTGTTGACCGGTCTTTCTTCCTTCGCCGAGCCACAGCATCCTGACGAGCAGTCCTTGGGTTCCGGGACACAGCAGTCCTGATTGGGCTCGGGAGCATTGGCAGAGGCCGCAATAGACTTGGAGGCGAAGACGTCGCGTTCAGATTGGCGATCAACGCCAGGAAGTTTCTCTGAGAAGTCATTGGCAGATTCGGCGATGCTGTTGTCTTGAGCGCTGCGTACAGTAGCTTGATCGTTCTGAGACTTTCAGCAAGCGTCCACACAGATGTCTACCTCAACCTTTGGAGCGCACACCTTCGGAGCGCAACAATCGTCTTCAGCTTGTGCCGAATCGGTGTTGCCGATGTTAGACGCGGCGCAGCATTGCTGGAGAGCCGCGTTTCCAGAGGCTTGATCTCTTCCATGATCGGTATCATGGCATCCGGCCACCTTAGTATCGGATACGACATTCAAATCGCTCTCTTCGCTTTCGCAGCAGGTGTCAACGATATCAGGGACGCCGCCACCCGATACACTTGGGAGCAGGGCGCTTGGAGGCGGGGCGTCCTGAGCGACAGCTTGATCCCGGGCAGGACCGCAGCAGCCCGATCCGCAAGCCATTGGAGAGTTCTTCAAAGTGATAGTGCGATTCTCCTCGTTGCTCTCAAATTGTGGTTGTGAATGCAGCGTTTGATGGGACGCGTAGATGAGATGACACGCCCGCGGGACCTAACGGGAGATTCCGTAGGAACTGCGGGTCCGGTCTCGGAGGCACGTGCCCGGAGAGGTGGATCAACTCAGATCCCCGTCCGGCCTGCTTAGGTAATTTTCGCTCCGGGATCATGGCAGCCACAAGTGAGGTGGCGGTGCATCTAAGGGATTGGGGCTCCCAACTCTCCCCTCATCTCAAAATTCGATGCAAGCTATGGCAAGTAGGTTTTATGGAAGGAATCAGTTGACTTCAGATCCAATTTGATGCACAAAAGAATTTGGTGTCTGCATTCTCGGAAGTGGAAAATGACGCCTTGTTTCCTCCTCTGTCGCTGCGGACAACTTCAACACAAGGTAGCTTGAACCGACTTCTGCTGATGGCGAAGACATGAGCAGTCATCTTTCCCAACATTGCCATCGTGAACAAGTTAACAATATACAAGATTAGGATGGCATTAAGCTCTTCAACCCAAGAGAGAACCCCCACACGCGATAATCAACAATTTGTTTTCCCTTTGCAAGTCAAGGCAGTTTCCTCAAAGCTACTCATTCAACTCATGATCTCATCCCCGCCAGACTAGTGGGCCCTCACAGACTTTTGGCTCTTCTTGCTTGACTTTCCAGAGGATGACTTATGGCGCTTAGAGCTGTACTCCAGCTCAACCCTGTAAGCCGCGCCCCGGCTTGCTGAAGTTAAAGATCCATAAGACGTGTTACTGGGGGCAGATGATTTGTACGAGTTGTTGCTTCTTGAAGATGAGCCTGATGTGGATGGTGAAATAGCCTCTTCGTTCTCGTCTACAGGGGGAAATCCATTGATCTTGGATAGGGCCGAACCTCGGCGATGAGAACGGCTAGAAGAGCCGTAGCCAAATTTGCGGCTGGCAGTCCCCTGACGAAGCTCACTGAACGTCATACCTGGGGTAGTTGTTCGTGTTGGGACTACGCCAATCGGTTAGTTTTCTGCGCAAAAAGTACAAGTTGGAGGATGATTAAACCCACGGTAACGTGCACATTCCGCACAACATCCATGATCGCAAGTCTTGGACTCATCGACGGGGACGGCGATGCCATAACCCGAAGTGGCTTTTGGCATTGTGCACCAGCCTTGGGTATTGGGACCTTGATTGCACTGGCAGCAGGTCCAGGTGCCACCCATCGCCTTGAATTGGCAGTTGATCAGAGGACAGTCGGCATTGCTGGGCTGGGCGGTTGCATAGCTCAGATGTGAGCATGGAGTCTCTACACCTGTTTCAAGATCGATCAGGGCCGAAGGGCAGTAGTGCCAGTTGATCGAAGTATGCGAGCAAGGGTGCAAACGAGGGTGACCGTGACACATGGTGAAAGATGGCGATGAAGTGATGTGCAAATTTGTTGACACTTGACGGCGCAAGCACGCACGCACGATTATGAAATATTTGGAGTGGAAAACGAACGACTTATGGCGGTGAGTTTTACTGGAATAAGTCAACCCAAGCAGCTTGTTGCATCTTATATACTTCATTTTTCGGCTTTTTTGGTCACCTTTCCTTGCACATGACAAGGTCTGTACAAGATCACAGTATTTCCATGATCACTATTCCGTCCAAATTGCCGATGAACGCCTCCCTTGGTTTCTTTTCTCATATCTACTGACACACGTTCACTTCTTGCCAACCATCTCGAACACGACCCTCACTTCACATCTCATCTGTCATCATCTCTCGCTCACCGACAGTAAGGGTCGTGGTACCCTGGGTAAAACATGGCCCCAACTGACTGTTCCTAAGAACCCAATGTCTCGGGCTGCATATTGAATGGTTGGTTGGTGTGTTGCATCCAACTTGAGGGTGCGGAAACATAAGTCAGGCAGCCAATGAAAGATCGAGTTTATGCGGCCAAAAGTCTTCCAACACGCCCTATTCAAATCTGGGTGAAGTCCCCGACGGATAATTGCAGCTTTGTGTTACAGCGATCCACCTATTATTGCAACACGACGATCTCGGCCATCATGTGTGTTACGCGGCTTACATCGGATCTATGGAAATGAATTCCTCCACGAGTGGTTTGAGCAGCGGATGAAAAGCCCGCCCTCCCGGTGCCTGGGTCCGTAAGATCTCGCTAGGAGTTTTGACTAATGACTATCTTGTATTGGTCTAAAGGATGGTTTCACAATAATCACGATCCTTTTTCGGGGCTGATAATAGCCCCGATACCTAGCCTCGCCAATCGGCTGCTTGGGAATCTGAGTGGCCGGAAGAAAAGTGGCGTGAGTTCAATGTACGAGGGGTGGAGGGCTGGATCGGAATGCAAGAGTGCAGGATCTAGGGTTAAGTTGGGTAGCTGCTTAAGGTGACCCCTGTTGAATCTATCCGATCACGATCTCGAGATCATGTTCAAGTAAGGTAATAACAAGTACATGATCTGAAGAAAACCATGCAGGAACGCGGCACAGCAACTTATTGTGATGAGATTTCAATGAGTTGGGAAGATTAAGATAGATCGCACAATGTGTGAGACAATCCAAGGTCTGAGATTCTCCTGCAAGCACCCATCGCCACCGGCGATGGCGATGACTGTCATTATGAGGTATTGTTGGATAACTTGATCACTACAGCATTGTTAAAGAGAAAACAAGTGGAACCCAACATGTCTGTCCCGGCATCCTCCATTGATTCATTATTCCCCCTGGGTTTGAGATCGTCCAAAGATATGTTGTCCTGGCATCCAGCCACATGATGAACTAATGCAGACTCTTCGTCCTTCTTCTCTCGCGCCCCCTCAAATAAAAAGACGTTTATTGCCACATGCCACCTAATCCATTATTACACGATCTCCTTGGGAAGGTTCAACCATCCATAGCGGCAGTACACGTCGAGCAGCAAATATGCTCGCAGCGGTACTCGTTTCCGTCAATGATCATGATGCAACTGCACCTGCCTCCATCATTCCAACCCTTGCCGCACCAGCAGCAGTTCCAGCATCGATTGCGGCTTTCGAATGGGCAGTTTGCCAAAGGGCACTTTGGCAAGGCTCGCTGGTCATATCCTGGAGGGGGAGGATACGGAATGTTTTGCTGAGTGACATCTTTGCAAGTCTTGCGCTTGGAGGGATCTCTTTTCGAGGATGCAGTTGCTTTTGAGCAGTATTCGATTTGAGTCTGAATATGCTCACAGGGTAACTTGAAAGCTATCGTATGGCACATGCTGTCTTGCCTCGAGGTTTTCGTATGTACTAGTGTTTGTTGATTTCAGGATCTCGCAGATGGAAATCTAGAAAGATGGAGGAGCTAGACTTGAAGAATGAAGCTGAGGGTTTGGAAGCTCAGAGATGATGTGATGCTTGATGATCAGATGATACCTCTGCTTCCTGGAAGACTAATCGACCATTCTGGGGATTCTATCATAAACTATATACTCAGAGTTTTTGGATAGAGATCAACAGAAACAGGAAGGTTCGGCGATCTGCTCCGACCTGTCGGTAAGCATATTGAGGCGGCCACGATTTCTTCCCCTTCCCCTGACGATCAGTAACCACTGCATCGGGTCTCAAGCGAAGGCTTTGGCGGCCTGTTAGCGAGAGGCGAGCAAATGACTCGCAAGATGCATCCAAGATCAAATAGTTTGAAGGGTTATTGAAAGAAAAACGTGGCAGCCAGGTCTCTGATATGTATCAGGGACCGACTTCGGACGCATTGAATCACGGAGCTGGATCCGTACCTACTTTCCGTGAGAAAGAAATCGCAAAAGGCACTTCAGTCAGGCAAACGTGCGAACCATCTGTGTGAAACACGCAGTTGAAAAGATAGCATCTCGATTGGTCTATATTGCTTCATGTGTTGCAAAGGCTCCCATGCCTCTTCGTCTCCATCACTGAGCCTCGTGCGTGGAGTTGGGCTCGTGGTGATCAGCCAGGAAGCAAGTTGATCGCCAGGAGGCGCTCTCGGCCGATGAACACACCCCCTGCCCAAGGTCATCTCCAATTTGACTGGTCTTCATCCCGATCCATGTACGACCCGAAATCAGCTGCTGGACTAGGGCCTAAAAGCCTAGACTCTGATATCCATTTTTCCACGGCCCATGAAGAGCCGAGAACTTGGATGTGGCGGCTGGTGAACGAGCATCGAGTGAGATATGGCGCCACTTCTGGAATAACAAATCGTCGGTCTGTTGAAAGATTCCAAATCACTTTTGCAAACTCCTCGTGTATTCTTTCCCGTCTCCACGTCGTCGCCTATCAATAGAGCTGGCTCTGCGAAGCCCTTCAACTTGTCTTGCTCTGGTGCCGTCGTTAGGACTCAGGTGTTAGTGTCCGCCGTGCAATTCCTGCAGACTCGGTGGTAGCAGAAAGTGTCCGGACTCTTCTTCATTTTGTGTCGACACCAGCGGAGTGTGTTGCTGCCTCTGCTGCATTGACAGCAGATCCAATAGCCATTCAACTCTTGCAAACGGCAGCTGCCGGCGCTACAATCTGGAGAAATAAGACAACCTCCGGTTGCGCAAGGATTATCAAAATCAACGTTCTGGACAGCATTGGAAGTGACCCTATCGCAGGGAGTCTGGAAGCTGCCATCTGAATCTCTTCCAGCATCTATGCAGAATTCCCAATGGAAGACATTGTCAATCGGCCGAGGGCACGGTTGAACGTGATGATGGTGAAGGTAAGACCAAGTGCACATGGTCGAAGTCCTTGAGCTGAGTTGAGAGATGCTGAGGTAGGTTTGGTTTCCACAAGGGCTGATGCCGTATGTTTTTCCCCGTTTAGGTATTCAGAGGTAATGGTGTATCGAAAATGTCGAGACCAGGAACGAAAAGAAGTCCTAGACAAGATGCGGAGACCGATCTCAAGGACAGGAAATTCCGTGGTTGATCGAAATATGACGTGACACAAAGATGCGAGCTCCGGATAGATGTTTTGTGTAAGCAGTGGGAGCCAAGAGACGGATCGAGATATTGCGGACTCCAGGCGAACTAGGTATATTGAGTTCGATGGAGCTGAGTGTTGGTTTAGGTCAATTTCTGAACAGAATTCCGATAAAACTGGTTCTCATAAGTGGCCTGCATCTGCCAGATGAGATGATAATGAGTTATCAAGTGAAAGCCAGGTGACTCAAGGAAGCGGTTTGATCTTGATTGGGACGGTACTCTGTGATTTTTGATGCTGTTGCTGCCGACTATTTCTGACACCTCTGAGTGCAGATATGAACGCTCTTATACACGATATCATTTGACTCTTCACAGGTTCCCTGCCGCACTTCACAGCTGCTTCTCGCTGGATTCAAGGATTGGGAATCTGGCCCATCCCAAAGCCCCAGCTGGTCGTTACCACGCTGTTGGGACCTAACCACCTCATCTCTCAGATGTTTGCCTCATGGACCCTGAGGGAATGGCACGATTCCTCTTTCAGGCTTCAATAATTGGCCGCCATTGTCAAACCCATGGGTCGCATTTCTGACTGTCCCTCCGGAGAATGGCGAAGCACGTGGCTTGCGCATGCTTACCGGTCTTGCAACCAGGGTTCTCTTCAATGTGAAGTTCCAATGATATCAAGTGAAATGAGACACAGAGACACACTTTTGTAACAATGCACAACTTCGGAAAGATTGCCTTTTCGTCGCCCATATGGAGGCCACATGAGATGGGCATGGCAATCAGCCACAAAGGCGCTGTTCACCCTAGCTCCCACGAGTTGCCAATCTCATTTCCGGGCTACTGGTCCCGATCTCTAAGGCTGGCTGTACTAGCGATGATATTTGTCTATCATCGTGATGTTCGAAGGCGTTCTGGAAACCCCCTAAAATCTGAACTGCAACTTTCTCGAAGCTGAGATGGGACAGCACCATGTACCCCAGAGTTGCCTTGTCACAGAGTGGATGTACAGCATTTTCGTGTGCTCCCGGGCCTCACGCTTCAGTTCCACGAAGGACTGCTTACTGCCAATGATGAGAAAACGTCAAGTCTCCCCTGGCAATGCCAGTGTAAGAGATTGACGACTCAATGCATCTTAGGTATTCGCAATCACGTCGGCTTGTTCGAGGAGGAAAGAGGGGTAAGCACAATGAGATAACATGATGTACAGAGTAGAGGGCTCACAGCCTGTATCCGATTATTCCCTTTGGCCCTGCCTCATCGACAGCTGCAAGATGTGATTCAATCTTCGATTTGGATTCGGGATCGAGATTTGGATGTTCATTAGCAGGAGTCGAGTTACTATCGACTGACTCCCATGCATCACCGGCGTTTGGCGCGGTTAATTAGGTCACACATGACTTAGTCTACAGTCTTCAGCCCGAAATTCACGGCAGCTGTGTCTTCCAGTCACGGGATTGCACCATAGATAACGGACATCAGACTCTGTTAGAATATTCTTGCGTGATTTTCGCGCTGCTATTGGTGACCACCAACGGTTCCGATATTCAAGAGTCAAGTAAGAGAGCTCGTACAAGGATCCTGACATGTAGCAGCTAACATCATGCGGGCGCAACTCCAAAGAGATGATCTAGCCAAAGTTACAAACTCAAACCATAATGTCCGATAGCAATGTTCGTCCAGTTCCGACGCAGAAGGTCAGACTACTGTAAGGCACGTCGAATTGATCACTCATTGCAAGGCGCAGCTGCTTCTGTGGCTGTTTTAGATGGTGACACTGCAGGGGATCAGCAGAAAGTGCGATAAAGGTCTGTCAAGTCATGCAAGTTAGAGTAGAGGCCACGGATGGCTGGTATCGAGGCTTCCTGGCGTATTTTCCTGGTCCCGAGAAACCGGAAGTCCATTCTTCAGCGACGGGGTGGCTGAAAAGAGATACCAAACACCTCCGGCCAACCTTATCTCACTTGATGGACCGAAGTATCATGATCTTATTCCTGACCAGTAGTCTTGATCGAGTCTTACTATCCTAGGGCTTTGACCTTTCGCGTATTGTTAGACATCGGGTCGGAACACTCTTCCAAATTGGGAATTCGTGCCGGAGATATATCATTCGAGAGCACATCCGCCTACCGAGACTGAAATGCGGCTGTATCTTCCCGTCGGCTACACAAGGTCAAGCATTGGCACCGCGGTTACCGGCAGAGCGGGGAAAGCGCAAGACCTTCCCCATTGAGATGCGCCTATATCAACCAGAAGGACTGCTGGAGCCGAGAAAACCACGGAAATATTCAATAGCTTCGCTCCTCAGAGCTCAACGAAAGCTTACGGCCGGAGAAGTCGGAGACTACTAGGCTTCATGGGCAGTTGAAGCTTGAATTGGACGAGATGGGGCTTGAGAGTTCAACACAGGCCGTCACACAGACGTGTCTGGATCAAATTGGGGCAAGGTTTTGCGGTGGTACAGAAGGCCTAGATCTGAAAGATTGAAAGTTGTACGAGTGGGAGCCCTGAAAGTCCATGTCTCAGTAAACGACATTTAGCTCCGCCATTGAGAGGCCAAGTGCTCGGAAAGTAAAAGGATTCGCCAGTTAACGATTCATAACGCCCAAAAACGACCGAGTAGGTATAGCAGCTCTATCCTAGCTGTTTGCTGATGTAGTTTTGGTTTTTATTACACAGATTGCTCGCCCTTCATAGTCCGCGCTTATCGAAGGCATGATACATGACCTACGCGAGGCAGGTACGACTGACCGGACAAGCGCATAACCTAATGGTAATACAATGACATGCTGAAGGGCACATTCTCTTTTGAAGCGTAAGTGTTGCGATTACTTGGTGATAAATAGCAAATATGTCGGTCAGATCTTCAACGCACACCACCGTTCATGAGAACCATCGACCGTGTGTCCATCTTCATCAAGTGTCTCCAGATTCTACTACAGAGCAACCAAAGGGTTTTGTTTATCTCATGTAACCATAAGCTCCTGGATAATTCACGGAAAGCTGAAGTGGTGCTAAGACATCTAAGCCCCTCTTGGTCTCAGTCAATGAGACGGAAACTGCCAGCTCCCCTTCGATGGTAGAGAAGTGAGCAAGACAGTTCACCGCTCCTATCGCACTCGTCTTAGTCTAGAGTGCATGATTGGATGCCCCTCCCGAAAATCAGCATGGAAAACATGGAATGGCATGATCGTCAGCCAAGGGAGCTCTCCATGAGCCGTTTGCATTCCAGACTTTTCAGAGGAAACGCCAATCACCACGTTCCTCCCCGCATACTTCGTCTGAGCCATGTTAATGAGACTCAGCTAACAACAATCGTGGAGAGCTGAAAATTCTCAGCCGCTCCACGAGAACTCGACGGCAGTTGACCGTTCAACCTCTCACCCGCACCCGTAGTTGCCGGTGGTTGTCTTGCCGCATCTAGGCAAGTGGTGATCCACGGTTCGAACCTTCTTAACCTTGTTAACTTGGTGTTATCTCAGTACACACTGATAGTCCCTTGCTTGCCGGCCCGTTCCTTGGGCTGGGCCGGGGCTGGCAGCATCAAACGCGGGCTGTGGCTCCGGTCTGATATCCCTCTTATATCTCTTCATGCGAGTATTTTCCCTTCCGAGATTCCCCAGCGGTACTTTGAAGATCACTTCTTGCCCTTCTTAAGATGTATGCGACGGATACAATTCGGATTACTGGAGTACCTACATACATCATGTTAGGTAGCCCTTAATAAAGATCTGTCGCAGCGCCACACGTGGCGCTGTCGGTTACTGCCGTACGATACCGCTTTCCACAAGCCGATTACCCGTCTTGTACGGTATATAGATATGACCCTCATACGGATCTTCCACTTGCTACCTCGCTTTGTGATAAGATCGAATATGGAAATCCTTTCAGCCGTATTGGAAGGTTCTGGCTCGAGTGAAGATCACCGAATCTTATCCCTCAGATAACTTGGTGGAATCCCGTGGCGGTAAGCATTTTTACCAATTCACGTTCCATGTCCGGTTGCGAATATGTGTCGAAGCGCCACGCCGTTCCAGTCCAAAGTCATCACGGCCTCGAATGTATCCCTCCCCAGCCATCAAGAGACTGCGGGCTAGATGGTCCGCGAACGACAATGAAGGCGAGAAACTAGGCCTCCAGACATGATAACAAACCTACGCTAATCGTGCTCAAAAATGCTCAAATCCCCTTTCTCATGACTCCCCTGGACCAGAGCTTGACGAGCAGGTCCCTATCATTTATCTCGTAAGCCAGCTTTCGAGTTGCACCACGAACTAGCCACCATGTTGGCCTTCGCCACGTCTGGATCATCGTAACCGATGTTGCCAATTCGCTTTTTGGTTCACCCTTTTTCGGGATGGACCCCAACAATACCTAGGAGCCAAGTTTAGCTGGTCTCACATCGACCTGGAGACTGCCGGACATAAACATCTCGTCTTTACGCTTCCTGGCAGCAACATTGATAAGTTTGTCTGCGACTACCGTCATATGAGAGATAAAGGCTTCAGGTCATGTGGTACTGCAGACGATCGGAGCTGTTGGCTTCGTAATCCGAAAACTGGGGAAGAGTTCAATATCACAACCGATTACGAATACAGGGTGCCGCAAGGTGTCAAACGTGTTTATCACCTGGACGTCACAGATGGCTACGTCAATGCGAACGGTCTGAATTTCACCGAAGCAAAGATGTTCAACAACTCTTGGCCTGGGCCTCTCATTGAGGCTTGCTGGGGCGATACTGTCGAGATCCACGTCACGAATCTTCTCGCCAACAACGGAACCAGCGTCCACTGGCATGGCATTAGACAGAATCAGGCAATGCACATGGATGGTGTCAACACGGCATTACGCAGTGCCCTATTGCCCCGAATTCCACCTTTATTTACCAGTGGAATGCCACGCAGTACGGGTCCTCGTGGTACCACAGCCACTACTCGGTCCAGTACGCCGATAGTCTGCAAGCTCCCATTGTAAGTCTATACATACTTAGGTTTCCAGACTTGTCAAGGATCGTGTGCTGATCGTACTTCAGACCATCCACGGACAAACATCCTTCCCGTACGACGAGGCTATCGAGCCAATCTCCATGAATGATTGGGGTGAGTCGGGCTGAAACCATGTCTGCATTGTCCGGTTGTGTCGAGCTGATGCTAATTAATGGATTCCAGCGAACAATAGTGCGTTCCAAAACCTGTAAATAAGCCCATCGGCACAAGACATACTACTGAGTGGCTTCGGGAACATCGCTCGATTCACCGGTGGAGGTATTGAGAACACCACAGAGATTCCCCGTGGCTATGAAATTTGGTTCGATGACATTGAGCCCAACCCCAAGACGAGAGCGAAGCGGTATCTCTTGCGCCTTGTCAACACTGCTTTCCAATCGACATTCGTCTTCTCCATTGACAACCACAACTCCACAGTTGTTGAGGCAGACTTCGTTCCCATCGAGCCATTCAACGCAACTTCACTCCTCATCGCCATCGGCCAGCGATACCACATCATCGTCGAGGCAACGCCGGTTGTCAACAGCTCGAACCCCGATGCTAATCCTATACCGGAAGATCGCAGTTTCTGGATTCGTACGCATGTGCCACTAAATACCACCACAAATCAGACAATGGAAGGCGGCGCCACGGTGGACGCCAACAACTGTATGAAGACTGGTATCCTGCGATACGACAATTCCAGTACAGCAGATCCTACTAGCACGGCTTGGAACATTAGCCTCGTCGTCTCAGATATAAACTTGTGCCCACTGTTCCCTGGACGGTAGGGCCACCCTCAAATGGCCGTGTTGGTGAGCAATTCAACGTCGCAGACCTGAGCAATGCAGCAAACCACAATCGACCATACTCGACGGCCTTTTTCTCTTTCGAACGGCCGGATAGCAAGAACGAGCGACCCTTCCAGACCACGTGCGGCAATCCTACCTTCTTGAACCTCGACAATGTTGGCGATGAGTGGCCAACGGGATGGGTGGTTGCGCCCGAGAACTATACCGCAGATGACTGGGTGAGTTTGATTGTGCGTAGGACACTCTGATTGAATCTGTTACTGATTGGTGATTCTTCACGTAGGTTTTATCTAGTTCTCAACTCCGACAATAACGATAAAACTAATCACGAAACGTTCGGCCCTCATCCCGTGAGTAGCGATAGCACTAGCCCCTGCCTAGAACCTTGATACTGACTTCGTTCAGATCCACCTTCACGGCCATGACTTTGCCATCATCCAGCAGGAGGATGATACGCTATGGGACATAAAAGACTTCAAGCCCAACAAAAACAAATTGAATAATCCTCCCCGTCGGGACGTGGTAGTCCTCCCCAGGAGCGGCTATGCCGTCATCGCCTTCAAATCAGATAATCCTGGCGTGTGGTTGATGCACTGCCACATCGCTAAACACGCCTCCACCGGCCTGTCTTTGCAAATCATGGAACGACAAGCCGAGGCAAACATTATTTGGCAGCCCGGAAACTCTATGGCCCTGGATAATGCCCATAAGCTCTGTGCTAGCTGGAATACCTGGGCCTACGACTGCAAGAACTACTGGCCTGGGAACTTGGGTACAGACGATAAGCCGGATTATCCTGCCTGCGCCAATGCCACCAACCTCCAGAACGATTCTGGAGTCTAAGGTCGGAGATTCAGACTAATGGGATAACGAGGTTCAGTAAGGTAGTGTGTCGACGAGATTAAGACGGTCTATTTATGACGAGGGGGGGTGATGGGAGGTGGAGGGCCAGTGGGAGATCACGGTATGAGAGCGCTGAAGAGTCAGCCAGGGCGAGCTGTCGAGAAGAAATCGATAAAGATAGCAACATGACTGATGTCCATGATTCCCGATAAATGACATCCGTGACCAATGTCCGCAACACAAGGGGCGAAAAATTGCGACAGTGAGACCAGTCAATCCGTTCCATCGGAGCAAACACCGTAGATGCTGCTCTTATTATCTCTTATTATCCCTTCAGCTCTTCCGGCCGGACGGGCCCATGCAGCCGTGGAGCCAACCCTCCATCAAATGTCAAGCTCACACATAGCCCAGCCAATGGGCACATTGCCATCGTATTCTGGTGTGGTATGCGACCCAGCGGCACGGGTGTCGCGTGGCTTATCAAACGGGCGAGAAGCAACGGCCAAATCTGATGGTGGCGTTCTGCGTCTGCGCTTTTGAAAACGCATGTAAGCGCTGACGCCCAGAACAGATATACGAGGTAGCGGTTCTTTTCGAAGGAACATCGTTCGGGACAGCCTTGACTTATGTTTTCCAGTCTCACCATCCCACGTCGCAACTTCAGAGCAACAAAGACAAGGTGAGAGTAACCATGGATGAGATGTGTGAGTTGGCAGTGGACGCTGTAGAGTGGGTGTCTGGCTGGCCGGCTCTGTTACTGGCGGCGAATTTCCCGGGATCAACTTCGATGAGACTTGTGCGAAATCATCTTTATAAACCCTGGCTAGAATCACGACCCGAAGTCAAAGCCTCATCTAGGACTTACGAGCACCTTCAAAAATCACCTACGATGCCATTCACAAAGTTCGCCGAGCTCCCCGCCGAGCTCCGCCTCAAAGTCTGGAACGAAGCAGCAGCCGGACCCTCAATACACATCTTTGATGTCTGTTTCCCGTCATGGCGGGGCACTGATCGAAGCAGACGGGTCTTCCAGTCGACAGACGGCAATATTTCAGAAGACAACCATGCCAGATGGACAAAGTATAGAGAGTGCGTCTTCCTGGATGCCCTCGAAACCGGGCCGGCAGAACTTGCGCGGCAGACGAGGATAGCGAGACATATGCACAATCCATCCGTCTACAAACAACGACAGACGATGCGGCTAGTCTGCTCTGAAGCCTCGGCAGCGGTAGAGAGGCGGTTGAAGGGACGGAGCATGAACTCAGTCTATCTACCCGGCCGAAACCAGAGAATACAGTACGACAATGAAGAGGACGTGCTGCTCTTGCGGTTCGGAGACGGCGGTGCTCTCACAGATTTCAGCCACGGGGTTCTGTTTGGCGAGTTTGAGGCGTCGGGGGTGAATAACCTGACTGAGGTGCTCGAAGGGCCGTGGAGCGCCGAGATGGCGGAGACGTTGCGTGATGCGCGACTCATCGCACTGGATATTGCGGAGACGTGGACGCCGGCGACGGTTGGAGCGGTGATGTTTGAAGAGGTGGCATATTTGGCGTGTTGCATTCAACGAAAATTGCGAGTACTGTACTTGGTTGACCATTGCCACGGCCGATGTACCCGGTGCAAGAAGCAGGATATCACGAGATCTCAGCTCCAGACTCGTGGTGGGCTATATGATCAGCTTCACAGTCGAGATATAGACGCGGCTAGATTGCGGCCAGCGGATGTGATCCATGGCGTGGGCAAGACATATCGGGAGGTCTTTGACTTGGAGGGCATGGGTTGGTCGGACGAGCACCCGATCTACGTGTTTGCGAGGGTGATGGACGAGATGATTAGGAACCAGCAGGCAGACGCGGATACGCAGGATTTCGAGGGGATCAGGGTGTTGCTGGTGCAAGACGATGAGTTGGAGGGCGTGGACAACACCACGATGATGGATTGTTTTCCGGACGGCCGTCCGGAGGTCGCCAATGAGGTTATGAACATGAGCCTGCGGTGGTCGGGCTAGCGACGCGGGTGAGAATGTGAGACTGTTTGGCGCGAGAAGTGCGAGATAAGCTGACTGCCATGATGAAGACCGCTTATTCCGGCTGGGTGAAAGAAGTAGTTGGATCGAATCGTCTGACGTGGGGCAACAAGAAGCGGATTTGATCGAAATGAAGAACGCCTAAACGAAGGATGCGAGCTGGGGAGGGACACCTTGTATTACTATAATCTCTGGAAGAAGAGACTTTATTGACAACAATGTGGCCGCCGTAAACATTGACAAAACGTGCTGAAGCCCACCAGTTTTTCTCTACTGGGAATACCTTTTGACGCCATACTATGCATATACCACGCAAGCTCAAAACCACACATACACGTATAATTACCTCGCTAGAAACTGTGAGACGGACATGTTAGCAATGGGTATCAGGACAGGGGATGGTAGAGGCCAATCTTACCGTATCTCATAGGAACCCGCCCTCGTCATGTACCGCACCCACTTGACGCTCGAGTAGTTACTCTTTTCAAACACCTTGAGGTATCTAACCAAAAGACCTGAACTCGTAAACATCAATAAGCTAAAGTTGAGGCTCAGAGGCGGCCGCGACCAGGCGCGCTGGTTGGTCATGCTCGTCAAGATGGCTTCGGCACTCAAAACAAACTCGCTCTGTCCCGTAAACCGCCCAATTTTCCACACAATGTTGTTCTCGCTGGGCTCGTATTTGGCCTTGCCCTGGGTGCACCGTTCCGTGATCTTAGCAGTGTTGAGCGGTGTAGGGATGCGGACGACGACGTTGGTGGCGAAGAGCTTTGCGCCAAAGTTTGCTTTGATGCCGATGCTGTATTCGACCTTTGTGCGGCCGACCTCGTTGACGATAGCGTGAATCTTGAAGGGGAGGTTGACGTTCTCGGTGGCGCGGTAGCGCATGAGCTCGAACTCGCCGTCGGGCGGGACGAAGGAGATGATGCGGTCGCTGTCGAACTTGCCGAGCTTGACGCACTGGTGGAACTGGCAGTCTTCGAGGGTGACGCTGCCCGCGGCGGCCTTGGTGGCCTTGGTTCCCATCCTATTTCCGCTCGGTAGACTCAGGAGCCCGTCGTTATCGAGAAGTAGCCGGTCGTTGAGGCCGAACTTGCACTCTGGTGTACCGGAGAGGTAGGCGCGCATGACGATCTGACCAGTGACGTCGGCGCGGAGGACGGCTCCCGTGGCAGACATGAGGAGGTTGACGTCTTCGATCACGTCGACAAAGGCCTCGTTCTTTCTGTACTTAACATCTGCCTTGCGCCACGAGAGCGCGCCTGTTGCCTGCATTGTAATCTTGGCCGAGTCTTCGGCAGCTCGTTCCGTCTTGACGCCTTCGGTGGTAATGTACATCTTGAGGGTATCGGTCTCGGTGTTTTGAGGGTAGCCAAAGTCAATGATCTCTAGATAGCAGGCGTTAGAAAGGCACACCAATAACACACCCCATTGAGTTGGTAGAAACATACCGTCGAGCAGCTCATAGACAAGCACGAAGTTGTTCTTGACAGCCTCCTCATCAAACTTGCCAAAGTAGCCCCGTCCCAACGCAATTAAGCGATAGAGGAACTCAAAGACCAGCGCAGCATTCGCATTGCTCTTGGTAATAGCAACAAGGTAGATGTTCTCATGCTTCACGTGGCTGAAGGTGGTGCTTCCTAGGGTCAAGATGGGGGACCGGACTTGTGAGTTCGAGATCACTTGAATCCGGAAGACGTCGGCAAGTCTGGGCCTGCAATCATTGCGAAAGGCGCGGAAGATGAGGTTCTCGCCCTTTTGATTGAAGATGAGGATTCCGGACAACATCGTGGCGGGTCACGGGGGTGAGGGCGCGCGCGAGGGGAGCGACCACGGGGAATTGACTAGCGGACGGGAACTCGGAAGGGCGCGTGGTGTTCACGGTAGTAGATTTGGCGAAATGGGATGTTGGCGATTATCGAGACAAAGGGTCGCAGGCGGGACACGGCGGGGACTGCGGCGGGAACTGGCTCGGTCAGCCGTCAGGGGAGCTTCCACTTTGCGACTTGGTCGAGGGGGACGGTTTCGGGACCGGCGGGAAATTCTGCCAGGCTCCAAAAGGGTCCGGGCGGTGAAGCTCAGGGTGGACCGGCGCTCCGTGCGGTATGGGTCTGCCTGGTCCATGCTTGCTGCCTTAGGTAAGCCGTGCCTTCCCGAGCTGGCTTATGTAATCTATCCACGTGCCCGCACTTGACGTGAAATGGTGATTATGTCAGCACAGTGCCTCTGGACCGTGCCAACATGTCTTGACACCTTTGCACCCGTCGTCTTCTTAACAACAGCACCCATCACCACACCTGAACGACAACAAGGCGCCACAGTCATAATCCACAGCCGCATTTCTGCTTTGCATTCTCTGGCTGCGATACGGAGAGTACGATATTGAGAACGGGGCTGTGTGTCCGAAAGATGCGTGTCGGGTCCACGAGTCCTTGGCACCTCACCACCAAGAATCTGTCTCGACACGTTCGCCTCACCACCCACCAACTACATAGCTGATGCTACACGAGTTTCGGTTGACATTCCCACCTTGCGCCAGTTCCGTTGTATTCAGCAGCTTCCAGCGGCTTCCGATCTTATGGATGTATTCAGGTGAAGCCATCTACCTTACAAAAACCACCGTCGATGCGACCACGACAATAACATGAGGTTGCTGGAGGTCAGGACTCGACGAAACGTCAATTTGGATCGTTCCCACAGACCTGGGAACCCTAGATTGATTTTCGATGGTTATTAGGTAGGCAATCAGTATTGATTGCTTCCACTCTTGACACTCATTAACCTCATTAACACCAGACAGGCCCGAGTACCACGGCACCACCAACGACGCGGTTCACCACCACACAACCCCCAATTTCTCCAACTCGCTTGTCGTCCCTTGCGTCTTGCTTTGCGGCTCCTACCACTCGACACACTTGTGTCTATCTACGGATTAGTATGCTGATGGTACCTGTCTCTGTGCCTTGAGCCAAGCTACTTTCGCTTCGGCTTTCGATCCGCCAATTTTGCATCTCGAGACTGGCTACCTCCGTCTTCCACATACGTTTTGTGACGCGGTCGCGATGCAGTCCTCCGTCTTTAAATTAAACGGCATAGGCACGCCATTCCCTCTCAGTGTTCTCTCGGGCGACAAAGCCGACTTTCCAATGGAGAGTTTGCTGGATTGCAACTTGACCGGAACGATTCAAAGAGCTTCCCGACCCCTCATGGCACCCTCTTCGACCGTCCCCACATCCATCACGCCCCCATGACCAACGCGCTCTTCCCTTCGTGGCTAATATGGAGCGTCGCCTCCGAAATGACTTACACTCCGTTACATTCAACCCGCGCTTTGCCCACACCTTGGTTGGCGGACTTTCCTCCTCGACGCCATTGAATATCGACGACGGCCGTAGCTTGTTGCACCGCCAACAATTGATGGCTCCATGCCCAGCTTTAGGGGCATGCTCAGCATGCCGTCAACCAGGCGATTTCATGGTTCGAGACCCTTACTTCGGATGTCTCTTCCATAACTCCATAGACCCATGGCAGCGATGGCTCCCTCGGCTCGCTCTACTTCCTCGACGCTTTTCTCAAAGGAGTAATCAAGCTCAAGATGCCGTACCTTCGCTCCGAAATCATGGGGCAATGTTCCTCTCCCGCCGGCAGCCCAGAATAAGCCCAGGAGACGTCCATCCCGCCATTCCGAAAGGCCAAGCGGTGTGTTCAAGAGACTTGAGTCCTCAACTATGGTTGGGAACATGATAAAAGGGCCAGCTCCCAGATTGAACATCCCAAGTTCCTGAATTGCAGCCCACAGACACCATCCTCTCTAGAGTCAAGCTATCATCACTCAGAACCGAAGCAATAATGGCTGCTCGCGCTCTCCTCACCGCGGCCCTCTTGGGTACTGCTGCTTTTGCCGTCCCTATCGAGGAGAGGCAATCTTGCGGCGCCGTCTGGTAAGTAGAACTCGAAGTTCAGACGAGGAGAGAACCTGACTGGCGACTAGGGCACAATGTGGTGGCCAGGGCTTCACCGGCCCTACGTGCTGTGCTTCTGGCAGCACTTGCGTCGTCAACAATGCCTACTACAGCCAGTGCTTGCCCGGCAGTGCTTCGTCTTCAAGCTCTGCTGCCACTTCGACGACTGTCCGCTCCAGCTCTTCTGCGGTCGCCAGCACTTCCCGAGCCTCGACAACCGCCGGGGCCGGCACCACCACCACAAGTGCCGGGACTGCCACCACCAGCGCTCCCGCAGTCACCGGCGGTGCGACCTACACGGGCAACCCCTTTGCCGGCGTCAACCTTTGGGCCAACTCATACTATGCTTCAGAGATTACGACTTTGGCTATCCCGTCCCTGAGTCCTGCTCTGCAGACTGCGGCTGCTGCCGTTGCCAAGGTCCCTACCTTCATGTGGATGTAAGCCATATATGTCAAAGACCCCGCTGTTGGAATCCTGCTTGTGCTGACACCATCCAGGGACACTCGCGCCAAGATTCCCTTGGTTGACTCTACGCTGGCCGATATTCGCAAGGCCAACGCAGCTGGCGGCAACTACGCTGGCCAGTTCGTCGTATATGATCTTCCCGACCGCGACTGCGCTGCTGCTGCCTCCAACGGCGAGTACGCTATCGCTGACGGTGGTGTTGCCAAATACAAGGAGTACATTGACGCTATCCGCACCATGATTCTCAAGTACTCTGACATTCGCATCCTCCTTGTGATCGGTCAGTACCTCATCTTACACCCATCAATATGGACGAGTCCTAACTTCCCAATCCAGAACCCGATTCCCTCGCCAACTTGGTCACCAACCTCAACGTTGCCAAGTGCTCCGGTGCCCAGGCCGCCTACCTTGAGTGCACCGACTATGCTGTCACCCAACTCAACCTGCCCAATGTCGCCATGTACCTTGATGGTGGCCACGCGGGTTGGTTAGGAGTAAGTTTTGGTCGCACCACGCACCACGCCCCATACATGTTCCTATGATCTGACATACTTCTCCAGTGGGCTGCAAACTTGGGACCCGCCGCCAACATGTATGCCAAGGTATACAAGGATGCCGGCAGCCCCAAGGCTCTCCGTGGAATCGTTACCAACGTGGCCAACTACAACGCCTGGAGCGTCAGCTCCCCGCCGTCCTATACTTCAGGTAAATAGTCCCCGTCCAGTGGTCTAAGGGTTGTGTTCCTGACCCGTCTAGGCAACTCCAACTATGACGAGAAGCACTACGTCGAGGCCCTGCAGCCTCTTCTCGCCGCTCAGGGCTGGAATGCTCAGTTCATCGTTGACCAAGGCCGCTCCGGTAAGCAGCCTACTGGCCAGTTGGCCTGGGGTGACTGGTGCAATGCCATCGGCACCGGCTTTGGTCTTCGTCCATCCACCAACACGGGCTCGTCGCTTGTTGATGCCTTTGTCTGGGTGAAGCCTGGTGGCGAGAGTGACGGTACTTCCCTCTCTACCGCCACCCGCTACGACTACAACTGCGGCAAGGAGGACGCTCTGAAGCCCGCCCCTGAGGCCGGAACTTGGTTCCAGGCCTACTTCGAGCAGCTCCTGGTAAACGCCAACCCAGCCTTTTAAGTGCTGTTGAGTTTTTTCTGCAGCTATGGCTCAAAGCTGAAGACGTCACATTCATATTATCTTCCTGTAAATATTCTACCTACCTTGAAGCCGAGTTGTATATAAACTATCGCATCCACTTGCTTCTCCTGCTCCGTGCTGCTCAGATAGTTCATCTCTAACCCGGAAGGACTATGTTTACCAAAAGGAAAAAAAGGGGGGGAGAAAAAAGCATCCCAACGCGGGACCAGTTCTTCTGAACCGTCCCGTTCCCAGGCTCTAGGACCAGGACGGAACCCTGGGGGCCCAACCCGATCACAAACTCAGTTGGCCAAGTGGTATATAATGAGGCAGACGTCGCTCGGAAGAGCCCGCGCCCGCTTGCTTCCCTTCTTTTCTCTTCTCCTTCTTTTCTGACTTCTAGATGCGACGAATTGCCCCTAGACTTCTCCCCAACCCTCGATTTGGCAGGCCATCAAGCCTATAGAGATGTGGATAGCCCTTCTACTCTCCCCCTTCTTTACACTTACACTTGTTTTCATGTTTCATCGCATTATTTGGCCTCACAAGGCCCTCCACAAGCGACGCAAGGAGAAGGATTCTGCAACGAAGGGAAAAATTCAGATAGCTCGTCCACCGGGCGACGCGAACGTACCCGATAATCCGGCCTCATCTTCTAAGGTCGAGAAGCGAACCATACGGTCTAGGATCGCAATGATAATTAAGACCAAGGCGAAAGGAAAGGGTAAGAGCAGCGGAGTGCCGTTGGATCCTCGCTCCCCTGCCTTCCAGCCACTGGCGCAGCCACAGCACACAACACCGTCGTCCTCTAGCGCAGATATGAGGCCTTTATGGCTAGATCATGAGGGAGATGCAGAAATAGCATACAACGACCTAGACTCTGCCCGTTTACCGGTCACGTCAGTGGATGGAAACGCCGTCTCGGGGTCTTCGAACACACAAATGTGGCAAGCTCCAGACCACCATATTAATAACGGAACGCCGACTGCATGGGTGGCATCTCGGCCTTACGATCCTACCATCGTCCAGACATTCTATCCCATATCGAAGCTGCTAACTTACCATCACAGCCCCGTTCTGGGCCGGTCTCAAAGGCCGTTACCAACACCACTATTCCCTCCGTACGTACCGTCAACGTTTGCCCTCAACTAATAACTTTCAAAAAGCTCATAGTCAAGTCAGCCTCAGACCTTCCGAAGATTACCAGCAAAGCGCCTCGATGATCCAGGAATTTTCGTCTCCGAATCCGTCGTGCCAAGAAGAGGGAGAAGTTCTTCGACGCTTCATCATGTCTGCGACGGCCCGCTTATGTCCGATTTGCAAACGTGGCGTCGGCATTGGGAGCAGCACCATCTTCCAACACGCCGGGGAAATTCTTCGAGGTTCGTTCCACAGATGTCTTGTGATTGCCCTATAGACCTCTCCACCGCCCATAACTAACAATCTTGACTCTCAGATCGAAAGTCTATTGCACAGGGCAGTCACTATGTGAAATGCTTTTGTGGGATATCTTACTGTATCACATGCTCCAGAATGGGAGACAGTTTGAAGACACCTTTCGCCCGTTCCAAGTCAACCAAATGGTGCTGCCCCGAGGGTCGACTCTTCCACATCTTTGCCCTCCTCTGCGGCCCGATCGCCCACGATGCAAACCCGCAGGTCTCCATCTTTCAAGACTCACAAGTGGAGGCGATTGAGAAGTCCCCAAAGGTCGAGAGAAGGTCCGAGTCGAAGTTCAAGGCCTTCTTCAAAAGCAGCGATGACGACGGCACATCCAAAGGCACGGGCTACGCGACGGGCGAGGTCTATGGAAAGAGAGAGGAGCCGAATGAGCTTGTCCGTAATCGTCGTGAGAAGCTCGAGAATAGCATGGAACTTTTACCCAGGCTCTTCGCCGCACTCTCGATAGCATGGCCCTCAACTTCCATGGCTCACCAGTTCGATCGGAACCCCCACCCGTTATTGATGGTCATGGCTCGCCGAAGCCCACTCATGGTGAGGATGGCCGAGCTTCTCCGAGATGATAGCATGGAACAGATCATGCAACAAGGGCTTCCGTACCACGCCCTGTTCGACTTTCTCCATGTGATCTCAGCACATCCCGCCACGGCTCCGCTGGTCTGTGATGTTCGAATTAACTATCACCTCGCACACACTTTATTGCCAGTCTGCTTCGGTAATGGCCCTCTCCCGATGCCAGACAGGCCTGCAAGCTCCAGTGATAAGGCGAAGGGAAAGAGGAAAGCGGAGGAGCTGTGTGAGAAGCAGGAGCAGCCTCAAGAAAAGCTCAAGTCGTTGCTTAGCCTACTCTCTGTCTTGAGAATCCAGGCGGAATCGGTGAAGCGGCTCTACAAACCCGTTCCCGGGGGTCTTTCGCAGACGATACTCATGTGCAACCGTATCTGCGATACTTATCAGCAACTCAAAGAAGATCATCCCAAAAAGGCAAAGACGGAAGTGACTGTTGACGAAGGAAGCACCCCTGCCTCTCTGACCCATTCACTGTCCTCTGCTTCGTCGGTAGGAGGACCACCTACCATCCCGGACGACAAGCGAGAGAGACTCGCAGCCGCCCGGCAATGGCTCAGCGAGAACAAGGTACAGGAGATGGAGTCAGAAAGCTGGCTGAGTGACTATAGAATTGCCCTTCCGGTCTCGGAAGCCACTGCCCACGGCCGTACGAAGAAGCTCGTCATGGAGCTCTCCATGCTGCGAACTACGCTCCCCGACGGCATCTTTGTTCGCTACGATGGCACGCGGTTGGACGCCATGAAGGCCCTCATCGTCGGACCCGAAGACACGCCCTACGAGAATGGACTCTTCGAATTTGACCTATTCTGCCCTCTCGATTATCCGGCGAGGCCACCAAAGATGGTTTTTAGAACAACGTACAGTCGTCGAGAGTTCAACCCGAACCTGTACCCAAGTGGCAAAGGTACGGAAGTCCGCTTGATTTCCCACCCGCACCGTCACAGATCATCGCTAACTTTTGCTCATAGTCTGTTTCTCCCTCCTCGGCACCTGGGAGGGTAGCGCCACCGAAATCTGGGACCCAACAAAGTCCACCCTCCTCCAGCTCCTCGTCTCCGTCCAAGCCATGATTTTCAACCCGGACCCGGTATGGAACGAACCTAATCAGACATTCTCCCCAACTGCCTCGCTGGTGTACAAGACGGAGATGCGCGCCGATACCCTCGTCTTCGCCATGAGCCACTGGCTGCATCTGCGCAAAAACGCCAACCCGGTCGAGTATAACCCTTGGTTCGAGGTTGTGTCCCGCCACTTTGAGATGAACTGGCGACGAATTCTTGAGAAGGCTGAGGTCTGGGCCGCGGAAGACCCCGGGAGTCAAAGCAAAGCCGAAAATGAGTTGGGCATGTTCATGAGGGGCAGGCACTCCAAGGAGAGGTTCCCCTGCGGGATCCGTACGCTTAAAGGGCACTTTGCCGAGTGGGCTACGTCTAAAGACGAGTTGGCTCTCGTGAAGCTTGGTCCTGAAGAGGAAGCTGGGACGACGTATATGCCCCTGGAGAGTCAGCTTAATGTAGACTCTGATGCGTCTGATTTATCTGACGAGGATGACGAAGACGACGAGAACGATGGGGATGATGGGGACGACATGGACGACGTGGACGACGAGTTCGATGAAAATGATAATCTACCACCAACAAATGGCATACCCTATGTACCGGCACCGCCACCTCACTATCATCTGAGCTCCCTCGATATTCTTTGATTTCGTTCAATAGTCGCGACTCGTACTTGCGTTTTGTCTCCCATTCTGTTAGTTAAGTGAGCGTCGGTGTTTTGATAGCAATGAGGAGAGGTTGAGCGTTGATTAGTAATGATTGGTAGACAACGTCAAATTCATGACTAGCCAGTAATCCGAGAGAGTCAATAGAGGAAATAGTCAAACACTGGCTCTCTATATTTCCTAGTATGTGTCTTGTTGAGCACCATGTGAGTCACTCGATATTTTCCTAGATGTTTAAAGGAGCGCGTATCAACGACTCCTAGATGCGCCTGACGAGGTGACCGGTGATGCTGCGTTCTTAGCAAGGGAAGGTAGCAAAACATGGACGTAGTATCGACTTGTGTCAGTATCAAGATCTTTGACCACTCCGTCAACCTCTGATCATGCTAGTCCGCCTTGAAGCTCGCTAATACATCTACGGAGTACGTTGTGCCGGCAGGCTCACGATTGCCCTGCGCAACCTGCAGGGCAAATCGCCGGAAAGCGGCGGCGCATCTAGGTGCTGCTTGGTCCATGCGCAAGCTTACCGCGGGGGTTTTTGACAAGCTGGCACCACGAGATTGATAGACACGGCATCGTGAACCGCTCCTTCAAATCACCGCTGCCGCTCGAACCTCGACAGCATTGTACTGATGATCTGCGGATTATCAGAGTTGAGCGGGCCGTGGGACGTGCCATGGGGCATGCGTGGGTTGCTGGCTGACCGCCCTTCGTCACGACTCAGTTTACTTGATCAAGACGGCTAGCGACGTGCGTCTCAGCGCCGGTGACCCTGTCAGCGAGATAGGTAACAAGGCCTGAAATAATCAGATTGAGGGATAAACTCAAATGGGGTTGTAAGCACCCAAGCGAATGTGTTTCGAACTGACAACAGACTTGTTGATGCCCACCACACACGAAGCAGCGTCGCAAGCAAACACGGCTGACTTGCGGCTGGAGACGTTAGCTGCGGGGGTCCATCGAGGTCAGTGTCTGTGTTCTCGAAGCGATGATACCTACGCCTCAAAGTGTGGCACTTGTCAAGGAGACGATGGTTTGCGGTTACTATCCGTATCGGGGTGGGGGTTGTACCTCGGTGCTTAGTCGATGGCGGGCATAGTAACGCGACGCTTATTGTATGTAGGCTCTATAAATCCTGTCGAGGTTCAAATCCATAAGCAAAGGCTCCGTCATCTCTCGATACTGCTCACCGACCCGAGCTTCATCCCGAACAAGCGTTGACAGTGGATAGGGCTCCCAAGATTCTGTAACCAGACTGCGGGATACCACGTGGAGGAGGGGACTCGGACCGCTTGAGTGGGTGGCCGTTTGTCCCAGCTTCCCAGCCCTTACGGTGTTGGTGGTCACCCCAGTCGGATATTCGGGGCAATTCGAAGCCCTAGCTAGTGATGCCATGACTCGAGCCTCTTTTGATCGCTCTGGACTCGGTGGGCAAGCCGCATGCATGCAGCCTACTCCGTACTCTGTACCAAATTGAAGAACCACAAAGCTTCGTATACGAGCACCACTAATGGGCACCCCACCGATCGTTAGGGGGCACCCCATTTAACCACTTCCGGTTAAAAGCTAGGGTATAAAAGCTATATATATTACTTTTCATAATCTTACCATTAACTAGTTATAAAGTATATTAATTTAATTATAACGTAGTTCACAAGCGAGTGAGCCACTTTTCTTTGATTTCGTACAACCTACCTCTCCCTTTATTTTTCTCCACCTACAACCATGGTGCGACATTCAAATGAAAGCGATTTGGTTCTAGCGCTTAATGCGCTCCAATCTAATTCAAAATTAAGCGTACGAAAAGCTGCATTAACCTACAATGTATCTTGCGCTACTCTTCAACGACGACAAGCTGGCCAACCTGCTAGATGCGATACACGACCTCATAACCAAAATTTAACCTTGTACGAAGAGGAGACCATTGTGCGATATATTATTGACCTGGATTTACGAGCGTTTTCGCCTCGCCTAAGCGCTGTTTGAGAAATGGCCGATCGACTACTTCGCGACCGTGGTGCGCGATGCGTCGGAATAAACTGGGCCTTAAACTTTGTACGACGACGACCTGAGCTCTAGACGCGTTTTAATTGAAGAATCGACTATTAGAGAGTCCTCTGCGAAGATCTAGACGCATACTACGCTTGGTTTTCTCTTATACGAAATATAATCGCGAAGTACGGGATACACGATGCCGATATCTATAACTTTGATGAGACTGGGTTTGTAATGGGTAAGATGTCTTCCGAAATAGTTATTATAGCTTCTGAACGACGTGGTAAGCCAAGAGGAGCATAATAAGGGAATCAGAAATGGGTTACAGTAATCCAGGGCATTGGGTCGTGCGGCTATTTTATCCCGCCGTATATCATCTTTGTAAGCAAGGTCCATCTTGACTCCTGGACGTGCGATAGCCCCCTCCTACCCGACTGGGTAATTGCACTTATAGAAAACGGTTGGACGACAAATGAGAAAGTCTGGCACGATAGCTTTAAGAGGTAAGTGATAAGACTCTTATACAAGAGTATTAAATGGTGAATATTCATATAAAAGCAAGAATATATGAATATAGGGGTAGTTGAGCGTATATAAAAGAGGTTGTAAAGAGAGTATATAGTTAGATTACTATATAAGAAGTTGCTTGCTTAACAAAAGGTCTAAGTAGGTAAAAAGATGCCCTTATATAGGCATAAGATCCTCCGACTAGAATATTTCATTGCTTATTAATTATATCATAATTAATAAGCATATACGTAAGTGAATGCGTAATCGTAATACGTAATACCTTTCAAGTAAATTCCAGCGCATTTTATTACCTTTCAGTGCCTTCTTTCGCTCACGTAAGCTTACATAACCAATCTTGCTTACGTAATCAATATCTATATTAATCTATAACTCTTATAGATTAATATGATATATAATATGCTTACGTAATATGAATGATAAGGCAAATAATAAGGTAAAAGATTTACCTTTCTAACAGAAAGGCCTAGAATGGGTAAAGCACTTTGATTTCCATACAAAGGAGCGTACGAAGGGTGCTTACCGCCTCCTTGTCCTTGATGGCCACGAAAGCCACCATTCTGTCGATTTTGAGCTATACTGCAAGGAGCAGAAGCTTATTACGCTCTGCATGCCTCCTCATTCATCGCACAAGCTCCAGCCTCTTGATGTTGGGTGCTTTAGTCCCTTGAAACGGGCGTACGGCCAAGAAATTGAGGTCCTTATGCGGGTACATATTACGCATATTGCAAAGGAAGACTTCCTCCCAGCCTTTTACAAGGCGTACGACAAGGCAATAACGACGTCAAATATTCAAGCAGGCTTTAGAGCAACTGGCCTTGTCCCGTACAATCCAGAATATGTAATTTCACAGCTGAATGTGAAGCTTCATACCCCAACACCTCCAGGTTCTTCTGCTGGCTTACCACCAGCTTGGGTCCCAAAGACACCAAACAACCCAATTGAATTCACCTCACAGTCTGATTTTATTACAAATCGCATCGTACGACACCAGAATAGCTCCCCGACGTCAATTATTGGGTACATACAGCAGCTAAAGAAGGGAATTATGGTAGTCGCACACAACCAGGTTATAATGCAGTCACAAATGACAGAGTATCAAGAGGCAAATGAGCGTATGAGCCGCCGTCGCCGTACGAAAAAAAAACAGCTTCAGAAAGGTGGAACACTTACAATTAATGAGACAAAGGATATAAAGTCTCAAATTGATGTGACGAGGCAGTTACAGGTAGAAATAGGTCAGAGTAGTGGTCGTGCGAGAAGGATAGAAACGCGCGCGCGACGATGTGGCATCTGTGGAGAGACTGGCCATAATGCTCGCACGTGTCAGAAAGTTGAATCTACCTCTGAAGAAGAGGATTATGAATAGTTTAAATTGATTTAAGGTGTTGTGGTTGATTTCTCTTACATATTGTCGTACGGGTGCTAAAAAGTGGCTCACTCGCTTGTGAACTACGTTATACGAGTTTTATAATTAAAATCGTACAACGTACTTGCATAGTGAGCGACGCATCATAGCGAGCGACGCACTCTCTTAGACCTTTTCACCTTTTATATAAGTTAATTTAGCCACAACGTACAAAATCAATTAAAACTATATATTACTCTCTTTCTCATTACTATTATAAACTACTTTATAAGTTCGTACGTTATATCTAGGCTTTCTGTAATTATTATATTGTCGTGCGCGTGGTTTAGTATCTTTTTTACGACCCTTCTTCTAGGTATTATTTTCTCCTCTAGCATTAACACTACTCTTTTCTACTTATAGTGCCTCTACTTCAGTAGTATTAAATAACCCTCTAAGACGTAGTCGGGTCTTTTTTACCCTCCGGCGCTTACTTAATACCTCTATTCCCGTACAAAGCTTATAGTTCTTAGCCTTAATACTAAGAGGTTAGAGATAGGCAAAAAGAGAAAAGGTAAATAAATTGAGGTACGAGTTGGGATAATTAGAGAATCGATTGTATTGATGATTATTCTATGATATGGTGGGAAAGTGTAGTCTATATATAATATAAATATCATATGTAATTATATGTAACCACATTTAATCACATGTAATCACATGTGAGGCTTAAGTCCGAGCATTTATTATTAAGTTTATACGGGCATATGTGCCTGTCGGCGCTTTAACATGTATATGTAAAGCGTATTTACGTACGGGCTGTACGTGCGTACAAAGCGTTGTATCTCAGTAGATACGTACTTCGGTTGAGTGTTACGAGCAGGTCAAGGCAACCAACTGTGGCACAAAGCAAAAGCTTCGATAATGATGACTCCGCATCATTTTCCCTTGTTCTGCGTTATGTGGCTACGCGCTCACAGTGACAAGTTGCGGCGGGCGTAACATTGAGCCTCTTATTACCATGTAACTTCTTAAGTACGTAACTCTTATAGTACTAATCAAGTATAAGTTTTAGAATTTTAGTAAATATTCTAAGTCTGTTTAGCATGACTTAGGTGGCTAAGGGGCCTAACCTTTCCCTTATATAATTAAATGGGGTGCCCTTTATCACGGGCTGGAGCCCGGTTGAGATCTCCGGCCTTGCCGGAGCCGCATACACACCCCTCTACTGGGAAGCTGTCTCACGGCGACCTATAATAACCGATTATTAGATTAGATTATTACATTTGGTTATGCTATAGGCCGGAGCTGGTCGAGATATCCGGCTTTGCCGGAGCTACTATTCTGCCGTATTATACCGCCTAGTCCGGGTACGTTATACTATAGCTATATGCGTATCCTTATAATTCCTCCTTTTTTCCTCTTCAGCTTAGAATAGTCCATCGACGGCACCTCTACGTTTAACAAGCCTAGGGGCCAGCCCCTTACACCCCCTAACGATCGTTGGGGTGCCCATTAGTGGTGCTCTCGTATACGGTATAAGCACAGAGTCGAAAGTGTGCCATGGGGCGGGATTGTCCGGAACCGAGCATGACTGGAACCAACATGCCTAGTGAAACCCGACGATGAAAACCTTCAATCATACAGGCCGGCCTGGCAGATTGTGATGTCCGAGATAGCTCTACGGCCGAATGACGGTGAAATGAGGACTAATTGATCGGGGAGGCTCCCAGAGGCCAACCTTGAACCAACCCAGGGCCTGAATCATGAAAAGTGTCTTGGGCGACTTTCGCGATTCGTTGGAAACATATTCAGTGATGAAGCTTCAGAAAGGCCAAGATATTGCAAAGTCAAAATTCTCTACGGCAGGCAATAATCGACCATGGCAGCGATATGGTTGGCCGTATTGTCGATGGGAACGTATCGTCCGTTGAAGATCCATGTGGTCCACGAGTTCCAGGTGAAGTTTAGCGGCCAGGTATGGATGCGTCTGCCACGTGCGGTGCATGCAGCAGCAGGGTACAAGTCGATGGAGGAGGGGGATGAGGGGAAACATCCATTGGCGTGTTTGGTCAGGCCAGAGTCGCATCGAAAGTGGCCTGAGGAGTTGAGTCTAGTGGTGATGATGGCGCGAGAAGGTGGCCAACATGAAGACGATAGCCCGTCTGAATCTCTGAGACGAGCCTCGTGTGCGTACATCTCAGACAATGATTGCCATTCCCGGGTCAGTAGACTGGTCGAGAAGCACGAGGGCATCGTAGAGAACTGCCAGAGGTGGCTGGTCTCGCAAGATGCCGATCGACAGGATTCAAGTCTAACAGGAGTAATCGCCATTATTTGACCGTTTTCAATCAGGCCTTATGGTCGTGGAGCTCGTCGGTCCCGAAGCCAAGCCATCGTGAGCGCCATATTCAAGATAGAGACCCCGCTTATCAGGAGCTAAGCTTGGTACCCGAAGGCGCTGACGTTGGCGGCACTAATACGGTGTCACCCTGGCTACTGCTTGGATATTGCGATTGCGAAGTTGTCGCCCCAAGGCCCACGGAGAATATCTATGACTTTGACGGGGGTTCTCAGGGTCTTTGGGCCTGTCCGGGCCAAGAGGATCAGCAGTGAGTTCAAACACGAAAGTGGACGAGGGTGAGGAGGACTAGGCCACATCGAAAAACAACCGCAGCATCAAAAGCCACCGGCTGTTTGACAGTGGCCGAGACATGACAGGCTAGCTGGTGGTTGGCTGAGCCTGCACGTACGGCCGGCGGTGTCAGTCAGTGGGCGTCAATTCGTACGATAGCGCCAGTAGCTCGAAGCCAAATTCTCGCAATTTAAGTCAAGGTCCAGTCTTCTGGTGAGAGAGCTGTTGCTTGGGTCGGTCACTAGACGCATGCGATGCCGAGGTCGTGTCCCAAGGACTCTACTAGGAGCCCGATTCGAGGGGGAGGCCCGAACTCAATCGATGTAAGCGACACGTGGAATTGGCGATGCGTTCCTGAACAAGTGCCTTTGAGCCTTGAGGTGCCTAATGGTGAGGTCAAGTGGGTAGGAGGTCGAATGGGTAGAGGAGTCGGAGTCTGCAAAGTGCGGGATCGAATTGCCTGTTGTAGGTTTAATGGTTGTTCGGAGCGGCTCTCGGGCCCCTTGGAATGGTCGGAACTGGATGCTGCTCGCAATGCGAAAAGAGGATGGGACGGACGGTGATTATTTTACTGTGAGTTTCCACGGTTATACGGCGACTGTTAGACGCGTGGGGATCGGCTCGAGTGGGCAGCGTTTTGCCGTTTGGTTTCTCATTCGGAATCGGAGTCACGATCCCTGTGCTTCGGGCTGTCCTGAGTGGCGCCTTTACTGCGTACATAGCAAGCAAGTCTCCCTGTGTACCGGTGTGCTTTTACTCGGTATCCCTGTGGGGATTCCATGGCTTCGAGGTCGAGGACGAGACTCGGCCGCTGGGCAGCGGGCTGCTTACAGACAGAGGGGGCGAAGGTCGGCAAGTCGGGTAGAGCGGTGGTTTGATAAAGAAGGGTACGCGTTGAAGGTCGAAGAATTGAGGGCGGCGAGGGCGGCTGGTTTTGGCAAGCGAGTTGACTGCATTCTGTCGAGGTTTCTTTGATTGGCACACATGCTTCTTCAGCTGTTGGACTGCAGGTCGACGCATGCGGTCGAAAAGAGAGGAGGAGCCTGAGGAGGACTGGTCAGTGGTGGACGGCGGACGCAGGCTGGTGGTGGCCAGGGACGGAGGCGACGACAAGGCGAGGCCAAGGATCCAAACAATGGGCGATTTTTCTTCGGAATAATGCAGAATAGGACAGGGGATGCCCTGAACAGTCTGTGCCGTGCCGGTGCCAGGTAGGCCCTGAAGGGAAGCGGAATGTTTCTGCATGGCATGGCCCATGGAATGTGGGATTGAGATGCTGCCGATGCTGTCTGGTCACCTGGTGTAATTCAAGGTTTGTGGGAGAGGCGGAAGAAACAAGACACCCGACGTGCACACTCCAGAAGGAAGGGAAAAGAAGGGACGGGAACATTACGGATAGCTGGTGCAAGTACCACCGGAGACGGGAGAGGAAAGTGGCAGGCGGGAAATTCTGGAAAGTGCAACATTTTAGGTTGAAGTTGGTGTGTCATGATGAGGGAAGGAACCCGGTCTGGCCCTGCCATGGTTTATCTCATTCATTGTTCGTGTTGTATGTGAGATTGAGGGCGAGATGAGACACGCCCCAACTGCTCTCTGTACCACCACACGAACAATTGAAGAAAGATGCAATGAGTTAATCCATCAACCTATCCACGTCACGTCTACCCGTACATCTACATCTGTACTTGTATCTGTCTGTACAGATATTATTTGACTCCTTTGCAGAGGTTTAGATCAGCAAAGCACCGAGCTATTCGCAGGCCTAACCTAGCAGGCTGATTTCGGTATGCTGGGAACATGACACTCTTTGATAAGTGCTGTCTTATGCACAGCTCAGGACCTCTGACTCTTCTGCGGCCCGTGTAGACATGATTCGGAAGTTGCCATGACGGGTCGCCCCTGAGGGCATCTTGAGAGACAGAGTCGATGAGAATAGATAGAGACGAGGTATCTGATAGCAGTTGAGTCCCGCAAAGGAAGTATGACCGATGCTGGAGCGCTTATTGTGATGTGATTCGTTTCGATACGGTGCTCTCATATCCATCTATATTCGGCGTTCGTATCCAAATCTGCACCTCATCAAGTTCATCACCCATCTCTCTCGCAGTCGCGGTGCACGTCTCACGTTGTAGATCGGGCAAAACGGCCATGAGAGACATGGATTGGCCCTGCTGTCAGGCTCAGTCAATTGTGGTGCGTGGGGCATGCCTCAACACCATCGTCGTGCCTGAGTGGGGGAGTGCATGAGAGAGGACAATGTTCATTCGTTGATGTTGGTCCAACCCCCTGTCCCTCCCTCCCCTCCTGATCCCTGTTCTGCACATGGCTACTTCCTCCTTTCTGCTTAGCCCATCTCAAGTGACAGTAGCGCAGGTGCGTCCTGCTGCAGGTGCAAGACGGAAGTCCAGTGTTCTTTCCTCCAGTATCCGTACGAATACCTTTTTTAGTTCAGGGCAGTCACCAGTGTCATTCTCCTTCCCGTTGATCGTGACTTCCGCGACCTCCTTCCTGCCATGCTTTCTACCTAATCGCTTTGGGATCAAGGCGCCCCCTTCTCAAATGGGCCCTGCCTCCCCTTTTCATACCAGGTACTTGTGTCATGTATTGTCTCCGTGCCTGCCTCTATCATCTCGACATCTGACGATCGTCACCTCGAATCATTCATTACACACCTCATGGTAAGGTACCTGAAGGGAAAGTGCTGAGAGTACGTACTCATTTTGCCGTGCCTTCCAGGTCCCGGGCACTGAACAGTCAAGTTGGGAGAGAAAGAGGTATGTATTCTTGTCAGGTAGGTACCTACGAATAGGTCAGGTACGGAGTACTCAGAGGCAAGGAGAGAAAGTGTGCCTGGCCTGGGCTAGCCCGCCTGCCCGCCTTCTCCAGGTGGCCTTGCTTAGCGCGTCCCAGGCTCCGTCCACTCCCGGCCTCCGTCCTTCAGTCCAGTCCCAAACTCCCAGGTCGGGCAAGAGGGAGCACTCCAGTCTCCAGGAGACGGGAAGGCGTGGTGGACTGGAAAAGGGTGAAGGGCAGCAAAAAAAGGCAGGCGCCGATCCACAGCAGTGTGCCTGCCTGATATTATTTCCATGCTCCCCTCGCTCCTGCCGCGACTCCCCAATCTGCATCTGGACCAGTCCTCCGTCCTCCGTTCTCCTCTTCGTCTTCCCGAATCCCTCCTCTCAATTAACCCAGTCCCTCTCCGTCATCAATCAACCACTCGCTCCCTTTTTCTGCTTTTTTTTCTGGACCACTTCAAAGGCTCAACGTCCACGACACTACCTCAAGGCTCAAAACCCCCGGTGCAGACCCATCGATCGTCCCCCCCCGACCGACAAGTCGCCTCCATCTCGCCTCCGTGTAGACAACTTCGCTCCTCTCGAGACACCAAACCTGCCAACCAAGGTCCAAGGACAAGCCTGCAGGTCCCTGATTTTCCGCAATCTTGCTCTCCCAGTGACCTCACAGCGTTTAATCTTTTTACGCCAACGGTCAAACCCACACGCGCCCACACGCACACCCCCGAAGCGAACGGAGAACACACCAAGGAACGACTGAAGTCGCTCACGTCCGCCTTCACGTTCACGGGTTCACGGCCACGTCCACCGGAGACCGCTCCCTCCTACCGCACCTCCTGCCGCTACCGCTGCCTCTGCCGCAAAGAGCACCGTGTCCAGCAGCATATCCTGCACCTCACTGCAGTCATCCCAATCTGCCAAAAATCCAATCCAGTGTCAATTCGCCTTCGCCCTGTTCGGCTCGCCTGCTTGCCTGGTCCGACAGTCGTGAAGCAAGCCCCGGCCTGTGGAAACTCGAACCATAGTTGAGACTGGACGGCCACATCGACACGAACCTTTTTTACGCAGGGATCTCACCAAACCCAAAAAAAATTCAACACAATGCCTACCTCGCTCGATTCTTCTCGTCCCATCATGGCTCCCTCTGTACGTTTGTTCCTCTGCTGATGTTGCCTTCTTTCGCCCTAACTGCCCTACCTGCATCTGTCTTGCGTCTGTTCTCACCTGCTTCGCCTCGCTCGCAACCGCCCCTTTGCCCTTTTTGCACTTGGACGCCGCAAATCCCGGTCCTCCCCCCCAAGCTACCCACCTATCCGATCTTGTTTGCCTTTTGACCCATTCCTATCCAATCCTATTACTACCTATTACCTACCTCTCGCCGACCCTCTTTCGTTCACTTCAATCCTCCCTCTGTGCCGTCCTCTTCAAACACGATCAAAAATGACCGCCGTACTAACAGAAACTCCCCCTCAGGTGCGTACCTCTGTGCGATACAGCACGTATAGCATGGCGCCCTCATTTGCCAACACCATCCAGACAAACGATTCGGCTCACGCCGAGATCACCGACATCGCTGTCGGCCTCGACCGTATGGAGAACAAGGCCCTCAGCTCCCAAAGAGTCACTTTGAGCGAGGAGAAGAGCGCAAACCTGAGCAAGCTGGCTCTCGGTGCCAAGTTGGAACGCGCGCTGGACCGGAGAATGAGCAGCCAAGATGCTGTCATGCGGCCGCGCGGCAAGACCTTGAACGAGAAGCCTGCTCAGGCCGCGTAGGAGACTGTCGAGCAACCTTTGACCTCGAAAAAACGGCCTTGGCAGGCCATGTTCAACGCACAACCCAAACGAACACAACAGTCGGAACCAGACCGTCATGGGCCACCTGCCACACGAACATAGAACGACAGGAGTGGGATTCGGACCTGACGCAGCCCGGCTAGACAGCTCGCTGTATCCGAGGACGACCCCGTCGTACAACATCGCCCACGACGAGATGAGGCAGACGATACACCTCTGGATGGGACATACGCAGGGGTAATGGATATGGGACTTGGACTGAGACTTGGGAACTGGCCATCGTGGAAACAATCAAGTTGTGAAGAGTGATTTTGGTTTGTTGGGATATCCAGAGGATGACTGGAGCGCCAACGGCGCAATGATGGCATCCCGTGCATAGTGTTTAAATGGTTTATTGCGATGCTCCGGCTGCGTTACATATTTCCTACTCCGAGAGGCATTACTCGCTGAATCTATCGCAAAGACTTGGGATCATGGCATGGGGGGTTTCCTTGACGAAACTGGGATGTATAGGTAGTGGTACCTATGGTATACTAGAAATGCTCAATAACCCGATCCACCCACGATGTTTCCTTATGATTTCCAGCCTGACTTATTTGCTTTGCGCTAGTGTCGCAAATGATGCCGCATTACTAGAAATGTTTGTAGTGGCTAGTAACAAACAAGCCTGTATCAAAGTCGAAGACAACTCGCGCCAAGAGTGACCACAAGTGCCCAATGATTCTTCAGGCCGCCAAATCATTGCGTCTACCCGGGCTCTCCATCTCCATGCGCGAAGGCGGCTCTCTTATGGGTATTATACGCTGCCAATAAACAGAAGCTCAAGACTGTTCGGCCAGGCCCTTGGCCTCTCGCCCCCCCAGCACCCGTTGCAAGACTCCATGCCCCTCTTGCCGTATGCATTTGTCTGTGTATGAACATCTTGAGTGCTTCAAGTGAAATGTCTCTTTACTTCATCGGTCCTCGTGTAAAACTTGTCCACTTTTTTTTCTTTTTCGAAAGTCGTATGCCGTTTCAGACTTTACTTTACGCCTTCTCCAAACGGGCCTCAATCTCCTTGTATTGCGCAACAAGCTCACCCTCCTCACCCTCATATTCGAGAGCCTTGCCAACCCACTCCCTCGCCTCCTCCAACCTGCCCATCTCCATCAGACACCTTCCACGCCGCCACCACGCCTTTGCGTTGCCGACCTTGCGCGCCTCGACGCTGGCCTCGGCGTCGACGGAGCCCTCGGCCCACTGCTGCAGCGCCATGTGCGCCTGCGCCCTGTTGGCGTACAGACCTGAGACTTCCTCGCGGACGAGCTGGGAGGGTTCCCAGAGCGGGCGGGTGAGGGCCATTTGCAGGCCCAAGGTGTAGAACTTGATGGCGTCGCCGTACTTCTTCTTGTGGAACTCTGCGTTGCCGCTGTCGCGGAGCTTGGCGACCTGGGCGGAGCGTTTGGGGTTCACGGGCATGGGCGGCGGGGGCACGCCGTGCTGGGTTGTTGTGTCGGAGGTGATGAGGGAACGGTGGAGGGCGTTTAGTTGGGAGAGCTCGGCGGCGAGGGCGCGCGAGGACGAGGTTGAGGAGAGGGATTTGGATTGGGGGTCTAGTTGGAGGGGGAGGAGGTCGAAGTGCGTGAGGTCTGTCATGTTGGGCGGTGGGTTGTGTGTGGGTGTGATGATGTGTGGTTTGTTTGGTGCGAGTCGCAAGGTCGCGAGGCCGTCCGTCGGTTGTGCCTTTGGTACTGGGAGTATTCGAGTGGTCGCGATTGGGTATCTTAAGTCGTGAAGAGTGACGGGTACGAAGAGGGCTGCGATCCTGGGCAAGGAATGGTCGCGGTGATTGCGTCGAGGTGGTGGTTTATTGCCAGCTGTCGATCCGGGGTCGAGGTGGCCGGCCGACCCTTTGGGACATTTAGAGGACACTTCTCTGGAGGTCATCCTTATCGGGTCCGGGCGCGCCATCACGTGCTGATAGCTTGAGGCAAGGCGAGGTGGGCCTGCCTTGATGACCGAAGCCCCACCTTCTTCACCTTGCTCACCTCGCTCACCTCTTGGCCGTCAGTAGCAATGACACCGAGGCTTTGCTTTCCATTCCTTTTGGTTGAGAGAACAGTCTTTCGTTTCGTTTTTGGGTTCTCTTGCGATTGAAGTCGACTTTGGCTATCTTAATTGACCATTTACAGTTGCGTCTAGTCTGGGTTCAATCCCAGAGCAAAAGTTCTGAGTTACTCGGGGAGCTTTGCGGTCATCTCCGTTCTGCCAGGCAGCATTTGCAAAAGTATTCTTCTTTTCTCTTGTTGGGTATCTCTAATGTTGAATGAAACCAATTAACCTTTCGTGTTGAAAGAAAGTTCGCGATGATGGGTCCAGCTGGATCCGAGTTCACCAGCTTTCCCCCTGTTCCCTCCCCTTTAGCCCGGGCGCCATAGATCGGCTATTCCCATACCTTTCCCTGATCACCTCTGTTACAATGACCTCATATTAGTCGTAGTAAGACTTGTTCAGACCCTTCTCAACCGCGGCAATCTGCAACGCCAGCGGCAAGGAGAACTGTCGGCACATCATGAAGCTGCCGGTCATGTACCAGAACCCAGGCACTCCCGTGGCTCGCCACCACTAAGCAACAGTTAGCATGATTCCGTCAAGCACCTAGATCATCAGACTTACTCCTGAGTGTTCCTGTTCAGCATCCAAGTTCGCGAATCCGTCCAGCCTATTGACAACATCCGGCCCAAGCAGTTTCTCGACTGTGGTGATGTTCTGCTCGAAACCCGTCGCGAGCACCACCACATCCGCATCCAACTTCGTACCATTCTTCAACACCAGGCCATCTGCCTGGAACTCCTTGACACCCTCTTCGCATCTCTGGACCCGAATCTTGCTGTCAATGTAATACTGCCCGCCCTTGATGAGCTGGTAGTCCGCCAACCCATACCCGTCTTCGCCTTCCTTAATCTCCAGCCCGGCCTTCTTAAGCCCGTCATGCACCGTCTTGTCGTTCTTGGCCATCGCCTGAGTCAACCCGATGCTCATTCTCCGGATCAGCGCGAGAGGTATCGCGTTGCCCGCAATGTCTGCTTCCTCAGTGCTGAGGCCTGGAATCGTCCAGAGTGAGAGCATAAAGTTCTCCCACGACTCACGCGAGATGGAGAAGATTGGATGCCGCTGCACCATTGTCACCTCCTTGGCCCCGTGCGTGACAAAGTCAGCCGAGACATCGTGGCCACTCGTGGCGCAGCCAACGACGACAACCTTCTTGTTGGTCACATCGGGGATCTCGGCAGCCATCTTGTGGTATTTCGAGTGGTAGATTTGTCCCTTGAAGGACTCTTGCCCAGGGAACTGGGGGATCTTGGGCAGGTCGCCGTATACACCTGTAGCCAGGACCACATGACGCGCTGACAACGTCCGCGTTCCCTCCGGCGTGCGGATCTCGACGTGGTATTTTTTCTTCTGTTCGTCGTACGTAGCCTTTAAAATTCCGTGTTGAAGGCGATGTCAAGCCCCATGAGCTGGCCGTAGTGCTCCATGAACTCAGCGACCTTGTCGCCAGTCAGGAACCGCGGCCAGGTCTCGGGGATCTTCATGAACGCCCAGTGATCGGTGTAGGTAGGCGAGTGCAGGGTCACACTCTGGTATCGTTCTCGCCATGAGTCGCCGAGGCGTGCGCTGCGTTCTACGAGGCGGGTTTTGATGCCCATGTGTTGGAGGCGGGCGCCGAGCATCAAGCCGGCCTGGGCTGTTTGATGTTTCCTGGGTTAGCGAAAGGAAAGGGAAAGACAACGATGGGCCGAGTATGATGACTGACCTGCGCCGACAATGAGGACCTGCAGGTCTTCCTCGGGCTCTTTGTGTGCGTGTCCATTGATGCCGTTGACTCCATTGACACCATTAGTGACGGGCGTCTTTGGTGTCGGAACTGAAGCCGCATGACGCTCCTCGACTTCCTTCTGGAAATCAAGCTTCTCGAGCTGCGCAAAGACAGTCCACGCCTTCCACTCGTCTTTACCAGTGTTACCCAGCTTCAGCAACCCTTTTCCCTCGCCGTGCGGCGTCTTGAAGGTGAAGCCGGTCTGGATCCAGACCATGCCGTCAAAATCGAGGAGTAACGGCTTCAGCCCGCCAATCTTGTTGGTCTGTAGCTCGGAGAGGCCATGGTCCGCTGAAGTGAGGTACTTTTTGATGTTGTCTTGACCTTGTTTGCAGGTGAAATCCCATGAAAGGCCTACGATGTCTCTCCACACCAGCAGTTGTCGATGAACAGGTCCGAGATGTCGTCGAAGGATTTTTCGGCGAACCGCCTTTCGAGATCGCAAAGCCATTGACTTGAGATCTTTTCAGCGTCAATGTCTTCTTTCTTGACGCCTTCTTGCAACGTCAAGGCTGGGATTTCGGGGAGCTTGAAGCCGTCCATTGTGTGAATAAGTGTCGAATAGCGAACCTTGAGCAGCTCAGAAACTTGATTGGCATCAACGAGATCTCATCGGATGACTCGAAGAATCAGAATTCAAGGTCAGAAGCTCGTGTAAGTCAGATTTGGTAGGGAAGGACAAGGGTCTGGGACCATTTACTCGTGATCTCCCAACGTCGGGGAGATAGCGTCAGATAGCGTACCCGTCATCCGTCAACCCACTCGGCAAATTCCCATCTCGCCCACCATAACCAAAAATGTACCGGCTCTCTCCCAAGGCGACCACTCAGATCGAGATCCGAAACCATTTCGCCCTCTTTCTGTTCGGACTATTTCCACGAGTGGGCGGCGGGCCTGGGCAAGGTGCCATTAAGTTTCCCCATTTCTGTAACCTTACACCATTGCCAAGAAAGCGAGTTGCTGAAGATGACCGTATGACAGGCTGTTTTTGCTCTTTTTGCTCTATTTTGCTGGAAGGATTCATAAACACTGATGGATTAGATCATCTTATCTGATTATACCCCACCTTTCTATTCGCGCAGATCGGCGTGGTCATCCCAATCACGGCATGGTAAGTTGCGTCCGGCGGGGGTGGGATCAATAACTTACACAAAGTGAAACCCGCGAATGTGACCACATGCGCGGGAACGCTGTGGGATGAACTTGTTACTAAGTTCTTAGTGGGCTGAATACGAGATCTGACGAGGAAACAGCAAGGAACCTTTGTCGCTAAAACAGCATATTAGCCAAGGTGGAAAATTGCGATGTTGCATGACGTTCAAGAAGTCCACCAAGAGGATTCAAGCTTGCCCGTAAAAGACAACCACCGACCTGATCACATGTGGTATTTGATCTTTTCATACTCTGGTAGTGGACTAAAGTTCGCGGTCTGAGTAAAATAGAACGTCAGCTCTTCACCTCATGGAAGCTTGCCCAGCGCTCGTGTTGCACCTTCATCAACTGGTTCGCTTGCTAATGCCAAGCCCAACGTCAGCACACAAGCCTCAGGCCACAATTCCGAGAAGATCAAGCATTACTTGGCTCCTTGATCCACCGGCCCTAAAGAATGGGTCTGTCGGCAGCTTGCCGGACAATCGAGAAAAAAGTCCGGATGTTCGCAATCGAGTGACTGATGTTCACAGTATCTGTAGATGTTGGATAATAGAGTAAATGATGGATTGGGATTTGGCTCAATATCTTTCTGGATCTGATCAACAGTTGCGGTGATCTAAAACAGCCATTGTACAAGGTAGAAGATGCTCAGACATACTGTTGAATTCGGACCCCGGAGTACCCACACGATTGATATCTAACAAAGTCTCGCCCTCATGGTATGTGAGGTCAATGCTTGCCCCTATTCGCCTTCAAGACTTGGACAAATTGTCCAAACCACTGATGAAGGACATCCGTCGAAACTTCTCCTACCTCTGTGCGCATTCTCGGAGAGCATAACTGCGCGATCGTCACCTATCGCTCTTAGTGTCGCTGTGACTATCGACATCGTCACATTGTTGTTGTTGTTGTGGTACTCAGCGGCGTCGCTCTAACCAAAAGAGTGCCCATAATGGAACTCGAAAACTAGTCAGGCTATAGTCCTGCCAGTGAAAGATGGAAGAAAGACGCCTGCAGACATTATTGAGAGAACCACGGTTCATCTGATTACTGTTAAATTGAAATGGCCTGACCCGAAGAGCAGTCCAATGTCGAATGTTTATCTTGAAGTAGTTTATCAGGGAAACTTTTGCCAAGTCGGAATCGTGTCGAGGGGTAGCCAATGAACTGTAGTAATCTCAGTGCCATGGATCCGTCCATTCTACAGCAGTGTTGTCATCGTTGTATCGCTGATGTTGCGGTCTAAACCCTTCCCGAATACTCGGTTATAAGTGCAATTAAGCTTCAAATCGGGAACTTCCAGTCCCGTACCTCTTGATTAAGATTGGTTTTTGTAGCTCGCTTAACAGGTGTGCAGGTTGCCCCTATTATTCACTCAAATACGTGGGCCAGCTCTTCACAGCCGACCAGACTCTGTGAATTACTCATGAAAGACATAATATAACTCGACAAATCATACTAGCCAGGATTTGATTGAGTGAGCTGAATTATTATGTCCAACTTTCGGGCCAGGCCATCAAAGGTGAAGAGTCCTAATCCTACGTGAACCTACTATGGAGTGAGGTAAATTCCTTCTGACGATTCGTCCCTTGAAACTATAGCCTCAACATAGAACACATAGAAGTCGCAGCACATGTGTCATCTGTAGGGAAGACGGTAAGTCGTCAACGAAATGCCGTCGAAGTCCTTCCTGTTGCAATTACTCCAGCTGTCAACATGCGCCATCTACTTCCGCAGCCATTCTACTGTCGCGAGCTCAACACATGTAATAGCGTTTAACATATCGTACCATATCCCTTTGACCCTAACATTCCTAATACTCTGTAGATTGCCGGACATAACCATTAATAAAGGAGGATGGTATAAAGACAAGACCCCTCTCTTCTCATAACCTCAGCTACATATAAGTTGACTATTCAACGGTTCCTGACCAGAGACTCAGCGGTATTTCAACTCCACCCCTCATGAGCTCAGTTTCCATGAATAAGAGAAACTTATTTTCATCCGTTGTCATGAGTTCAGAGAAGAAGTGGATGGCCTCGATGTCCGACAAAGCGCGAAATGATTCTACCGACAATTCGGGGACCGGAGAACCGCTAGTGTCGGATTTTGGCGAGGACGAATCAACTTGCGTTCGCTGCACTGTTTTGGCGTGTTTAACTGGGGTTTCCCGGCTCGACATTCCGTTCCCGCTTCGACCTTCGTTTTATTGACACCGTCTCGACCTTCCGTCCTAATAGTTGAGCGAGCGTACGAGACTCTCGCGATGAAGACGAAGGTAGATAGGCCAGAGGGCCAGGAGGGATATAAAGTCATTATTAATGGGATGCGAATTTCCAAACTTGATTTCTTCTGCCTGAACTTTTTCTTTGCTCAAGAAGTCGACGTGTGCAGAGTCCTCCTAAGCATTTGCCCGTGCCTAGCCAATATCTCGTGCAAGTCTCTAATAAGACGTCAACATGGAAGCTACACAATCCCTCAACATCACGGAAGCGTCAATAAGTCAGTTGCAGAATGCGCTGAGTAACTCTCAAATCACGAGCGTAGACCTCGTCGCGCGCTTCCTCCATCGGATCGGCAAATACGATTACCGCGGGCCCTCGTTCAACTCCATCTGCATCATCAACCCCAAAGTCTTAGATGAGGCACAGGCCTCGGATGTCTACCGCGCATCAGGCCGCCCCCCACGATCTTTAGAAGGAATCCCGTTTACCGTCAAAGACAGCTACAAGGTTGAGGGGCTCATGGTTGTAGCTGCATCCCCAGCCTTCAAAAGCCTCGTATCATCTTCGGATGCCGCCGTCGTCGAGCTCCTACGCGCTGCGGGTGCGGTACTGATTGGGAAGACTACAATGCCTCCCATGGCCGACGGAGGTAGTCAGCGATGTCTCTACGGTCGCTCGACCAGTCCTTACAATCCCGAGTACTTGTGCACAAGCTTCGCGTCAGGCTCTTCATACGGCTCTGCAGTATCAACGACATCCTCATTCGACCCTATCGGCCTCGGTGGCGAAACAGTCTCATCTGGTCGAGCGCCAGCCTCGCACAACGCGCTGGTGGGATACTCGCCGTCGAGAGGCGCCATTCCTTCCGGCGGTCATTGGCCGTTATACCCGACGTGTGACGTTGTCGCACCCCATACCAAGTCTGTCGCTGATATGTTGGCGCTTCTGAACGCCATTGTTGCCGACGATGCGCACCCGAGAGGTGACTTCTGGCGTGAACAAACGGTTGTGCCTATCCTGCTTAGCTCTGAGATCCGACCACGGGACTTTCTATCCCTCATGGATCCGGAGGCGTTGAGAGGAAAGCACATTGCTGCCCCCAAGTGTTACATCGGGAAGCAAACTTCTTCCGGGTACTCTGCGGTCTGCTCAGAAGCCACTCGGCAGTTATGGGAACAAGCTCGAGTTGACCTTGAGACGCTAGGTGCCAGAATTACTGAAACCGATTTCCCTCTGGTCGAGAACTATTCTACACAGCTATTTCCTGGTCAAGCTGCCAATGTGCCAGGCATCCCGAGTACCTGGATTGATAGCGAGCGGTGTCAGATGATTGCCACGGCATGGGACGACTTTCTGCGCAACAATGACGATCCCGGGTGCCCTTCCCTGGATGTTTGTTTGTTTATTTTATATTTAACGCCATGGCGGCAAGGGTGCAGCCGCCCTTGCCGCAGACCTTCCGGAGGGTATGTGGCGTAGAGGGTCGCAGGCTCCAGCTATATAGTACACGCCGTATCCTGACGTCCTCCAAGTCTTGCTCGTGAGCTACTATGTGATATATCCATCCTTAGTTCCCACTAGTACCTTAGTTCTATTATAACTATCTAGTTTCTTAATAGAGGTAGTTTGTCGTTTGGAGGATAGGTTATGGCCTATTGTTACGGCCAGCTAGTCGTAGTGAGGTATGTTTGCAGAAGTTGAGGCTGTGGAACTAGTAACAGTAACAATCGAATGTAACAATCAGATGTAATAATCAGATGTAATAATCAGATGATTATTACACTGGGTCGAATCGATCTCAAGTAGGGAAGGCTTCGGTGATTAATCGTAGTCTTGTCAAAGAGGTTCTCAGGGAAGATAGCTGAAAGCGATCATAAGATCTAATACGAAGTTAATTACTAAAGAAGCTATGGGAAGTCTGTCCTAGAGTCCAGCTTAAGTCTATCTTATATATAAGTCCTAGTCCTGAATATATCCTTTATTAATGATCAGTCCCTCTAATCGGGTAAGAGCTTATTATTCCTATATAAGCGCTTATAGTCCCACTATAGTCACTCATGTCTTATTTAATTATCACGTGACTTATACTATAGTTCTTCTGTTCCGTAAGAGGGTACTTAGTATCCCTTATCTCTTATATATATGGTATATTATAGCCGCCGTAAGCCTGCGGGGCAGGCCCTGTTCTTAATTATATATATTAGGTCGTAATATTAGCCTTCTCTCTCAAAGGTCTAGCTGTTACGCCCGCCGCAACTTGTCACTGTGGGCGCGTAGCTATATATGCAGAACAAGGGACAATGATGACCGGAGTCATCATTATCGAAGCTTTTGCTTTGTGCCACAGTTGGTTGCCTTGTCCAGCTCGTAACACTAGCCCCGTAGACCTATAAGTAAGTAGTTATAGCCCAGGTTAAGGTTCGTCAAGTTTATTATTTCTCGTACTAACAATATAGGTAAAGAAGTTTCTACTGACATACTATCGGTTTCTTATCTACGTCGCTTACGTCGTTCTTTAAAGATCGTTAATTAAGGTACCGAGGTAATACCTTATTTTTATTATCGTTCTTACGGTCTTTGTTATAAGATTTTAATAGATTCCGCTATTTATAAAGAGTATATTTATTTAGGTAAAACGTTAAAGAAATATAATACGTCGAAAAATACGATTTATATTTAACTAGGTTATAACCTCTTTTATAATTTACTTCCTATGTCACGGTAGCAGGCAGGTTGTTTGGCAGGTGGATGCTGGGCAGGCGGATCAGACAATCTATTGCTACGGGCAGGCTCTATCCTAAGCAGGTACAGGCTCTGTTGACAAGACGTAGCTCAAGGAGCTACGTTTCTGGACATGCGCGACAGAATACAGGATGCAGAGTTTTATCCAGCCTCAGGCTTACGTAACCCGGCCACCGGATTACTCAACACCAACCTCAAGGTTGGGGGCTAGGACAGCGGGTCTGTGACATCCTAGGCCCCTCAAAATAAGAGATTATATTATTTATAAACTAAGTAATAGCTATAAAGACGTCCTTTCGGGCCTTATAATACTTAGTTTTTTCGTTAAGGGCTATAAAGCTAGCTCTAATAGCTATCCTATTTATAATTAAGGGCCCCTTGACCGGTAAAGGGGTTATTATAAAGGCGTTAAGCTAGCTTCTTACGAGGCTGGGCTAGGATAGCTAGGCCTCGGTACCGCGGTGGCGTTTAGCCCTTAAGGTTAGGGACGGCTCCGGAGGGGTTCCGGAGCCTCGATCAGGGCCGGCCGAGGGAGCCGGCAGAGAGCCAGGGCCCGGCGGAGGCTGTAAAGCCATCGCGGTAGGGTGCTGGAGGTGAGAGGTGAAGGGTTTTCAGCTGTCAGGACTTTAGTGGTAGCCCACGTCTTATACTAACAGTAGATGCCAAGAAAAATTAGGCGAGAGGGAAGTTGTCCCCCCTTCCCTGGAGGGCGTTGATTACCGCCAGATCAACCCCGACTTCGCTCCATTGGATGATCGGTCAGAGCACACCGAGCAGCAGAACCATGTCCGATACGCAGAGATGATTGACTTCATCCGCAACCGCCCCAAATCCATCTACGATCTTCCTGGTTGTGCAGATGCGTTGATCGCTCTCGAGGAGGCTCGCAAGAGAGACTTGGAAGACTGGATGGACGAGAACGGCTTTGATGTTGTCGTCTTTCCCACGAATGGCGACGTGGGAAGAGCTGATTCTGAGGATAATCGCGAGTCCATGGCATACTCCCTACGGGACGGGTTGAAGTACTCTAATGGTAACCGCGCCTTGAAACACTTGGGTGTGCCCGCCATCACTGTGCCGATGGGAACGCTGTCTGACAAGAAGATTCCTGTCGGGTTGACATCCACGGGCAAGGCTTGGACCGACAGCGAGCTATTGCGATATGCATATGCATTTGAGTCCTCAAGACGACGAAGAGACAGCCCCTCATTGGCACTTCAGCTGGACTCTGATATTATCTCAGTCAGTTTGGCTCGAGGACATGTCCAGCAACCGAGGAAGATGGAGTTGGTCGTATCTCGTGTGGTTGCAGAAGATGCCTCAACAGGAGCCTTGATAAGCCGGCATGTCGCTCTCAGCGGGTTATTGAAAGTCGACGATTCGTCTGAGGAGCCACATGCAGTGTCGATGCAGGTCTTCGTCAATGGAGACCGGATGGAGTCTCCCATACTTAAGGGTAGCCGATGGGAATGGTCTGGATTGTTGAAACGGGAGAAGATCAAGGAGAGATACCCAGTTCAGGGCAAGATTGCTCGAGATCAGTTCATGGTTGTGGTACTTGCTCAGACTTCAGATGGTTACTCGAGTGGCCGCTTGGTCATGATCGACTGAGAGGCAGCAGGTATAACATAAACCAATCGGTGAAAGCTCGAGGAACTTGATTCGAAGTGACTCGAGATGTGATTCTCTCTGCATTGTAAATTGGTTGAAGTTGACCGGACTCATACATGGTGTGCCATAAGTTGCGCCGCACTCTCGTAACTCTCAGGCCCCACCAATTGCTGAACTCGCAGCGATGCCTACTAGTTGAGTTTTGCTCTTGAGAATTACTAACCTTAGCTCTTTGCCGTTCTCCGGTTGCTTTCTGCGAAGAAGTACAATGGCGACTGGCTAACTTTGGACTGCTTATTCCTCAAGCTGCTGCAGATGTGCGAGCTTCTCATGTCGAATCCCAGTTCCTGGCTCCATTCGTTTAAGCTTAGGTTGCTCCGGTTGTTAACCTTTTTCCTTTTTTTTCTTTTTTTCTTTTGCGTGCTGCCGAAAGTTTTACCGAGAAAGAGTGCCGATGAATAGCTGTTGGTTTATTCAGTGGTTTGTCTGTGTGGTGCAGAAGTTTGTTTCAATGAGACTTTTTGGTCGAGTCCGCCGGTCCGTCCGTTTGCAGCAACGTGGACTTCAGGACCCATGAGTGATTTCTCACTAGATGACTCAGAAATAATGGCATTGAAATCCCTCAGGATGTCCGTTGAAAGGAAGAACAATTTACCCAGGTAGAGAGTCCTTAACAATTATGACTAAGCCCACCATGAGGTGCCAGCAACTGCCGAAGCGGCACAGAATGGCGCTGACAACAGTCAGCAGCGGAGGATTCTCCGTGCATGTGCGGTGATGGAAATATCATGAGATGGAAACGGCCTAGACCGTCGTCAAGTTCTTCTTGGACCTCGGAATTGTGCCGGGATCAGGCAAGGTACGGACATAAATCGCTCAGAATGAAGATCTCTTCGGACCTATTGGGATGCGGGGAAAGGGAAAAAGTCTGACAGTTGCAACTTACAAAGCATTGTCTAGTTTGAAAGAAAGAAAGAATGCGAAAGAGCCTGCATTCCGGCCGGTTGCGTGCCAGTTTGCCGCCGTCGCGGTGAGCCGCGGCGAGGGATTTCCTATACGTCAAAAGAAGTAGCCTTTACCAATTTGCTCTCCCTCTGCTCACAAAACCAAGTTTCTCATTGGCAAACAACGTAAACCCCGCTAGATGGGTACAAGCTGCCAGCACTTCTGGCTAGAACACCTCAACACACGTCTTACCCCTCCATCCGTTGTTCGACATGACGCCAACTGGCCGTCACGTACCCGTCAAGTTCCGCCCGGTTGCCAACGCGGAGGTGTTGGCGAGTTGGCAAAGCGGACACGCCCGCCAACTGGCTCCAACTTTGTGTGCCCGGTGGTCCATACTTTCGGGGCAAGTGGAAGAGCCTGTTGGAGACCCGTGAGACTTGTCCGTGACTTTGTGACTTGTTGAGAGGAGTTCTTGGGAAACCGAAACGGTACAGCAAAAAGCAAAAAGCAGGCTCGGGTATTGGAGCCTTGTGGGACCATTTTGTGAAAAACTAGCACCGTAGTACAATCCGCCCTGTCGATCGCTGCACACTACGCATGTCGTGGGCTCGTGGTTTGTTTCTAGGTTGGAATCCCCATCTTCCGACTGGTCAGAAGCAGACTCCGATCCTTGCGGGTGACCCGTCCGCGCCTCCGCGCCGAGTCAAGCGTCAGGGCTGGAACCGCGTGGCGGCGGGTTCCCTTCGGTGCCTCTCGAACCAGTCAAGTCTGTTCCTGTTTCTTTTTGCCTACTGTTCGGCAGTATGCCTAGGTTCCCGTACGTTGCGTTGCGTTGTACCTGCATCCGCCGTCAGCAGCTCAGAGGTCATCCTTCTCAGCCCTTGGGCCTTGGCCGCCGAGGCCAACCCTCCTTCAATGTTCCTTCAAGGCTCCAAGAGGCACAGCGCCAACAACAACTCCCGTGCTGGTGGCATAGGTCGTGGCCGACGCCTTGCCGATGTACCGCCCCTTGGCGCCCTTCTACTTGGGAGTCGGGACCTGAACCTTGGATTAGCACGAGCCAAAGAGCGTTTGGTTCCTGAGCCGTTCCTGTCATTAAACCTAATCCGGGCCCCTTGGCGACCTATGAGCGATTTTCACCCCCTGACAGAGCGCACCCCCCTTTCCTTGTTGGGCCTTGGCCATGCTTCCTCCTGGCCTTTTCTCCGACTTTGGCTGAATCTAAGCGCCTAAAAAACTGCCAAACTCGATGTGTCTTCCTTGGACCTTGCCTAGCGCATTGTTTCCCGCGACTGGCCCTCCCGTTAGGGCTTCCTAAACTTAAGTTTGTCACTCTGATTCTGACAGTAACACCGCAGCTTGATGAGGGGAAGCGGAAAATGTTTCTGAAGGTTCCACGGCTTCTATCCATCAGATTCATGGCAGTCCTTGATTGAACAACGAACCCGACTCGCCAACTCTTGCCCTGCGGGTCCGTTGGAGTCTGTTCAAAGACAAAGGCACACACAGTCACACACACACACACGTCTCCGGTCCTCTTCGGCCCCATCCCAGGCTCAGACTCTAAGGATCCAAGTCCAGCTGTACAGGCGCAGTGTCATCGTGGAGGATTGCGGCGTCTGTGGGGACAGAGCGCTTTGCTACGTGGGCCTCCGCAGATGGACCGAAGGGAAGGGCAAGCCTGGCAAGGCACTGACTGCCAGCACGTGTGAGTGACATTTCATCTTTAAATGATGTTTAAAGTTTTCATCCCGTCTGCTGTAGGGATGATATTTTGTATATAATCCCCCAGTCTTATCTTCTTCTGGGATGGTCTTGTTCTGATCACCACCACCATCCTTACACTCCCTCTTCAACTCTTCTTCTTCTTTCCCCAGTCATTCCCTCGGCCAGCTTTGAAAGCTCCCAGATCAGGCATCACTCCTTTTGAATGCTCAACCAGTAGCTTCACTCCTTTGCAAGCCCAAAGTTCCTGTCCCTCGACGTGAAAGTCCATACCACACTCAGCCTCGAATCTTCTACAGCTATCCACCTGGCCGCTAAATCAACTACATACAATCCTTTTCGGAAGAAACCTACATATCACCTTCAACTTCAGTCAAGATGTTCTCTACCACTTTGACCACGTTCCTTGCCGCCTCGGCCACCTTGGTCTCGGCCGCTTCCATCCCGATCCGGGACGCCGGCAAGTCCGGTTCATACAGCATGACGCCCCACGACTCCTACTCTTCTTCCATTGGTGTCCTCGGCTGCAAGATCGACACCAACCGCGTTGCCTACTGGCCCAACCCTCTCAGCTGCAACGACGTCTGCGTCAAGGTCTCCAACGGTGACCGCAATGTCTACCTCCTCCGCATCGACCAGTCTGGCGGTGCTTTCGACATCTCCTACGACGCCTGGAACTACCTCAGCACCGGCAAGTCTGCCACTGACGACCCCACCGTTGGTGGTGGTGTTCCCATGAACTGGGAGGCCGTCGATGCCAGCAAGTGTAGCCACCTTCTCAAGGACGGCAAGTTCCCTCTTTCTGCTGCCAACAGCATGAACTACCTGGCCTCCTGCCTCGCCGAGCCCGACAGCTTCGTCGCCAAGAACTACGCTCTCTACAACATCCAGAACCCTGCTTGCACCTGGGGTGTCGATGAGGTTTGCACCCTCGACCTAGCCGTCAGCAACCAGGCTGCCTGCCCCAGTGGCCTCGGCTCCGTCAAGGCTTTGACCACCCTCCCTGTTACGAACATTGGATACGGCACCGGCAAGACCGCCGTCGCTGTTCAGTGAACGCGTACAACAAGCACAGGTTGCTCAGAGATACCAAGATACGATGCATACGAATATTTATGATACATGTACATACATTATAGAAAGGGATCAGAGAGAAAAATGGAATTGATTATCCTCATGCTATCTGTCAATCGCTTGGAAACGTGGCGTGCGTGATATGCAACTGGAACACATGTTGTTGAAGGAACTGAGTCAATTCCAAGAGCTCCGCCACGGGCTAGCTGAATTCTGCGTCGAATCATCGACAATAGGAGATATTGAGTCGTTCTCGCTCATTTAAAATGCCGATGATCAGAGCTTCACGTACTCCACCGAACTGCTGCGGATATATAGAAGCAAGCTATGACCATCTTCGTGTCGCTCTCGGATCTCGACAAGGACTGATTATGGTCAAGTCTCTTGTCGGCGACTTACACTGAAAGGTCCAAATAGGAAGATACGGCCATAGCCGTGGACCTTGTCGTTGTCTCAGCCACATTGGTCGTTTGGAAACCGCTGCAGTGGGCCTACGGCGCTGCCCGATTTTTTTGATTGCCGTATCCTTCAACTGCAGGGTATTGACTCGAGTTGGTAATCCGTAGATCTCTCTGCCGAGGTCCCGTGCTTTAGGGCGGACTACGAAGCACGGCGGCTCCGTAGCGATGTGGCGCTCGCTACTTGCCTACGTACACCCATGCTTTCACAAACTCATCAATATAAGTTTGCAGATGTAAGCATAACCATGAAGTGGAATGAGGTAATGTAAATACGATACAGAAGCGCGGCGGTTAGTGAGTGCATGCAGCATGAGTGCAATAGCATTCATGAAACTTGATGTTCATAGCCTGTTGAGCCTGCATGGAAATATTGCGCAACTAAACACTATTCAACCAAAGTTCAACGTCTCTTTCATGTTATTTTTGACAATTCTCGGAAATATTTCAATTCGAGGTTCAATACAGACGTTGGCATCGGCAAGTTTATTTAGTGGATTCCAACGGCGAGCCACATCCTCGTTTAGTCATGTGAAAGCATACTGCAGAAAGACAGTGACAACGGGTTGTTGAAGTGTCGGTCACCATTGCTTCAAGTCCTCGAGTAATACATTCATGTGAGGAACGGGACGCGTACTAGATTGGTAGACTAAAATGGCCGAAAGCTAACACGCAACTGACACAGAGTCAAAATGTCAGTCGAACCGCTGGAGAAGGAACAGAAGCTCTTGTGCTGGATTTATAATTCAAGAATTACCTTGATGGATGATAAAGAGGTGATTTCAGGGTAGAGCACAGCATCTGGTAGTCTTTCTTCTCGCTGAGTTGATCCTCGCGAACCCTCATCTATCGTGTTGGATACACCCGAAGTATTGGCTTACTGAGGCTCAATTAAGAGAAACGCCAGCTAGACTGCTTGCCATAGACAATTTTTCTAGTCACTTGAAACAGTGACTTGTATGTCAGTACTCAGGGGTCTAGTACTTATGAATCTTATATTATCTAGGAATCGCGATGCCAAAGACTAAGGTTTGTTTCTAGTCACCCCTCTGGACACGATCAACGACTCGTTTTCTTGCCAATATCCTTCAATTACAACAGATAAAATCAAAGATCATTCTAGACATTTATCTTCTTCAAATTATTCATGCATGCCAAACCTGTCTCGTTCCAGCTAAGCACCGCATCGTTGGGATCTAAACAGCAACCGCCTGGACAGACGAAGACAAAGTAGAAGAGCAGGATCTCTCACTTCAGGATCTCTTATTTAGGATTTCTTACTTCAGGATATTAAGATAAAAAGAAATATGTTCAAGTTTGTATGGGACACAGATCACTCGGGGAAAGATGAGGTCAAGATACTGGTTCACGGAACAGTCCGTTCGTCCGCCGAAAAGCGGAAGAATAGCCCGTTGTCGCGAAAGCAAGCATAGACATCAACCACACTAGAGTTACATAATGGCAAGTCAGCATTCCCATCGCCCACTTTGCTCTTGGCTCATGTTTGATTCCTGGGAAAGTCAAGATCATGATCGGTCTGATGTACCAAAGCCTAGACCATTGAAGTCGGCCCAAACCCATCTGCCAGACTAAGCGGACGAAACCCAGACGCATAAGCCTTCCATTCCCGCCAATGACGAATCGCAGATTGACGAGCTGGCTCTGCCGTTTGGATACGGGAAGTGGGAAATCAGCATGTGTCTTCGGGGTTTTGCAGACGGCCGTAGAAAGAATTCATCTCAAAAACAAGACATCACTCTAAAGATGCCAAGGACTGAAGTATTGTCGACCTATGCGACAGTGGGGTACTAGAACAATTCATCATCCGACTATATGACAACTGCCGACTGATTGTACTGCGGTTTCATATCCACCAGCCCGGACTACGGTGAACATAAAACCCCGCTAGCCGCCAGCGACGGCCATCCATCGTCCTACTCGGTTTTGTTAGAAAGCGACATTATGCTTAGTGTTCCCTCTTCGCCTCATCTTGTATCATACTTCCCGTTGCAGATGTGGCGGCACTATTTGAATCCTTGACCCTACATAACTATTGTAAGATAACCCCAACCAACCCTCAGGAACACAGGCTCACCTGCGATAGCAACTTACAACGCCAACTTCAATAACGCCTCGACACGATGCTTAACTCAACCTTTTCACACCGTAAGGCTCTCGTCCAGGAGGACCCAAATGCCAAGGATGTTCAAGCTACCACAACACCCAAAGCTCAAAATGGGGGCCTGGTCAAGAAGACCGCTGGAACCACTCGACAACATCGCTCAAGCTGGCCAAGTTTCCAATGGTGGCTTATGGCCATCCCATCATTCATCATATCAGCTTACGGCGCTGCATTCTTCACTGGAAACACCCTGGGCGACCCACAAATCAAGGCGAGAATCATTATTTCACTCGGAGGCGTGATCCACATCGGGGGCTCCCTCGTGGCGATGGGTCTCGGCCCGTTCCAGTTCCTCCCGCAGTTGCGGCAGCAAAACATTCAGATCCATCGTTGGTTAGGATGGGTCTATGTCATTGCGGTGACGACTGGTGGCATCGCTGCGTTCTACGTCACATTCAACAGCGAGGCATTGCTATGGGGCAAGGTTGGGTTTGACCTTCTCGCCTTGGGATGGCTTGAGACTGCTAGACGGAGTATTGTTGCCATTCGGTCGAACGGAGACATCAAGAGTCATCAGGCGTGGATGACGAGGAACTTTGCTCTCACTTATGCTGCGGTAATGCTGCGGTGGCAGCTGCCTTTGATGATCGCCGCGGGTATGGAAGTCAGGTTCGCGCTGTCTATCACCGGATACATCTCTTGGATGCCAAATCTTTGGTATGTCGAACGTTTTGTGCTGAAGAAGGATTGAGCATAGTCCACGTCAATAGTGGCCAGAAGACTCCAACTTAAGACCCGTCGCAACTCTTTCTTTTGTCAAGCTTAGACGTGTAGACCGTTTGTCGAATCACGGTCATTCCGACAAGTCATCAATCATTATGGCCAATAGGGTCGGGGGTGTAATATTCGGCTGCAGCAAGAAAGACTAGAACGATGTGGCAGCGGAATTGACTTATAGCGCGGCATTTCGTAAAGCCCAGCAAAGGTTGGAAGGATTTAGTTGACAGGGCTAGCCGCACGCAACTCATATCACATACTAGATTGTGTATTTTCGTCTTCTAAGTTTTGTCTATTCAACCGGCTCTACCTTCTTGATAACCTTGGCCGGAACACCAACTGCGACTGAGTAATCCGGAATATCTTTATTCACGAGCGCGCCAGCACCAATCGTGCAGCCCTTGCCAATGTTGATTCCCGGCAATACTGTGACATTCGCTCCAATCCAGCAGTCATCACCGATGGTGATGGGCTCCGCATACTCGATGTTGTCCCTCCTGGACTGCAAGGCAGTCTCGTGGGTTGCCGTGATGAGACTGACTCCTGTGGCGAAGAAGACATTGTTGCCAATGGTCACATGCGCACAATCGAGAATGACGCAGCTTGATAGGTTTTTGGTCAGCATTGTCTATCTCAAGGGAGGAGATAACATACTTGAAGTTGGCATAGAAACGATCTCCGACCGTGATATTGCAGCCATAGTCAACCTGCAGGCTAGGCTCGACGTAGACATCTTTTCCAATACCACCGAAAAGCTCCTTAATCATGCCCACTCTCTTGTTGGCAACATCGTCTGCAGATTCGTCATCTCCTGGAACATAGGTGTTGAATTTCTGAGCCAGTCGGCGGGCACGGTGTCTTGATGCTACCAACTCCGGCGCCATGCAGCTGTAAAGCATGCCAGAGACCATCTTCTCATAGTCGTCGCACCAGGGCACATTTTCGAGGGTCTTGGCGAAGGCAATAGCCTTGTCGTCCTTTTGCGTACGGATTGGTGGCACCATCTTGACAATTGGAAAGTTGACTATGTGATAGAGAGGCTTGAGGTGAGATGTGACGTTGGAATCTATCGTTGTTGAAAACTGGGATGTCACTACCTTAAATTGAGCCACCCAGGTGGTGGAAGCGGTGACTCCCCCAGCCAATTCAAGTATGAAAGCGAGGGAGAGCGCATGACGCTAAGTCTTTTGGCTGGGGAAACTTCCTCTTTTGGTAAATACCCCAACAGGTCGCGGAAGATTCCGCAAGCGCCCTCAAACTATGGGGTGCGGGGTTGAAGCATAATGAACTTCAGACGACCTCTTCAATTTCGCGAAAAAGGTAGCGAGAGATGTTAAAGCTTCAACTCTTTTGGGATCAGATTGAGGACAGAGTACATTCAAAAGAAAGATTCAGCTTGTGGGTGGTTGCAACTTGCTGATTCAGAGATGTGGCATTGGAGCTGCTGACCACACGTCATCTGACAGATTCTGTGCCACAAGCCAAGTCGCTGAGACCGATTGCCACGCTTCCGGGGCGCCGCACTATGAACGAATGAATAAACAACATGAGCTCAAGTGATCTCGGCGACTCGACGTAGAATCTATGGGTTGTGTAAAAGAGCTGGAAGGTATCCATACTGCGCCACAATTTCTCAGCCCTGCCGGGCAAAAGCGATTGTTCCGAGATCAACGATGTTAATCCACGAGATATCATCTTGGCTTACTGGATTGGGAAGTATGAAGTCGTTTCGAACCACCATCTTTGAGCTCCAAGCACCCCTTATGGTGCCCGAGGCAGACACGGCAGACACGGCAGAGTTGCCGATGTTCACGGCTTTCCAAGTCTGGGCAAAGGATGTATTTATGCTTATTTCTTCCCCAAGTTTAAACGCTGTAACATCACCACACTAGTTGAGCAAGCCTGGATCATCAGTAAGCCACATCAAGCAAGACACTATTCCACCTTTATTGATACAAATACCGTTCGGACGTCATTTCAAACCCAGTCCATAAAATGTACGAGCTCGTTTCCCTCGTCGATAAACGCATCGATTAACACAACCAAAAATCGCACAACATGCTCAGCACCTGCTGCGACGCAACACCTACGCCAACTGGCTCACCCTGCGAAGTCCTCCGTCAGGTGGAACGACTCGGTGGTGCCCAAACAATAATAGACCGTGTCGATCTTGCAACCGGTTCCACAACACCATTCTACGTCCTTCACAGCAACAAGGAAAACAAAACGGTCGCCGTGTTACACGCAGACCCCCGAGCGCAGGCATCAGGTGAAGCGTTGGGCACAGCAAAACACCACTCCCTATCCTCGAAGATCGACGTTATTCTCCGCGGCATGCCGATCAAGATGAAGACAAACACGATGGGAAACTTGCACAGGTTCGACCATCAGGGACTGAGCTACAGTTGGAGTGTCTCCAACTTGAGCATGTCGATGAACACGATGTACTTGAAAGATGCCGGAGGAAACTTGCTGGCGACATGGAAAAGGTACCCTGAAGGCAGGTTAAGCGGCATGCTTGGACAATCGTCCCCGGCGTTTGAGGTCTACGTTCCGCCACAGAGCATTGACATGGACATGGTGATTGTAACGGGGTCCGCGGCGATTGAATACTGGCTGAAGTACAAGAAGGATTCCTACGCAGCGGTAGGAGAGGCCTTTGGTACAGTCTGACTCAGAGAGCTTGGATTCCTTAAATTAGGTACATGATGACTTGAGTTTTACTATTTAGAGTGGCTAGATTGTGCATTAGGGAGGCAAGCGTGGTATTTTGCCTACAACTTTACTATTATAACGAAGCGATAGATGGCATCGCCAAATAGTCGAGTACTCGTTCTTTTATATATTTGAGTCAAATAGCTTCTTGGTGATGAATTTCATGTTTTGTCAACCAACTTGCACTCTAAACAGCCGACAGGGAATTGCCTGTACATGGGCATGCCCCGATGAGCAGTATGTTACAAAGTATATTAAACATAAAAGCAGAATCAGAGGCTGGGTCTCCTGGGTTTCTCCTCAATCAAATACGCCAATAGCTGTAAGTGACTCCTCTTCTAGGAAAGGGATAGCTGACTGTTGGGCATAGGACCATGACTTGAAGAAGCGTGAAGTCAAAGACACCAAGATGCATCTTACAGGTAAAGGGCAATGGGCCAAATTTAGGCGAACCGCGGTCAGGAGGGGGATTTTGGAATGAGTACTTTGCTCCTGGCGCTTCCAAGGCCTTGATGAGATTAAAGGCAATATTGTCAAGGTAAGCTCTGCTGAGAAGACTTGAATCCCGAATTGACAACCTCTTTATGTCTCCCGAGGCCAGTCCACGGGTTACTATTACAAAGCCAAAGAGCCCAAGTGACAAGGGCTAAAAGAATTGATCATTCTCAAATTTGATATATTTGCACCCTCATGTCACTCGCATTGAGGTTTGATTGTCGATTTGAAGAGGCAGACTGGTCTTGTTCTCGGTGGAAAGAGGCTTCTTACCCGAGTGCCCCAGTGACGGACAGCATTGATGAGACTCGCCGCTCCTGCCTTGAGCCCTCCATCAACACATCTTCTTTCACAATCTTGCTCATTATATCACGAGCCCTCATCTCTACTTATCCCGCAGAACCCAAGGCAACTCACAAAACTGGCGAGAGCCCCCCTTCCCATTCTCAAGCCTGCTCCTTCCTTCTGCTTTGGAGGCCACTGTTTCTTCATCTCTACCCTCTACTTGCCTCGAATTTTTTCTGTCTTTCCCATCATCACAGACTCTCCCTCTCAACTACTTTCGCCCCAAGCCCATATCACACAGCAACCCCTACCAGCTTTCCAATTCTCTTCTACCCGCATCGTTTCAAGTCCTTTCACTTACTTCAGCTACCAGTCAAACTCCGAAGCCAACATGGATGAGTTCTGTGTCCGCCTCCTCTCCTACTTCGATCGCGGTATGGACGGCAAGCCCGGCCGCTGGCCTCACTCTCACCCCTCGCCCGAGGACATGGCTGGCGCGGGCTATCGCTTCCAGGGCAATCAGAAGGAGGGAAGCGACATTGTGGTTTGTGATTTCTGCACCATGCAGGCTTGGGCCTGGGAGAAGAAAGACGATCCCTTCGCTCAGCACAAGGAGTCTGCTAGCTGTGAATATGTTGACAGCGAGATGTTCCGCGAGCACCACACCAAGTTCCTCCTGAAGAAGTCTGAGGGCAACGGCGCCGAGGATTCTCTCTTCACTCCTCCTGCCACTCCTACCAAGAAGACGTACAAGCCGCGTCGGAAGTTGCGCTTGTCACCTGTCGTGACAATCTACGACAACATGCCCTCTCAGATAGCCGACCCCAAGGCCGTCAACGGCAATAAGCCGATCGAGATCGCGATTTCCACTGGCAGCACCGAGATCGTCATCCAGGTGATCGACGCGAGCAAGCGAGGTAAGTCGACAACTTCTCCCCTCCCGCAACCTTCAACAAAATTAACAAACAGGGCAGGCACCAAGAGAATCCGCCTCGACTGAGCAGCCTCGCGCCTGATACTCATCGACAGCCATCACGAATGTTATACTTGCTACGACTACCATCACACTTGCTTCACATACTCTCGTACGTCACATCCATCCTGACTTGCGAAACACCCGGCAGTACCAACATCTCGTACTGATATATCAGAGACTGATTTGCTACATTATCATTACCATTGTGTGCGTGGAGAGGTGACGAAGAGTCTTTCAAGACACGAGATCATGAGTACATGAGGGCACAACGAGACGCATCTATCGCGTCATACCGAGGGAGCTTTGCCCTCCAATCGAGCCAGAGACCTCGAACTACCCTGTACACAACCAATGTCATGTGCCTATGGGCGAGAGAACGACATGGACGAAAGGATTATGAGATATGAATTGGAACTTGCCCAGATGAGCAGGTGTAAGACTTGAGGATGGGTTTCAGAAGGCAGTACACGGCAGCAGTCGCCAAATATCAGTCATCAGCTGCATGTGGAAAGAGCCATCAGAAGACTTGCTCAAAGGTGGCGAGAAGGAATACATTCTCTCATCATAAGGCAACAGTCTCTAGGTAGCCAACAGATATCTGTATCGTTCACTCATCCAAGCCTACGTTCTAAACAGCCTACATGATATTGCAAACTTGGGTGGCAAACATTCGGCCACCGCCTATTGACTCCTTGCCCACCCGTGACATCGGAGGAAGGCAGCCTCTCCTACCAGCTCCTTCCTTTCGATGAGACCAGCGCCTCAGCCGTCCCCAGGTCTCATAGATCACCTCCTTCCCACTCGCCGTCACAATCCGTATCCGAAAGACCTATGGAGGCGGTATGACGGGCGGGCGATGCACGAAATGCAAGACATATCATCCAAGTGCCGGCTGGGAACACAGCACGCGGGGGATGAAAAGGGCTGTCGCGTCGGTGTCCGCGGGCCGTAAGACATTAGCACAGAAACGTGGGTGTGTGACACACCAATAAACACACAAATACCTACAGGCTGTCTCTGACGAGGCTTATTTCATCGTGTGCTTGAACATCTATTAGTTGCTTGATATCATGCATGTGGTTTCAAACGAGAGCGAGTGGGTGAGTTGAGTGCCCGTCATTGTGAGCGCAGTGACGCCGGCAGGAACCTACGCCGCAGCCACTAATCCCCCAACTAGAAATTCAACGTCGCGATGTGCTTATTGACAAAAATATGAGCCACCCACAGGCTCACCTCAGTCCGGTCGGAGGATTCTCAACAAATGCTGGGCGCAATGCAAAGGTCCTCTATGGTCAGAAAATGTGTCGAAACAGGCACTTGATCGGCGCGTGTGGTGGCCCTCAGGATCCGTGAGATGTGCCTGTTGGGTGTTCCTCAGGTAACTCCCGGTCGGGTGCTTCTGTAATATGTTTGGTCAGCGGTCAAGTTTGCACGTCGTAGTAAGGTAGTAAGGCAAGGTGTTAGCAGCCATCCGCAGCGGCGAGGCGGGTCCGTTCCATTTAGCTCAGGTTCCGGCGTAGGGCCAGGTGCAACCCGTACTACGAATGGAACGGCTGTCAGGCGGTGCGGTGTGATGCGGGCTGTGCGGGAGCGCTCGTGATGGCCGCACCGCCGGGTGACAGGACGGGCGACTGACGGGTGACGGGGTCGATCAATGACCTTGGCGATGGTTGACGGTCGCCAAGATGTAGGCAGGCTTTTTTGTGAGACGAGGCAGCTTTCGCCCAGACGTATTTAATGAGGCAAAGGGACTGCCTGTTCTGCAGTGTAAGTGATGGTTTTGAGCATTGTCGTGAACGATACGGATATCAAAAGAGCAAGCACCAAAGTAAATCACGAGACCGAGGCGATAAGCTACAATGACAACCGTCAACCAGTACCAACGTAACGGCAGATCAGGCCGCTCGTCGGGGCGCAACCCGCTCCGTACCGTCTGGCGCGAGACGTACGAGGTCTGGGATGGGGTCTGCTACGGCGTAGGGAAGGCCTATTTCAAGATCACCGGCAGATGGTGATATGCCATGGGGCAGGCAACACGGCCGGCAGACGTATGGATGATATGATGCATCATACATCATTGCATTCCAGTACCGCTGCGACGGCCCACCGGGGAGTGACGAATGACGAACAAGAAACGAGCAACGAGTAAACGAATAACGCGCCTAATGATTAACGACAAACGACAACCGGAGACGAGACGATAGATGACGGAGCACCAGGGGGCCAGAGGAATCAAGCATTTCGAGTATTCCGAGATCAACATTAGGGAACCACAAGCACGATGTTGACAGGAACCACCCACCATTTACCAATCCGAAAAGGAAGGCCAGATCAGACCAGGTCGAAAGAAACAACCCGCTTGGGCGGATGGGAAGATTGGCATCGACAAGCCGCCCACCGATGACGTCGGGCCTGGGAAAATCTCGATCAGCGCCGCAGACTCCAGAGCGCAGTGTCCTCTCTTGGCACTGTGGCAGATGGTTCAGCTGGAGGCGGATTCAGTGGTTCCCCATCAACTTGACACGGACTTGAGGGGATCATCCTGCCAAAGTGGGCCCCTTCAAGGCTCAAGGTTTTGGTGACGCCGGGAGGGAAAGGGACGGTCGCTGGTCGGATGAGCCGGGGGGAGATAGGTAACGAGGACTTGCTTGAGGATAAGACGCGAGAATCCGAGGAAAGAATATCGAGAACGCGGGAGCTGCGGACACGGCGGACGGGGATCCCGCTGGGTGGCCGCGGGATGATAGCCGGGTGGGATGGATGGATGCCTTTTGCGATTTGAATCATTTGAATGAGTGTGAAACGGGGCGCGAACGATACCGAAACGATCTTCTATCGACTGCCAACAAGAATAGCAAACGAACGCGGTAGGAGAATGGGAATTGGGGGGGAGGGGGGGGGCTGCATTGGAGTGTTGGCCAACCAGGCATGCCACAGGGACGAACAGAACAAACAGACCTCAGTGCTTTGGGGACTTGGAGTTGCACTGCCGCAGACAACGTCGCATGGAATCCATAGAATAGAAGATCCGTATATACGATCAGCAAGACATTGTTGATTCGGGGAGAGACAAGATGCAAGACGGGTGAAGGAGAAGCAAGCAAATCGTTCGTCCATCGTATTGGCTTCTTGCGCGGCAGATGAACCAGTGTCGAGCAACCCACATAAACCACAATTCTGTCGTTGGAAAATCGGGGCGGCGAGCATAAAGGTGATTCCAGATTGAGATTCGCACGACCGGGATTGATGTTTTGATGCCGGGCCTTGGACCAATGCCAGCGGCGCATCTCACTTTCGAATCAGGTCCCTCTGGCTTTTCTCTGGAGAATCTCTGGGTGTCTGGGTCGTTTAAGCCTGGCGCTAGGCCGAGAGTAAATAACTTAGAGTAAGCCACACCAAAAGAGAGTTAATTGGACTCCCGCTTCGCCGGTCCTATTTTTGTTGCTCTTCTTGCAAGTTGGCACCTGGCGAGTATCCGTACGTACTCCAGGTTTCAGGCCAGTATGGATGCTGCCACCACCAGCACTGTACTGGAAAACCCATCGAGTCAGGGAACATGGTGGTTAGCGCTCGCTGCGCCGCTGGTCAGAACTAAGAGCTTTTACTGCGTAGAAGTAGTGACACACCCACAGCCTGTAGGTGTGCCTCCGAGCCTCGTATTGGCGGCGGCGAGGTGAAAGTTTCGCCTCTGGGGCTGTGGTTGACAGTTTGTCGATGCGCTGCTTCATCGACAATCGGAGAATTCGGTCGGTCCCCGTCCGTCCCGAGCTGATGGTGAAGCTGCCCGTCATGCGTTGGCTAGCTCAGCTCGATCTGAGTTTGCTCTTCAGTAACCAAGGGCAGTGAGGCATCCATGAAGCAGTCAAGCAAGGATACGGGAAGATTGCGCATCGCTTTGTCATAGGGTGCTCGCCAGAAACATCGGTCCGTCTGGGTTCGAGTGCAGCGAGACAGCCACAGCCGAGCGCTGCGAGTCTGATGGATCATGGATGGATGGATGGATGGATGTGGGATGACTGGAGGAACAGACGAATAGTGGGATGATTGGCCTTGAGGTCTGGACCGCCGCTGCTGTCAGACTGTGTACGGAGTACCGAGTACATTGATAGAAGTTGGCGGTGCATCTGCTGGGGAGTCTGGTCCTCTGGGACTGTTGTTGCTCTCCGGTTTGTTCTACTCCTGCATTGCACAGAGTATTGGATTGCCCATTGTAACATTATCTGTGGTTCTCGCTGGAGATTTGGGCTTTTTGGCGAGTGACACCTCGGAGGCTGATATTGATAGTCGAGTTGGTCACGGTGGAGAAGATAACAAGAAAGCAATGCCGGAAGTTGATTGCAGTGCCAACAACAAGGAGACTGTGTCCGTATCTGACAGACAAGGTTGAAAATTCTTTTAGACCGCTCCTATGTTCGTCTCAAGCATCTTGGATTGGGCTGGGCAGAGTCGGTGGGAGTTTGTCGTGGCAGACCTGAGGGAGAAGGTCGCGCTGGGCAGCGGCTGGGCGAAGGGGAGGCTCTGAAGTGAAATTGACTTTTTGCCTGGTTGTGCGCTGCGGGACTTGACAGCGGGACGTGATGTCCACTGAGTAGTGAGGCGCAGAGGACGGACGACAAGAAATGCCAATGCTGAGAGGGGAATGACCTCTTGGCAAGCCAAGTCGAAGAGTTCTTGGTTTATCTGTTGAGGCCAAAGATGGTGATGGTTGGCGCTTGGCGGTACACGATAGCCTCCAGTTGTTCGTCTAGTGGACGGAGACAGGCTGTAGCATTTCGGCGACTTGTTGGTCTATCCGTACGGAGTAGAGACTAGGAGACTTGGAGTCTTGGACACTCGAGAGTGGACCAGACGAGGGGCGGCGGCTGGGTCGTGAGAAGATGAGCCCGGCGTCCACAAGTCCCGGTCTGGAAGGTCAGCCGGTTCTCCAGGCCGAAGCTCACCTTGAGTGGAGATTGCCCCTATTTCTCGCTAATTCACTAATGGCCTTGGTGGATGAGGCGGTGGACCGTGGCCCCGGCGGCTACAGTGTGAACCGGGGGATCGTTTTGAGTGCCACGGCTCAGCGTTGGTTCGTGACGGCGTCAGAACTTAGAAGAGAGTGCTGTCGAGATGGATGGGGTAGAAATGCAGTGAAGATGAGGCCATAACTGTTTTGTGCGTGAGATACCTGGGCAAATGTTAGTCAGGTATGTGGACGTCATAGGGGGCAGTAGGATGGACCTCTTTCCACACTGTGCAAAGTCTCTCACAACCTTGAAACGAGATGAACATGGCCCAGGCGGTTCCCGGCGTGCATCTAGGATACGTATCTCGTGTCTCTTTTTTTTTTTCTTTTTTTTTTTTTTGCAGAGAAGAAGGTTCTTAGGTAGGACATTCCTTTAGTACTGTAGGTTCGGTTGGCAGATGCATGTCGAGTGCAGGTGCTAATTTGGCACAGGTGCAGGTACCTCGTGATTCAATAGTGTCGCGCAGTGGCTTCAGGTACCGTCGCATCTCTTCTGCTCGTCTCGTCCAAAGAATGGAAATGAAGATGCAGGCAATGAATGGTTGGGTGCTAAGACGACTGCGCCTCGCTCTCGCGCCGGCTACTCGTGTCTGCGGTCTGTTGTCTGAATATGTGTGCCAATGGTGTATCCAATAAGCGGCATCAGTAACAGGATGCAGAGATGGATGTGTGTTGGTGTTTGGTAGCGCAGGTAAGGTATTCACGAACGGGGATCCAATTTGCGCATCGAATACGGGACGATTGCTCAATGAATTGGTAGAGAGCGAAATTGGATGAATGCTGAAGACTGAACAGTACGGATAAACGGTGACAAAAAAGAGGGAAATAGAGATTAGAGAGGGGAGTGGAGGGGAGAGACTATGAGAAGAAGGCAGGGGGGGAAGCAAGAGGCATGAGGCTAGCAGAAGAAGCTTGCCAGTAAGGATAAACCAAAAGGGGCCACCCCTGCCCCTCCTTCCCTCTTGCCCACGTTGATTATCCATGATCCCTGTCCCTTCCTTCCCTGCCTGTTCAAACTTCAAGGTACCTTTTTACGCCTTCCGCGCCGTTGCTTCCTACCTACCTACGGATACCTAGTACCTACCTTCTTGACGCCGTGGTCTAGCCTGCCGCCCCGGGACTCCTGCCTCACCAGTCGATCCTTCCTCTCTGCCTGCCTTCCACAGTCCACTGTAGCAATTGCAGGCAGGTTCATTTCTCTCGCTCTTTCCATCATTGAAAAAGATACATCTAAAAGTACAGAGGTACTTGCAGGTTGTACTTCGTACCCAGTGGGTCTCCCAAACCACTCATTCCAGGGCGTGTTTCTGCTTTTCTACCTCGCGCCTCCCTCCCGTCACAGAATCTCTGACTTCTCGATTCTCCTTTCTCCTCTCCGTGTTTCCTCCAAACCCGTCCACTCCCTCACTTGCTATCCGCAATCGTTTCTTCTTTTAGGGGAATTTATTAGACAAGGCCTTATTCATCTTGAATGTGTGTCACTGTCTCTGAAACCCTATTCTTTTAATCAACAACAAACCACTTCGCACTCTCGTTAGCTCAACCAATTATTTCTACCTTTTGCAATCCCGTTTGGATCCGGATACTCAGGAAAGACAAGATTCCAGGCCGAGAATAAACACAACAGCCCAACGTCACTTCCCACTTCCCGACAACAACCTCGACGACGAACCCGTCCGAGAAGATCCTCCCAACCACACACTCACACAACCATCACAATGGGCAAGGTCGCCGCCGCTGTTTCCGCGGCTCTGCTGCTCGCCGGCAATGCTGCTGCTCTCGACCCTATCGTCATGAAGGTATGATGCCATCCCCCCCCCCCCCCCCCCACTCTCTCCAAGACTGGCCGATAACTAACAATTCAAACTAGGGCTCCAAGTTCTTCTACGAGAACGGTACCCAGTTCTACATGAAGGGTATTGCCTACCAGCAGGACACCGCCGCCGCCGGTGGTGAGTCCAAGACTGGCGAGTACGCCGACCCCCTCGCAGACGAGACTGCTTGCAAGCGTGACGTTCCCATCATGGTCAAGGCCGGCACCAACACCATCCGAACCTACGCCATTGACCCCAAGAACGACCACGACGCCTGCATGAAGCTCCTCAGCGACGCCGGCATCTACGTCGTCTCTGACTTGGGTGAGCCCAAGCTGTCCATCAACCGTGACAACGCCCAGTGGAATACCGAGCTCCTCGACCGCTACACCGCCGTCATCGACTCCCTCGCCAAGTACGACAACACCATCGGTTTCTTCGCCGGTAACGAGGTCTCCAACAACAAGACCAACACCGAGGCATCCGCCTTCGTCAAGGCTGCCGTCCGTGACTCCAAGAAGCACATCAAGGACAAGGGCTACCGCTGGATGGGTGTCGGCTACGCCGCCAACGACGACGCCGAAATCCGCACCAACTCGGCCCACTACTTCAACTGCGGTGCTGAGGAGACTGCCATTGACTTCTGGGGTTACAACATCTACTCGTGGTGCGGTAAGAACACCCTCGCCGGTGCCGGTTACACCACCCAGATCGACTTCTTCAAGAACTACTCCGTCCCCGTCTTCTTCGCCGAGTACGGCTGCAACATCCCCGACGGTGCCGATGGCCGTATCTTCCAGGAGACCACTGCTCTGTACCAAAAGGAGATGACCGATGTCTTCTCTGGCGGTATCGTCTACATGTACCACCAGGAGGCCAACGACTACGGTCTCGTTGAGATCAACAAGGGCGTCGCTACCCCCATGAAGAACTACGACCGGCTCGCTGCCCGTGTTCTTGCCGCCACCCCCGACGCCGTCCAGATGGACTCCTACCAGCCCACCAACAAGGCCGCCGAGTGCCCCGGCACCTCCTCCACCTGGGAGGTTCACGGCGAGGCCCTTCCCCCCACCCCTGACAGCTCCCTCTGCGACTGCATGGTTAAGTCTCTTTCTTGCACCCCCAAGGATGGCCTGAAGGCTTCTGCCATTGGCGAGGTCTTCGGCTACATCTGCGGTGCCTCCCCCGACTCTTGCCGCGGCATCAACACCAACACCACCACCGGTGTCTACGGCGCCTACTCCATGTGCACTGACGAGCAGAAGCTCGCCTTCGTCATGGACACCTACTACAAGGCCCAGAAGTCTGCCAGCACTGCTTGCGACTACGATGGCCAGGGCCAGGTCGTCACCCCTGCCTCCACCGACAGCTCTTGCAGCTCTGCCCTCGCCTCCGCCTCCGCCGCCAACAGCGCTGCTGCCACCGCCACCGCCCCCGTCTCCTCCACTGCCAAACCCAGCTCCAGCTCTTCTGGCAACGCTGCTGCCGGCAGCCCCTACCAGCCCATGTTCAACTTCGGCGGCTTCGCCATCGGCGCCTACATTATCGCCGCTGGTGCCGTCGGCGCTGCCATGGTTGCTCTGTAAACGGTCTCTTCATCTAATGATGTTTCGAGGTGGAAAAATGGGGGGGGTGTGCGCCCAGGATCAGGGCGATATACATTATGCGAGCGTGTAGGATATCCGACGCAGGCTACTACGGTGCCTCGTTTAATACAGTCACAACTCGACAGATTTCATTATTGGCATGAGGTTCTTTTGTGTTTCTCACCATCACATGGCGTTGGGACCTCGCTGGCAGCAGCTATTCTGCTTCATGACTGGCCGACAGAGGTCAATGTTGTTTTCTAGTGTCTTTTGGCTCGATGAATAGAACTTTTTCTTTTTGTTCGCATTGGCTGCCTGTCCTGATTGACCTTGTGAATGCGTGACTGTAAATGCTGCGTCTTGGCAGGACTCTTGGACTGTCTGTGGAACATTTTCAAGACTTTTATTGAAGCGGCGAAGATACAATCTATGTCTGCCAAGATGACAGCTTGATCTTTGACTGCTTTTCATCCTCTTGTGGGGATCTTTCAACGACGATCCCAAGCCGTATCGCAGTTCCAGGCTGTCGCAGCCTCTACCCTGGGAAATAGCTCGACAGAGGTTGTTCGCCCCAGTGCTGAAGCATAGACGCCGTAACACTGACTGGTGCTCGTGATGACCCCCTTTTCCTGATGGGTTGGGAGGCTCAAACCAAGGACGCTAGCGGAGCGTTCTGTTGTTTTTTTTCCGCGACGAACTTTGTCTGGTTCGTCTCTCTTTTGTATGGATACGTAAGTACGGATGGTTTCTCTAGGGTGACGAAACATCTGGCTTCCGCAGTTCGTTGCAGACTCAACATCTACCACGGTAAACACAGTTTCAATTGTTTCGTCTGATACCTGTTTGCTCAACTGGGAGCAGCTCTTTTTACACAACAGGGCTAGGCAGGCCACTGTGAAAGGGGTGTGCAACGTATGGTCATTGGGTAACTATTTACAACAGAATTGTTCCCTTCTGGTCATCAAATGCACCTTGAGGCAAGTTCGCGGAGAATCAGGCAAGGACGAGATCAGGTCCTTTTGGTAAAACCTGAAATCCCGGTTCTGGGGTTTGAGTTGAAGGATAGTGCGCATATGACCGCCGAGGCACGCCATCTGGTCGCCCAGGTAGGAACTCCAGCAACATTGGACTTTCCGTAGAGTTACTCTGAGATGCACCTTTCCGAGGAAACCTCGAATCGTTTGAGAATAAACTGCCGGTCACGACCAACCCCCTTCACTTCAAGAGCTCGCGGTATGGGTCGAAGAGGCTGTGTTGGCAAACTGGGCAAGATGGTCAGTGGCAACGAATGTAGAACTATCTTTGGCCCAGTCAGCTTATACGTTACTTACTACGTTGACCCTTATCAAGTCTGTTCAACCTTGTTTCGTGAAGACCACCATGTGTCGCAACCACTCGGCCTCTCAAAGGTTACCGGAGAGATTCGACCTTCAACGGGAATCGCAGGCGGATACTCGAGAGTCACGCCTCTAGCTGCGGTTGTCTAGATGACGCCGTCGTGTTCTGTAAGTAGGTAGGAAGAACGCAGTACGGTTGGTTTCATTCTTCCGTGATAATTTGGTGTTTTCTGCTTCGGTCGAGGGCCTGTTAGCGAGCCTGCGAGCTTGTTGTAGCCCTCTATCCAAGTCACGCTAACTCGGTCTGTTCTATTTAGCTGATATGTAGCAGACTGGAAGAAACGCCACTTTGAGGGCTGGCTGTAGAAACTCTCAGGCCATCTTCCGAACTGGTGTGGTCCTCTTCTTGTACAAGCCCCTGAGGAGTTGGCCTTGGGGGACATCTTGAGAGTCATGGGATCAACGGTGTGGACAGCATTCTTCGAAATTTCGAAACAAGTTGTCTTTTCGCCTTTCTATTCCGAATCGGAACAAGATTAGATACTTGAACTGTAGACCATGCGTCCTTACGATTGAAAAGGGAGTTGAGTGGAGTGTAGCTGGCCAACCCTAAGTTCTAATGATCAACACGATCTACGACTGGTTCAGTAGAGGTGACGACAGTATCGTGGGAAATTAAAGTAGCTGAAGAGAGGGATAAGGGAGACGGTTCAAGTGATAGCCTGAGATATTCGAGGAAATACTACATTGTACTCGCTGTATTTCGAATGGTAGGCAAAAGCCGGAAGGCCAAAGGCTTCCAACTTTGGAGCAGGACTACAATAGTCCTTTGCAGAAGGAGTTTGCAATTGCCCCTTATTATCATCGATACCGTCCGTAGTATGGCCGGAGCCAAGTGTGTACATAGGGGTTATTCGAAGCGTGGGAGTTGGATTGCTCTGGTTAATTGCTTTGGCGGTCTCGCTAATGAGCATCTGAAGAAGGTAAATGGATATTGGTTAGTTGTGTCTCCGACTATTAAACAGAAAAGTCCGTGACATTCTTTGGTCGCAACTAGCATGTGGATGTTTCGAAGACGTGAAGAGAAGAGAAGAGGTTGGAAACTTACGGCTTCGTCGGTTATGAACTTTGGCACTGATGGTGTCATTGGCACGGGAACAGCAGTACCACGGGCAGAGATCTCTGACACTGATAACGGAGCACAAAGGTATTATGTCTATCTTGCCTAACATGGCTGTACGAATGGAGGCCTCAAAATAGTAATATCATGTAAGAATGAGTTGCGAAAGCTACGGGAAGAGGCGCAGATGGCCGTACTTGCCCGGTTTCGAAAAGCTTCAACGACTATCTGAGAAGTGCTAGAGTAGAGCCACATAAAGAATCTTTCCTATCCTTCTCCATGGACCAACAAGATTGTGTGAGAAATAGAGTTCATTACGACTGGCGCCTTTGAGAACCCTCAAGTTTACACAAATTCTGGAAGGCCGAGACAACCGAGGAAGTTCGGCCACTCTACAGGCTTTGGTTCGTCAGTTCCAAACCGCAAGGTACGTAACTTTACGGCGATGATCCTTCCTCGGTCTCAAGCAGTGCTACAGGCGTCTCCTATTCCATTGAATGCAGCCTTGCGGCGCAGAGATGCAGCCCTATTCTCCAGGCCACATGTAGACTCTCTATTCATCATTCAAGAACCAAGCAGAACACGTAGCCTAACCAACAAGGTATCACCAAGCTCTGGGTGATTTGTTGGATCTGTAGGATCATGATGGAGGCTGGGCGACTTTGCACGTTTTGGGATTGGTTTGCGAATCTGCCGCGAATCTCATTGAGATGGAGAGGGGGGGGGTGGGCAGCAAAAGGACAGGAGGCAATTGCGGGCTGTAGGCAGGCAGACTACCAAGAAGCGACGGCGTGGCACGGCGGGCGAAAGATGTAGGTAGGTTCAACCCAACTATCGGGATTTTGTGTCGTTGAAATTAGCTTCAGTTCTCGTTCAATCGGACACAGGAGAGGTGATCGTCGCCCAATGGCACGCCATAGAAGGGTCGAGGATGCCGAGGTTCGCACCGAGGGAGGGGGGGTTGGAAGGATGGCTTGTCAGGTCTAGACTGGACAGTTTGATGTCCTACCTTAGTCTGAGCCTCTGAGGGGGAATCTATAATGGTCGTCCGCCGTCCGGACGGGTTGATCATGGAGGGTGTGGCGTGTACCTATGCATCCTCACATCCTCAATAGGTAGGAGTCGGGACCTAGACTCGGGAGAAAGTGTGCATGATCTGTGGAGGGATGTATCTGCGGCGGTGCCAATGCTGCTTGGCTGGTCCTATTTCTTGTTGTTTGGTAGCACGGCGAAATTGAAGAGGGCGGCATCGAATCACCTGGTTCTCAAGGGTCCATGCTCGCAGCTCTCGCCCCAACGCCAACGCAAGGGAGACTGAAGACGATGTCTGAACCGCGGTCACGGTAGTGGAATCCTTACACGTTGTTGGGATGATGTGCGCTAGGACGCTTGAGACAGCAGTCAGTCACAGACTCACAGACACGAAGACCGCCATGTCGGGAACAGGGGGGCAACAGCCACGGGCAAGGGAAGGAGGCGAGTTAACGACAGCTCATCTCCCTGTTGATGTGATTGGGAATGCCTTTTCGATGCTTTCAACGACTGTTGACGACGGACAAGACGGCAACATGGCTGTAAACGTCGGGACAGGACAGGTCGGGGGTGGCACGCGGCTTTTGCCCAGACACGCTCCACAGGGTTATATCACTTTGCCTGTGAGATACCCTGAGCAGTGTGTCATCAAGCCTGAAGAAGAAGCATATCACTTCCTGTCGGTGTCCTCAAACCCTGGCTCATATCTCCATTTCCCCATGTACGCCTCCGTATGTCCCGTCGATCTTCTTTGCTTCTCAGTTCTCACCCCTCACCCTTTCCCTCAAATCAACTGTTTCTACCTTGCCGACGGGGCCGCGTATCATCCCAGAAAGACCCGGGAAGAGAGGGAGATGAGAAAAGCATCCATATTGCCAGAACAGTGCGCCTAGTACGTTCTCGGGTCTCATCGCGTGGGCTTGCATACCTTAGCCTCAGCTTCGCGTCTAGAACCGAATTGGGCAATCCGCCGGCAGACGATCCAATCGCATACCCGCCAAGCCGCTCCGGCGCACAGTACCGAGTCGACCGGCCGAACCATGACCACTTTTGACCATTTTATTCATCTTGTCTTTCTGTATTATGAGTGGACATTTCAAGAGTGAATGACCGACACACGTCCCCTCTCATACTCCGTAGTCCCAAAGGGCCCATGAATGATCAATGATGGGCCCCCTTTCCCCGGCTTTCTTCCCACTAGACTCGGCGGACTTCTCACCACCCACACGGGACGTGGAGGCTCCAGCTCTCTCTCTCCACACGCACATCGTGCCTTTACCCCGCAGCCAAAGGCCGGGACGAACCCACTTTGAACCTTTGGTACCCCGGATTTGAGCTGTTGTGGCTAGCCGCACGCTGTGCCGCTGTATTTTTGGTGAGCATGGTTGAGTCAAATGAGTGGATTTGAGCGAGAGTGAGTGTACAGAGTATGGAGTGAGAGAAATATGAGAGGGATGTGGGATTTCAAGAGGATCAATATCGGCTGTCGTAAACATGGGAGACTACCAAATGATATCTCGGTTTCTGCAATTCTACAATTTAGCAGACTACGGTATGTATGCGTGTCTCTATTATCTGCCGTCTCAATACCTAGCTACTCCGTACATACCAACACCGTCTTTGGCTGGACCCGTCTCCCGGTGTCTGAATGTCTTGTCTCTGACGGCTAGAGGGAAAACCGATGCCGCATACCACACCCTTTCCGTGGCTTTCGTTCCGACTTTCTCATCCTAATGCGGCACTGCGGCCACGCCCTGGTCCTTTCAGTCTTGGCTTCTTCGAACGAGTCGACGACTCGACAGGCTTCTTCCTAGGCTTGCTTGCTTGCCGCCACCCTCGGTATCTTCTTGTCTTGTTATGAGTTTGATTGGCTCCCCCGCAGCAAAAGGACAGCAGCATCGGGGGTGGTTCCCCCCATCCCAGGGCGGGGGAGATATGGGGACGTGTGCTTTGCTAAGGCTCCTTTCGTCTATGGTTTTTTCTGGGGAACATGGGGAAAAGGAACGCCGGTGGTTTGGATGGCTTCAAGGCCCTGGTCTTCGGTCCTTGGGTCGTGGTGCTTTCGTGTGTATGTCTTGTCTTACGGACCAGGGGGGTCGGGGGGTGAGATGAAGGGGGTCGTAGTCGTCGTCGACTTGTCTTTTTCTTTTCGCGGGGAACTGGGGCTGGACCCGAACGGATACAAAAAGGCTGTGTGCGTATCGTTATCGAATCGTCGTGTCATCCGATGCTACTCTCAGGATCTTTGTGTTTCTTGAGTAGATAACCTCCAGAGTTTCCCCTCTTAACTTTGGTTTGCTTGTTCCACATCCTTATTCGAACGGCATTCCTCAGTCTTGCGTCGGTGTTGATTAGAAGGCCCAGATCTCTTCCTCGACTGACCCCCTCCCTTGGTCAAACTCAATAAGTGACGCACAACCTGCAGCTTCTGTGCGCCTCTTCCCGCGTCCCGGCCCTTCGACATCAGTCCCTCCTCTTCGACGACTCATTCACAACGAGCTTCGATCAAACGACAACCGCCCACCATGGATCGTCCCGTCTCAGACCCCGAGAAGGCAGGCTTCGAGCACAGTGATCACGTCAGGACCAGCTCCCTCAACGACTCTCACGACCTCGACATTGACCATGGCTTCACTGCCGAGGAGCAACGTAGTATTATCAAGCGTGTCGACCGAAGACTCGTCGTGACTGTCGGCCTGATGTACTGCGTGTCACTGATGGATCGCACCAATTTGTCTGCGGCTGCCATTGCTGGCATGACCAAGGAATTGGGTCTCTATCTTGACAACCGATACGTGAGTGAATTCATCGTCGAATATGCGGTGTGATGAGGGTGGGTAGCTGACCATTCACTGCAACAGAGCATCGCTTCCCTCCTCTTCTTCATCCCGTACATCGTCTTCCAGCCGCCCTCGACCATTATTGTTCGCAAAATCGGTCCTCGTCTGCACCTGGGTGGAATCACCCTCTTGTGGGGTGCTGTGATGATTGGTATGGGTTTCTCGGCAAAGTACACACACTTGTATGCATGCAGAATCCTGCTGGGTGTTCTCGAGGCCGGTTTCTTCCCCAGCTGTGTCTACCTTCTCAGCACATGGTACACGAGATGTAAGTTGTCCCGCTCACTACACCTTTACGGCCAGACTTCTGACCGTACCTAAACAGATGAGGTTGGAAAGCGGTACTCCGTCTTCTACCTCCTCGGCTGCGTCGCCTCCGCCTTTTCCGGTATCCTCGCCTTCGGTCTGATGCAACTTAACGGCCAACAGGGCTTGACGGGATGGCGCTGGATCTTCATCATCGAAGGTGCCCTCACCTGCGCCCTTGGCGTTGCAGGCTACTGGCTCCTCGTTGACTTCCCCGACTCTAAGAAGCGCAAGGATTGGAACTTCCTCGGCGAGCGTGAGCGCGCCTGGATCGTTTCGCGCGTGAACCGCGACCGTGGCGACGCCCATATTCCCGCTTTCAACCTGAAGAGATTCCTCGGTGCCGGCACCGACTGGAGAATCTGGGCCTACGCCATGATCTTCTTCAACACCACCACCGTCTCGTACGCGCTCGCATACTTCCTGCCCATCATTCTCCAGATCAACATGGGCTTCGATGTCGGTGCCGCGCAGTGCCTCGTGGCGCCCCCGTACGCCTTTGCCGGTATCGTCATGTTCGCGACCGCGTGGTTGGGCGACAAGATGAAGTTCCGTGGCCCCGTGGTTCTCATCAACATGCTCTTCTGCATCGTCGGTCTTCCCATCATGGGATTCCACTCCAGCGCGGCGGTCCGCTACTTTGGTGTCTTCCTGACCACGGCCGGTGCCAACTCCAACGTCCCCGCTGTGATGGCGTACCAGGCGAACAACATCCGCGGCCAGTGGAAGCGCGCTTTCTGCAGTGCGACTCTGGTCTCGTTTGGTGGTATTGGAGGTATTGCCGGCAGCTTGCTCTTCCGTGAGCAGGACAAGCCTCACTACCGCCCGGGCATGTACGCCTGCATTGCGTGCAGCTTGTTGACGTGCATTTTGGTCGGCTTGTTGACTGTGGATGCCTACTTCAAGAACAAGAAGGCCGACAGGGGCGAGAAGGAGCTCGAGGCTGACGATGTAAGTGTTTCCCACGAGACTCTAGGATCTGAAACGATTGCTAACTCAAGTTTGCAGGAGGGTGCTCAGCCTGGCTTCCGGTACACCTACTAGGGGACATATATGGGGTGGCTGAGCGTGTTTTATGATGAATGAAAGAGATTATGAGAATCTCAAGCGTGGTTTTGAGGGATTCAAGGGACAAGGTGCCCAGCGTCATGAGAATATTCTATCCGTGTAGCAAGGCGTGTGCCAATGAATCATACCGAGCGAGAGCCCATGAACGAAATTATTGTGAACAAATTGCGGCCTCCCATGGTGTTTAAGTAAGTGATATTGCGCCATTCGACAAGGAATAGTAATCTCTCCGCGATCGACGAAAGAGCCGAGGCATGCGACGGCAGCCAGACGAGAGCTGCGTCGTTGGCGGCTGCGGGATTCGTGAAGAACCGTGGGAGACGGCGGCGCTAGGCGCCTTCGGCGATGCGTGGTTGGCCGGCGAGGGTCCGGTGGCTCGGGCTACTCCGTCTAGGTCTAGGTCTCGGCGCCGGCGTCGTGCATTGGACCTTTGGCATGTGTGTAAGCCCTACGGTTTCAAGGATTAGTCTTCCTGTCATCATGTGGCTGGGTAGAAGCAATTGCATGGTTCTGCCTGCACATGTCAAGGCTCTATGGCCAGGTTTTCAACGTTCTCACTGGCGGGGGCCAGGCGCATCGGTAACTTCACATCAGTGACACGTTGCTTTGTCATTTAAAATGGCGTCCGTGTGTGAGGGAAAGAGAGGAGAGCCTGGAGCGATGACAAGTGTTCACAGTACGACGCTGAGATCATCATGTCTTGAGTAGCATGTCTTGAGTAGACACTTCTAGTTACTAATTACCTTGTCGAGCGAACATACCATCTATGAAGGACGGGTTCAATGAGAATGTGTTGTTGATTGACAGTAGTGAGTCGTCATAATCCCAATTTAAGACACCCGATGGCGGCGAACTTTGCGCATGAATTGCAGTCTCTTGGGCTCGTTATCTTGTCGAAAGCAAGCATAGAATGGAGGAGATGTTCTTGATTGATGTTCGACACTTTGCCCACGAGGCATGGAGAGCAAAATGAGTACGATAAAGCGTTGGACCAGCTGCTGCAAGATACCGAGGCTGCTTACACGATGAGCTAAAATGGGCTTTATGGACATGGCGTTCGCCATGGACCAAGATCAGTTGATAGTCTGACCACGGATTGTCGACTGAAGTATTGACGCGATGCTCGGGAGATTACGCCTTCTGCCGACGCGGCAGCGAACAAGGCCGTGCTGGCTTGCTGAAAAATCGAGAATTCGAACCGAGCACTGTCGAGTCTAGGCTTGCGCTCATAGCTCTGATTACTCTTGGAGAAGTTCCTAGAGGCCAGAGATGCGACGGCATTGATGACACGTCCATTGAGTTCTTTCACGGTCGAGTAAAAGACGTCCACGAGAGGCTGTCCTGAGAAGGGTTCGTGTCATTTTAACCCAAGTGGTTGACGTACACGCACAGCGCACGCCCACGCGAACCGCTCGAACCCTTCCTCTGTCCTAGACCCGGGACAACAGATGAGAGACCACAGGCGGTTGTAGTTGGTGTGAACGCATTCACGTGCCATTCAAACATGTCGATGAAGTCTCCATATAAGTGATTCAGGACGATGATGGCTTCACGTAAATGCGTCAGGTCATAGTCAGCTATGCATGTCACTTGTGTAAGCCTACTTGGGATGTATACGACAGGCTACTTGTCATTCGGCATCTCAGAGAGGCCTCAAATATCCGCACCCACCTCAGTGACTAGACGGATACATACTCCGTACTCGCAGCTAGGCAAGCAGCTCCTTGCCAAGGGCAAACTTGACATCGGCTCAAGCACTGTCAAGCGGCAAAAAGAAATGGAAAGCTTGGCTTGCTTGAGCCAAGATGCATATTACTTGGTGGGATCGACCCTGGACTTGGGAGGGACTCAAGGGAGAGACTGTGAGAAAGAGAGATTTTACGGGCATTTTTTTTTTGCAACAATTTAGCTCTTCACCGTGGCATGGCCGAGCTTGCTAGGCGGGCCGGGTTCAGAATGATAGCTTGGCAGGGGGTGGTGGGAAAGAGGATATTTGGCATTGGGGCAGTGTTCTTGGAAGTTATTGCAACTCTGTCCTCTGGTGTTTTGATTATCTCGAGTCTTTGACTTTCGAGGTTGAGGCTTGAGACGTTTCTGACTACAGCATCGTGTGACAGGTACATTGGCTACTGAGTAAGTCGTTGACTAAGATGAGCGAGCATTCTACAATGATGAAGTGCAGGTGATTGTGCTGACTGATGCCCGTTGTGCCGTTGCGGGCGGACCGGCGAACCTGGAACGGAAAGTCGGCGACGGGGAAAAAGGAAATGGGCGAATACCTTTTTTTCTTTGCCTGGGGCATTTCTGAGAGGGTCCACTTTTGAGAGGGGGAAAATGCCTGTCTCAGCCAATGGAAATGCGCTCAATGCTGTTATGCCTCGATGGGAAAGTGCGGTACGTACCTGGCTGACGAATGGGAAGGACCTGGATGGGATGGGAAACGTGCAGGGCAGGTCCGAGGAGCACCTGCCACCTGCACTCTGCAGATTCCCAGAGTCGCGAGTCGCAAGGAAGGAGCAGACAAGTCACAAGTCACAAGCACTGCAACAACAATCAACAGAAGGCAGGTGTGAGGGAGTCAGCAACTGCTCAAATTGACAGTGAGAAAAAAGCAAAGTACTGTTTCGTGCATGTTTATAGAAAATAATACTTTGCACCATTACCGCGTCATCTGCTCCGGCCAATCCAACGGCGTCCCTTCCACTTCACGACGGGCAGTTTGGGTGACGGATTCCCCGGCAAAGTATATCGTAGCCAAACCTATGGGCAGAGATACCTCGGAGGTTGACCCCACTTTGCGATATGGGCGTTACCGAAGCCTCCGGCTCGTCTCCATGTATTCGTAAGGTACGAAATACGTATTCCGAATTCGTAGGCCGTCCAGGTCAGTTAGGTCCGGTCCATCAGCGAAGCCATAATCTAATGGACACGACGACCGGGTCTTTTCCAATTTGGCGCTTGTCTCTCCTTTTCTTTCAAGCCCAGCCGTGAGCCTCAATTCTTCTTTTTGCAATTCTCTCTTTTGCATCCTACATATCTCTATTTGCACGACATATCGCCACCAAAGCCTCTCCGTCCGACAAACACCGCCATAGGAGAGGAGGCCTGCGTGCGTCCAAGGGTCCCGTCGCCGTCCCAAGATAGCTTCCCTCTCCCTTCCTCCCTCCCATCCTCCCACACCAACCTTACCTTGTCCTAACGTAACGACCGACCTTCAAGCCTTGGCCTGACCGACCGACCCACCGACCGACCGAAAACCCTCAGACCCCTTCCCGCGACCCTCTCCACGCGCCTCGACGCTCCAGTACCGCTACGCTACACCTCCCCCGTAGGCATTCGCTTGCTCTACAGCGTACCGCCTACCCGTCTCGTCTCGTCAGGTCCCTATTGTCGCTTACCTGACCTTACCTCACCATCCTCGACGCTTCGTCCGAACCTCGCCAATTGCGTTGCTACATCCTCAAGCCCGCCCCGCTCCAAACACTCCAGCAGGCTCAAGTCTGTGACACGTCTGGCTCCAGCGCCCCGACAGAGCCCAGCCTAAGCAGCACAGGGGACGCTTCTGCTATTTCGAAACGCCCGTCATGGCGCGACTCGACTCTTTTACGGCCTCGTTGCCGCTGAAGTCTTTCTCCTCCTTCAAGACACTCGCTGCTGCTGCTGCATACATCCTCACATCGCTCCCCATGGCTCTCGGTCACGAACACGGCGTCAGCCACATCCAGGAGGGCGAGACCGTCTCGCAGGAACCCATCGTAAGCGACCACCACTTCACCGAACGACAGATTGCTTGCAGACTGCTAGCAAAAACTCCCCCGACCTCTTGAAACACGGTTAAGAAACACGAGAAACGAAAGAACAGAGATGCTAACTGACGATAATTGCAGGACACGATATTATGGATTCACATCTTCATCATGATGCTGGCCTTCGGGGTCATCTTCCCCGTCGGCATGGTCTTGGGAGTAAGTGGCGATCCTACCCGTCTTCACTTCTCGAAAGTTGCTAACAAACGCTTCCCTCCAGATGACCAAAAACCGATGGCATGTTCCGACCCAAGTCCTCGGCTCCGCTCTCGCCATTGTCGGATACTTCCTCGGCCACATGCATGGCGGAAGACAATTCGTCGCCCATAACGTCCACGCCTCCTTCGCCAACTGGCTCATGATCATCATGGCCTCCCAGGTCGGATTGGGCATCTACCTCAGGCTGCATCTCGAGAAGGGTATCAACGGCCGCATCCGCCGCTTCATCAAGCCTGCCCACAGCATCTTGGGCAAGGCCTCCCCAGTCTTGGCTTGGACACAGTTCTTGTTTGGCGGCATCACCTCGTTGGGTTTCTGCCAGGGCGACCACCTCGGCCAGTGCTTGGCGCATTTCATCATGGGCAGCGCTTTCATTGCTTACGGAATCATCTTGACCCTGCTTCTCCTTGTCGGACAGTTGTGGGTGCGACGCAGCGGCCGATCCCAGGAATTCTTTGACAGCATCGTTATTGCAGCATGGGGCTGCGTGAACACCTTTACTGAGCATCGATGGGGCACGGAATGGGTCAGGAATGACTGGCAACACACAACCATGGGAATCATTTGGTGGTGTGCTGGCCTTGTTGGTATCTGGCTCAGCCGGGACCGTGACGGAAACCCCAAGCGCAACTTCATTCCCGGCTTCGTCATTGGTGTTACTGGATGGGCCATGTCTGCCCATCCTCAGGAACTTCCTATCAGTGCCATGACCCACAACATGTTTGGTAAGACTCTGATGGGTGTTGGCATTACTCGTGTCATTGAGGTTGCCTTTGTTGTCAAGGACGGCGTTGGCGTTTCCGCGGATGGACGCCAAACGAACAGCTGGCAATTTATCCCTGTCTTCGTAAGTTATCATGACCCAAAAACTGTCCCTGAGCACTATCTAATGTCTCCTAGCTTTTGTACGCTTCTGGCTTCCTCTTTATGGGCGCTACTGAAGAGCAGATGGAGCTTGTCGCCAACTCCGGCCTCGATCACGTGTCGTACATCCTTATTATCTACTCTTTCGCATTCCTGCTCTTCCTCTTCACCATGATGCTCATCCACCTCTTCGACCGCAACACCAACACCGAAGGCAAGGTCAACCTGGCGAACGGCGTGCCCCTGGCAAACGGTCGCCCCGGTGAAGCCCGCCAAGTGCGTGACGCCGAGGAATTCGAGCTCGAGGGCCTCATGAGCGACGACGATGACGATGAGGCCCGCAAAGGCCTGAAGGAGGATGTGGACGACGAGGGAAGCCCCAGCAGTCCTAGTACCATTGGCAAGAATAGTGACAGAGTGGCGCGGTGATGGGGGATGTAAAAGAGTAGTATCCGTCGGCGTTGATTGAATAGACAGGAAGGGCATATCGCATTTCAGGTTCGGCGTTTGGATTCAGGTTGCACCACATTTCATGGGCAGGAAAGCGTCTCCATAGGACAAGAATTTCGATTTGCAGTTTGACATGAAGCCTTCACAAACTCGGATCTATCATGGTATACAGTGTATTGAGAAGCTAGACACGAAAGATAGAAACACGGTAATACTTCAACTAGCCGTTTTGAGTATTGGGAAGTACTCTATTATGACTGCTCCAAAAGACTGAGCGGCACGCCGCCAGAGACCTGGTGTACAGAGCGTGCTTCACCTTGACGCACACCGGCCTCGGTGAGAGGTGTGGGGTCAGCGAGGGGCAAGCGGGGCGGGCCTGGATCCCGAACCTGCATCCCGCCTCGTGCTCCACTGTAAAAAATCCCAGAGCGATGCTCAATCGCATTTCGTCTGCCGACCATTTTGCCACCCCTTCTTCGACACCGCCTCTCCTCTCTTTCTCCCTTCACGTCGAATAACCCAAATCTCTCGACGACACCGAAAGACACCGCCACCATGCCGTCCGTCAAGAACCCCAACGGTCCCTCCAAGAACCGCCTGGCCAACAGGGCCCTCGGCGCCAAGATTGCCCGCCGCAAGAAGTCCGAGGCGAACCGGCACCAGATTGCCAGGACGGACACCATGCGCGGCGCGAGGCCCGGCCTGATGCCCACCAGCGGTCCCAACGCGCCCATGAGCAAGAAGAAGGCCAAGAAGATGGAGAAGAAGATTGCCAATGCGCTGAGGAGGCAGATGGAGGCGGATGGGGAAGTTGTCATGCAGGGTGAGTGCTTTTGGTGACTTGTGGAAAAAGACGTCAAAGGGGGGAAGAGATTGTTGTAGTAAAGGACGACTAAAGCTGACTTGACTCCTTGCAGACGTCGAAGGCACCGCTGAGAAGCCCGAGGAGGGAGACATGGAGACGGAGACCATTGCATAGACGCTGGGCGATGAAACGGAAGCAAGGTTGAGGGAGTTGAAGCCCGATATGGCGTTGAGGGGCACGGGCATAGGGAGGATAGGTTCAGAGGGAGCAGTCATGGCCATGCTTCGTGAGTAAACCCGTCTATTGCACTTTTAAAGATATCAGCTAACAACCACTCAAGTCTAGAAACCAATCTACCGCACCACGAACCTAGCCCAAATACATACGAAACTTGATACCCCCAAAATCAACATGATATTGTCCAAACCTGATCGCGAGCAGCCCGTGCCTGACATCCCCTGCATTGGCACACGAAAGTCCAGGGTTCGGGGGGAGGTGAAGGACCCGTGGGACTCGCCGGATAAATTGGCTCGGCTGACGTTCTCTGAGAATCAATCGTACCAGTCCGCGAGGCGGCGAGTGGCGCTCCGTGAATGAATTCTCCAAGGTTTCCCTTTGATGAGCGCGAGACAGATTGGTCGACTGGACGGGACTGGTACTCTCTGTGCCCGAATAGTCCCCATCCCCTGGAAGCGTGTCTCTGTTCAATGTTCGGCAGCGAGTCTTGGGAGGATGAGAGTAGGTCCCAGTTGTCCTCGGGGCTGTGTGTCTCTACAATGAGATCTGACTGACTGGGCAGCGGGACGTCTTTGGAGGATAAGAGAAGGTTGGATGTAACATCTGAGCTTCTAGTGTTTGGCACAAAGTCCGGCGATATCATGGGTAGGTTCTGGTAGACGGGGAACTGTGCGTCTGGCCCCTGAGCTTCTGGCCATTGATCTTCTCGCTCGTAAGAAGTGTTCGGTACCATTGGAGGCCAGTAATTCAGTTCCGGGATGACGTATGCAACGTTGGGCTCCGCAAAGCCGTCCTCCACGAGATTCTCACTAGTCGGATCAGTACGCTCTTCAACAGCTTGTGTGCTTGCTTCCTCGAGCTCAACGTCGGTGTCAGTCTCCGTCTCCGTCTCCGTATCAGTCTCAGTACTCGTGTCATTATGCCAGGCTGTATCACGCCAGCGCTGATAATACCCCTTCATCTCTTCCGTCATGCGCTCATACATCCTCTGGCTAAAGAATGGATAGTTGATGCCATCCGCAGCATCCTCTTCGTCATCGCTATCTACGCTCTCGAACTTGGGCATTCGGCTGATGTAGTTGTGGAAGATGATCTGGCGGGATACGCAGGATTCCATCAGCTCCGCCACGATTCTTCGCTCCGAGGTGCGGCACTGCTGCTCATAGTCGAGGAGGATCTGGAAATTGTCGACGCCAGGCATGAGTTGTGAGGTAAAGAACGTTGGCTCTTCCCCGGCGAGGGCGATCTTCTCGGTGTCCTGGTTGGGAGGGAAAGAGAGGAGGTTCTGGGCCGAGGAGCTGTTGCTGGAGCTTGAAGGGGTGTCGATGACCGAGCTAGTGCTTGCGGCGGAGGAAATGCCCAGAGATGAGTTCCTCTTTGGAAGACGATACTTGTCGCCAACGATGAAGTCTAGCCAGCGGTCGGCACTCTCTTCCTGACGCCGGATGTCAATTACATCGGGTGACCTCGGTCCCTTGCCTTTAGCATCATCGCGGGCCTCTGCTAAAGTTTCCAGACTCAGAAGCGGACGGCATGCGCCCATCTCTGCGTGTGTCTGCACTGCGAGGGGTTGCGAAGGGTTATTAAGCTGGTGCGCCGCCTCGGGGCGAGCAGCTCTCGGGGAAGGCTTGGGAGTCGGCTTGACGATGCAATAGTCGAGCACGCCGACGATAGTCATCAATGAATCCTGCCATCCATCGAGGTATCTCTGCTTACCTGGTCTTGTAGCAGCCGATTCGACGGCTCGGAGCATCTCAATTTCCTCCGCCAGAATGTGGATGATGCTCATGAGAGCTTCGCGGGCGGCATTGTATCTCTCTTCGCTGCGGCAGGTTTCGGCGAGCGCTCTGAGTGTGTAGCCTGCTACTTTGATTGGGCGTTCGCCGCCGTGGCGGATGGGCATGAAGTAGCTCGCGGGATAAAAGTCGAGCTTTCCCTGTGTGCCCTCCGCTTGCGAGGACATGCTGGCTGGACAGCTCTGCATTTCAGATGTATGGTCTGTTGGTGAGAGTGAGAATGGGAATCTCGAACGGTTTCGAGATGGAGAAGAAGAACAAGATGGTGTTGCCCAGGTTGAGCGCAGATGAGGCCTTTTTGACACAAAATTCGGGTACCTTCTTCGAGAGATATTGCATTGGATCATGGCTTCAGGAAGAGCCCTGGTACTAGATGAGCGACAAGCTGAAGCTGCTGGTATCTTTGTCTCGGTTTCAAAGGCTCTGGGATCTTCAAACGTGGATATCCGTCACACTCAGAGCTCCAGAGATGGCCTGAAAGCCGTTTGGGTGACGAACTGGAATGATCAAAGACCATATCACAACTCAACAACTCAGATCAAGTTGGAGAATGCTTGAGAGTTCCTCCATGATTTCCGACTAAAGGTAGCTTTGAGGAGACCAATGGCGAAGCAGACCAACAACAAACGCGTCTTTGTCAAGAGGCTATGAAGCAACTATCACACACACCGGCGCACACAATTGAGGACCTGCCAGCTTCACCTTGGAGTAAAAGACTTCAAGTCAAGAAACAGTCGAAGATGATGTTCATCAAGGCACTATGAACGAATGTATGTGGCCGTAGACCACTCGTCAAAGGGACTAGGATCCTCACCCCAAGGCCCAACACCAGGCCCCTTGAAGAGTGAACCTCCTTTCCAGACCCATGCGACATTCTCAATCTTTTGCAGCACCCTGACATCTTCCACTGGGTTCTCCAACAAACCAAGAACGTCTGCCTCGTATCCAGCTTTCAGCTGTCCCGTCTTGGGCGCTTGGCCACCCACGCTGAGCGGCCCGTTGGCTGTTGCCGCCTTGATAGCCTCCAGGTTGCTCATCCCGGCTTTCACGGCCGCCTCCAACTCCATCGCCATGTTGAACCCGGGTCCTGTATCTGTACCCAGGGCGATCGGAATACCAGCCTCGATGGCCATCTTGTACGCCACCAAATGGTTCGTGGCACACAGCTTCACCTTTTCCCACGCCGTGGGAGGTATCCCCTTCCCTCCGGTACCGAGCAGCAAGTCCATGACGAGACGCGTGGCGATGTAGATGATGCCCTTCTCCTTGATGAGATCGATACACTCACGGTCAGCAAAGGAGACGTGCTCCAACGTTGTGACACCGGCCTTGATGGCGGCCATGATACCGGGTTTACCGTGGACATGCGCCGCGACCACGCGATTCTGTCTGTTTGCCTCTTCCACAATGGTTTCGAGTTCCGCGGGACTGAACTGCGCGTAGAGCGGGTTATCGTCGCGGGACATGACACCACCGGAGGCCATAACCTTGATGCACTTTGCGCCTCGCCGAATCTGCAACCGGACGGCACGGCGACACTCATCAACTCCGTCCACAATCATGCTCGTCGCAGTGCCAAAGTGTCCCGCAGTGACTTGCGACACGCCCAGGTTCAGCAGCACGTCTCCAGCCGGGAGAGAGAAGACGTCACCATGACCAGCCAGCTGACTGATACATGCACCGGAGCTGTAGACGTTGGGTCCTACGATCGTACCGTCCTCGATGGCGCGGGAGATCTCGCAGCCCATGCCTGCCACATCGCGGAGGGACGTGTATCCCCTCTGTAGGGCCAACCAGCACATGCGCGTGAGACGAGCGCCGGATGCGGCGGGGTGCTCGGTAATGAAGACTTGGTACGGGTCGCCGCTCGATCCTGCGTCAGGAGACTCTCCGCCAAAGTGAGCGTGACAGTCCCAGAGACCGGGCATCAGGTATGGGATCGAGTAGGACTTGTGAGGTGATTCGGTGTATTCCCTGGGGATTGACGATTGCGGGCCGACCCAGGCGATGAGCTTTGAGGATATGACGAGGGCGGCATCTTTGATGGTTTCACCGTCGCCGGGAATGAGAAGTGAGGTTGTGATGATGGTGAGAGTTGTCTTCTTGGAGGGGCTAACAGGTAGGTCGGTGTCGGTGTCGGTACAGGATGGTCTGAATGAGCCACCCAGAGACGAGGAGTAAATCTGGGCTGGTCGTTCGATGAGACGCCGAGTCATGTTGGCTGTGGTAACTGAGTTTGGTCGAAACTACAAGTGAGCTATTCAATTGGCGTCTTCTGAGTTAACCGCGACATGAGATCGAACTCACATTTTATGAGGAGGCTGATGATCCTTCGCGGCGTTGGAGGATCATGAGTGTTACAGTGGTCCCGAGTACCTAATTAGGAAGGTCGTCGCCGTCGTCTTACTTTGCCGCCTTTGACCAATCCTCATTGAGACTGAAAGGCTCCTAGAATTAGCCTTATATCCGGGATCTTTGGCAACTGTCAGACTGGCTATGAGAAGCGACCGATACGACTCGGAGAGATGAGTTTTCTCGGTGAGGCTGTTTCAACGTTCACTTGGAAAGGTGATCGAATGGCAAAAGTTCACTCAACTGAGATCATTGTAAGAGATGTGAGATTGAAATGAGTCGACTTACATTACTCTCATCCCCATCTAAGTAGCTATCCGAAAAAACGCAAGTCTACTTCGCGCTGCTTTGCAAAACCTTGGAAGCCACCTGCTGACACAAATCCGTGATACTCTGGTTCTTGAGAATCTCAAACACGGGCACCTCGACACGAAGCTGCTTCATGAACCAATATCGCACCTCAACCGCAATCAAAGAATCAACGCCAACAACGTAAGCTGGTTTCCTAACATCAAGCGTTTCAATCGGCACAGACAGAGACTTGGCCGGCTTCTTAACAAGACCCTGGGTCACGATCTCGCTGGCAGTCGGCAGGTCAGGCGCTGCCTTCACCAGAGCTAGGCGATTGACGTCGTCGCTTCCATCGCCATTGCCTCCACCAGCCCCACGACCATTGCCTATATCTTCTGTCTCACCCATACGGAGAAGATTGCTGAACATGGGCTTCTGCATCCAATCCAAGAGCCTCTGTTGTGTCATGCGCGCCAGGTCTGCCGCGCTATCCACCATGTTGACGACCTGGGCTGCCCCAGGTTTTGTGCAGTCGTAGCCGGGGTCACAGAGCAGATCAAGTAGCTCCATGAGCTGTGCTTGCGTGAGATTGTCATGCCCGGCGCGGAGGCTCTGCGTCACGGACTCGTAATTAACGTTGGCCCAACCGGCCTCAGCGACGAGCACCAAGTCGACTGAGACGCCCTTGAGGCCTTGCGCCACACGATGCCGTGCGAGAGCATCTTCAAATGCATTTCCTGCTGCGTAATTGCTCTGTCCGCGATTGCCCATGATGCCACAGAATGATGAGAGCAGGACAAAGAAATCCATGTCGTTGGGCAGGAGCTGATGCAAATTCCATGATCTAGCGCGCTTCGGACCAAGAGTCTCATGGAACATCGAGTGAGACATCTTGGCAAGCATATCGTCGCGGAGAACCATGGCGGCTTGTATGCAGCCCTTGATCGGTGGGAGCTCTCGTGATGCCTTGCGGAACGTCTCCTCGACTGCTTTCCGGTCGACGATGTCACAGGCCGGGGCGAGCACTGTGACCCCAGCCGTGCATTCGAGCTCTTGAATAAGCTTGAGAGCATCTGGCCGCCCTGCAGCACCGCGTGAGTAGAGGAGGAGCAGGTTCCGGGCCCCGCGCGAGACCATCCACCGAGCGATCTCGCGACCAAGACCACCCAAGCCGCCGCTGATAACGTACGTGGCATTCGCTTCGAAGTTGTATCCGTGTTGACGCTGTGAAGGTCGATACTCCACCGTGTCGGTCGCGGAAGCGTAGTCAATGATGACCTTGCCGGTATTCTTGCCGCCCTGCAAGAAACGCATTGCGTCCTCAAGCTTCGAGGGCGAGAAGATGTGAAGCGGCTTGGGTTCGTGTAAGTGGGGGTTCTCCTCGAACAGCCGTGTAACATCTTGCAGGATCTTTTTCATGAGTGGCTTCGCCTCTTCATGAACAACGACCAGATCGACGGCAGAAAACGTCACATTACGGTTGAATGGGCCCATTGGAAGCGTATCATTGGCGATGATATCCGCTTTGCCAATGTCGATGAAGCGGCCAAAGGGTGCAATGCATTCCCAAGACTGGCGAAGGAGCTCGCCGCCTAAAGAGTTGAGCACAACGTCCACGCCTCGACCCCCAGTTGCATGAAGCACATCTTGGGCAAAGGTATCGTCACGGCTGTTGAAGATTTGGTTGTCCGAAAGTTCAAACAGCTGCTTGACAAGGTCACGCTTTGTCTAGTCAGACTCCCCACGGTTGCAAAGATCTTGGCACCTCGAAGCTGAGCGAGTTGTACGGCTGCCTGTCCGACACCTCCAGCAGCTGCATGGATAAGGACGGTCTCGCCCTGGCTGAGAAGTGCGATATGATTGAGAGAGTACACCACCGTGGACCACACGGCCGGGATCGCTGCAGCCACTGGGAAAGACATGCCTGCAGGAAGCTTCTCTGTTTGCAGCCCGGGGCAGCGCACATATATTCCGAAGCCTCCTCCAGTCGAGCTGCAGAACAGCACAGAGTCGCCTGGCTGAAGTTGACTTCCCGGCGAGACTCTGGAAACGATGCCGGCACCATCGAATCCGAAGCTTCGCCCGGGAATCTGCCCGAGAGCGATCATGACATCCTTGAAGTTCATGCTAGTCGCCTTGACTTCGATCTCGACATCGCCTGGCTGGAGGTCCTTGCCAACCTCGGCGTCCTCGGCGTAGAAGATGGTGTCAAGGAGTCCAGGGGTTTCAATGGTGATGCTGATGTGTGGCTTCGGACTATCTCCGTTGAATGTGAACGACTTGAGCCTACCACCACTTTGCTTCGCGGAGAGGACTTGATCCATATGAGGAGTCGGCATGAGGCGAGGGATGCTGATTAAGCCATTGTGTTCGGAGAACTCAGACTCGTTGTCGGTGCCCGGACAAGAAGCGTTACGTAGTCTTTCGACTACACGCATGATGCTTTTAACTGCACTTGTGACAGCGGCGGGGTTCTCAGGTCGGGAGGATAGATTCAAGGTTACGAAGCCTTGATCTCCTCTTTCTGAACAGACACTCCGATCAAATCCGATGGCGACCTCTGCCGCTGGATTGGTGGCCTTTGGGAGCTCCTCCGTACGTCAACCACAGCGTGAATCGAGTATCGAGGCAAATCTTCTTGGTCGCCTCAAACTCGTTTGCGGTGACAGATGACAACACGGAATCATCTAGCTCTAACAAGCTGATGACTACGTCATCTCTGGTGAGTTTGGTGTCTCCTGGCGCTGTGCTCGCCATGCTGCAGATTTCCACCCCCACAGGTTGGGCCCCTTGGCTGAGATGGCTCCGAAGAGATTCAGCTGTAGAGGTCTGGGTCGCAGAAGTAGGGTTCACGATAATCTTGTAGGGCGACTCGACTCCGGCCGGCTGACTTGAGAGACTCTCATTCTCCGGGCGAGTAGTGATGATGATGGAGACTCGGTGATGTGGCTTCTGCTCGTGGTCGCGGAAAGCCATCTGAATACCTGGGGAACCAGCTTCCTGGAGAACCGTGGTCCATTGCTCTTCCGTCAGGAGAGGGCCCTGGTCTTGATACTCCTTATCTGTGGACCACCACTGCCCCTCCCGCAGCCACCAGCCAGGCAATAGGCCAAAGATGAGGCCATCACGGACATTGTCCAAATTGACCGTCTCTCCCAGAACGAGCACACCGCCAGGTCGTAGGAGGCCTCTGACGTATCTAAGTGTCTGGATCAAGTCGCTTGTGGCATGCAACACGTTACCTGCAACCACGACATCGTAAGTTCCTTCAGCAAACCCCCGGGTATCAGGGTGCTTCTCAAGGTCTAGCTTCTTGAACGTCATATGGCTTGCCGCGTAAGAGAAACGCTCGCGCGCCTTTTCAAAGAAGCCAGCAGAAATATCCGTGTAGCAGTACTCGCCGAAGCGCACAGCCTCAGGGGGACCACCTTCAACCCCCTGTGCAGCCAGGTAAGGGAGAATTCGACCGGTTGAGCTCCCAGTTCCAGCCCCGACTTCCAACACGCGGAGTTTTGGATTCGCATGGGCTAGGACATTGATGTACGCTCCCATCTTGCTGTTATTCGTAGCAAAGATGTCGGAGTGGTAAAACTCGTTGGCAAGATTGCCCTCGAAGATTACCTGCAGCGCATTTGCTTCTCCCTTGAGGATGCTGTGCAAGTGTTCACCAACCTTCTTGGTGAGTCTCTGGGTAGGTTCGCCGTCGGCTTCATCCAAGATCTCCTGGATACTCAAGTGACTTAAGCCCCGAGAGTCCAGTGTCCAAGTATCCCGATTTTGGTGCACACGTCGCATCCACTTGACATATCGAGTCAAGTGATTATCGAAATGAAGCGGCTCGTCTTCTTTGTCAATTTGCTTCAGAGCCGTCTCGATGAAGTGCAGAGCAACGGCGTTGGCACGGTCGATGAGCTCTTTCGGAGGGGCGCGGCATCGAGGATCCTCTTTGAAGGCAGACGCAAAGTATCGACATTTGGCCTCTACATCTAAAAAGAGACAAATCGGGCTTGTAGTCGAGACCATAGAACTTTTGACCCGATTCGCCATGAGAATTAGCAGCGTCGGCTGACTTGAGACTTGTGATGGCGGTGCCACGCTGGCCGTCAAGGACGAGAACGGGTTCGTTGGAATCAGCGAACGTGACCAGCGTCCTACACTCAGCTTCTCGGAAAGCTCGCATAGTCTCTTGAGTTGCAGCTCGCAGCTGAGGAGTTCCAGGCGCCTCGAAAGGTTTCTGGGATACCCACAGCTTTCGCAGATGAGAGAACATCATCGTCGGGACGGCATTCCAACCGCCTTGGGACAGGGCGACCATCTGAAGGTGACAAACTGCGTCCAGAGTGCTTGGATGAACCACGCACGGATCTTCCAAAGCATACGGCATGGTTGAAGTACAATCTCTCGCTGCCAGCGTGGCTGTAGCATGGCCTTCTCTGTCGTAGGAAATGTTTCTCAGCAATTGGAAGTACGGTCCATAGTCGAAGTCTGATCGCTTGGACATGTTCTTGTACAGTTGAGTGGGGTGTATAATCAGACGGCACTTGTAAATGTCTGCCTGAAGTTGCTCTTTGATAGACATCTCAAAACGGGCTCGACGGGCTTCAGAAGAGACGGCTTGTTCCGGTCCCAAGACTTGCTCCGGTTCGAGTTCGACTTTGATGCTGCCATAAGCGCACTCGTTCCAGTCGTCGCCATTGGTTCCAAATACCCGCCAGTCGTAACATAGCTGTTGTCCGCTAGTATTCGTAGCTTGTCGACGGCGCCTCATCGCAATCTTTGCTTCTGTGCCGCGCTCTGAGTCGTCGACATCGATGGCTCGTAGAAAGCGAACGTTGTCTAGCTGGTAGCCGCGGATGCGTGTCTCAACTGGTGCGGCAAGCTGACGAGCTGCTTCAATGGCCATGACAAGCATGCCGGAGCCCGGGTAGAGCAGTGAGCCGTTCAGGGCGTGGTATAGAATCTAGGGGTTCTCTTGGGAACGGATCAAGTGTCTCCAACTTCCCTCTTCAGGATTCCAGTCACGATCTCTTATACCAAGAACAGCGTGCCGACGGTATGGACGCTTTGCGTAGTTGCGGCTCAGTCTGCTCTCCTCCCAGAATTCTCGAGATCGATTGAAGGGGTATGAGGGAAGGTCCACCAGAAGCTTGGGTTTCCGAGATACCTGAGCCGATTCTTGGTTTGGCTTGGACAAAGAGATTGGGATGCCTGATGCCCAGAGGCTACCGAGTGTCTCCATCAACGATTGATCATCATCGACGTTGGGCTTCAATATGCTGATATACTGCCACTTCTTAGTAGCCTTGTTGCCGAGATGAGGTGTCAAGGTGTCTTGCACAGGTCGCCGAAGAGCCGACTGCGGACCGATCTCTACGAGGAAGTGTTGCCCTCCGTGTTTCGACGCAGTCATGGCCTCAAGAGCACTCGAGAAGAGGACGGGAGAAATAAGGTTCTTCACCCAGTACGCAGGGTTTGTAACAGCTTCGAAGGTTATGAGGCCTCCCTCGGTTGATGAGTAGAGAGAAACTGGGGACGCCTTGCGTAACCTTTCGGCGGCTAAGCCAGTAGGTGCACCAATATCGCAGATTCGATCTTGATATTCGGCCGCGACAACTTCCATAGCCGGAGAGTGATAACCAACGTCAACAGGAAGTCTTTTGACAAATATCTCTTCCTTCTCCAATCTCTCCAACAGGACCCGAACCTCTTTGGTCGGCCCTGAAAGTGTCACGTTAAGACTCGTGCCCTCCAAGTGAGTAGGTGAAGAGATTTCCGCGAATCTCGGACTCTGTCAGTAGAGCATGCGATCCATCGTCTTTGATGTTGTCCGAGTTAGTCTCGGCCTCCAAGTCTCTATTCCTCTTCACCATGAAGCTCAGCAAGTTATCATTCTGCGTCTTTCATTTCGTCGAGATACTGCCGCATCTCAGCAACTGCATCGCGGAAATGCTTGATCCTCTGCGGCAAGATGGGAAGGCTCATATCCCAGCTTGGCACGAGCCGAAGGATGAGAATGTCCTTGAGACTAGTATGAAGACAGTGCTTGTAGCTTCGCGAATGTCCTTTTAGAATGCAATCTCTTTCAGGTTGCTTGAAGTCATATGCAACCCCAAAGCAAACTCTGGTGAAGACATGAAGGTAAAGCTCGCGCACGTCTTCTACAGGATCACATACCAGGCCTTGTGAGGTGCGTTGATAATGATGGATCATCTGCTGGGTCTGTCTGATGCTTTCTGCCCAGACAAGACGGTTGGTTCTGTCACTAAGAGTGGCGACTGTGGCCTTCCGGTGACGGGTCCAGTCATCGCCATCCGACGACACCAGACTGGCGCCTAGTACATCTAAGATTTCTGGAAGATCATTAGCGAAGAGTACCAAGACTTGCACCTGGGTTACATGTAAAACTTGCTGGCATAATGGCTTATTTTGGGGAAGTCGTTCGCCTGCTTCCGAAGTACCTGAATAGCCACGTCGGGATCGCGAGTGTGAATTTCAACCTCTCTTGGTGTAGCGTGAGCAAAAGTATCGCCATGCTTGTCGTGGACTTGAGAGTTGCCATGTGTGCGATCAACCCATGTCCAGTCAAGAGCATTGTATTTGGTTCATTCGCACAGGCTTAGAGGAAGGCGTTGTAGAACTGGTGCAATTCGCTTGCGAAAGATGATCCAGAGTGGGCTGAAGGGGCTAATGGGGCTCCAGACAACCGGAATACCAATGCTCTTGGCAATGATGATGTTTCGAATGAAACACAATGCTGTGTAAAGGGCGTAAAGCCCGAACAGACAAAGCGCAGCGAACCCGTTTGTCGCCATAGTCAGGTTTAACGTTCGGAATGCCCTCAAAATAACCCTTCGGCTGGTTTTCACAGCTTCTATGTCTACTGCTGGAGTGAAATCCTTAAGAATGGCTGGTTTACCACTCACATAACGTCGCAAGGATCAATCCGGGAGGCATCTTCGGAGGAGGCCCCTGCCCTCCCTTGCTTCCGTCGCCTGATAGTTCCGCTGCAGTCAGCAGGTATGTTGCATAACCGGAAGTCAAATATATCAAACTTTGTCTGCCTGCAACTCCATTCTACATTTTCCGAATTCTCAGCATGCCATCCTCCTCGAAGAGAAACATCCGTTTTGGCCTAGTCATGTACTGTTACACCGTGGACTCACAACTTGCCCCGCGCCCCGAGACGTTTGTCGAACTATGTTTCGATCACTTGTTCCGATAAGACGGTAGCATTCGGCATGACCAGGAATACTTCAGGCTTCTCGGGCTTTCAACACCGAATATCTCGGGGAGAAGGCCAAGTTTAGCACCCGATACTGTCCTGGCAGAGAGATCAACACTCACAGAAACCAAGAAGATTCCCTCCTCGGTATCGCTCTTCTGAATTGCAAATATTGGACTAACTGTTCTTCTAATTGCTAAGCTTACTTTCCACCCCTTCACAAGTTTGCTGCTTACAGTCATGGAGAAGCTCAGCAATACCATTGATGGCTTCGTTGGTTCACACACAGGATGGCTCGTCAGTGGGCTATTGGTTCTTGTCATCGTGCGAAGTATCGCTAAATCGATTGACGAGGAAAGGAGGATCACGCGTCATGGAGGGCACGCGTCGAAGTTCAAGTCATACGCACCGTCTGGTAAATCCCAATTTCTCATACTCATCTCATACATGGCAACTAACATCAAAGTAGGTGTACTGTCTGGCTTGCATTTTTTGTGGTCGATCACCACTCACGCCTTGCAGGACCAAAACCTCAAGTTCATGCACAATGCGTTGGTTCGATCAGGCCAAGGCAAGACGAATCCATATACATTTGAGGTCTCCTTGATGGGCTCACGCACAATCTTCACTGCCGACCCCGAGAACATTCGAGCCATGCTTGCAACTCAGTTCAACGACTTTGGAAAAGGCCAACGATTTAGAAGGGACTGGTTCGAACTCATGGGAAACAGCATCTTCAATATTGACGGCGATGCATGTCATACTTCTCGCCAGCGACTTCGGTCTCTCTTCACCCGCCAGCGGGTCAGTGACCTCGTCTGTTTTGAGCGCCATATTCAGGCCATGCTTCCGACGTTAGCTGGCGGTCACGCTGTGGACATGAAGGACATCTTGAGTAGGTTCGCGCTGGATGTCTCAGCAGACTTTTCCCTTGGAAGACAGGTGGATTCCCTGACAAGCAAACAAGACGACGCCGTTTTCGAAGCATTTGAGCGTATTCGCCACACTCAGTCCTTGATTGAGCGGCTAGGACCCTTGAATTTTCTTGTTCCGCGCCACAAATTCCGTCAAGACCTAGCGGCCTTGAATAGCTTCATGGAGCCCAGCATTGAGAAGGCAGTCTCAATGTCAGACGTGGAGCTGGCTGAGATTGACAAGACGGACCATGGATGAACACTTCTCCAACGCATGCGCTGGCGTCTCGTGGGACGTTCGGTATCTACGTGACGAGATGGTGTCGGTCTTGATCGCTGGCCGCGACACGACTGCGACCACAATGTCTTGAACATTCTATGAGCTCGCAAAAAATACTGACGTCCTGGCTGAACTTCGACGGGGGATTGAGAACACATTGGGCGTTGGTGCTGGAGCTCGATTACCGACGTACAACGACCTCAAGAGTATGACTTTCGTTACGCATGTGCTGAACGAGACTCTGAGATTGTATCCGAATGCGCCATTCAATATCAGAGCTGCTTTAAAAGATACCAGCTTGCCACGTTGAGGCGGACCAGATGGAAATGACCCCGTAGGACTCCCAGCGGGTACCCAGGTTATCTATTCTACACATATTCTTCAATTGCGAGATGATCTCAACTCGTACGAGTACCCACTGCAAGCCTTCAATCCTCGTCGATGGGAATCTTGGACACCTCGCCCCTGGACGTATATCCCGTTCAATGGGGGCCCGCGGATATGCATAGGGCAGCAGCTGGCCTTGACGGAGATGGCTTACGTCCTGGTTCGTGTATTTCAGCGTTACAAGAGCGTTGAAGTCAGACCGGAATTTCTGCCGACAGAAACGCAGTCAAAGGAAAGGGGATGGCTGAGAAGAGGCACAGAGGCCGACTCGGTGGAGGAGTTTGTGAGGTCGAGGCCACGGATGGCTAGTGAGATTACACTTGCTCCTCGAGGAAGTGTAGACCTGGTATTTATTGAGTAACGATTAATTGGCATTTATACTCAGAAGCAATAAGCAAAGGAAGCGTTGGTTTGGTCCTTAAGTAGTGGAACCTACAGTCCTCGGCTTTAACTGAAGGTAAGGAGGCAGTCACTGGCCTTGACTGCCCTTCACTCACACGAACTTTGATATGGCAAGCACTTGATAATATATCTTTGATGGTTAGAGAAAGTACTTTGGATGCCATGCTAGGGTGAAGAGGGCGGTACGTATCTGAAGCACCTACTTACCTGCCTGAAGTTTACCTGCCTCAAATCGAGGCAAGATGGCTTCGCTATGACGATGTGATTCCTTCCTTCTGCACAAGGAATGGAACATTTGGGAAGACTAAGGTGTTGTCTGCACCTTCTACCTTAGGTGACTAGAGGTGCCTTGTACCTTGGCGATGTCCCATCAGATGCCACCAAGATTGCCCACCAAGATTGCCCACCAACGTCCGAATTCTTCTCCAACATCATCATCACCATCCCATCCCATCCAGAACCTGTGTACCCATGCTTCTTTGAGCCCGAAGCATTCGCGCCATTTTGCTATTGCTCAAAACCATCATTCTCTGCAACCTTAAGGCATTCACTATTTCTTGAGAAGCTCGTCTTCCAACTCCACTTGCGACCGTCATACCGCCTGCTTGCCTGTCTATTGGAATCCCCAAGCCCATCTTAGAAGTCCACAGAGACGCTCAGCATGGGCCCGACCCACTACATCACCGCTTTGGCAGCGTTCGCATCCTTCGTAGCAACCTCGCCTGCACACAATTACCCAAAAGACTCCCGACTGTCGTTCACGCCTGCCGATTCTGCCCTCCGCCTTGTCAAAACATCTCCAGCTGATCCCGGATCATGGGTAACCGATGCGGGCAAAGATGAGCTGATCGAGAAGGGAATCCGTTTCTTCGATATCACAGACATCAAGGTACGCTTTCTTACATCGCATGCGTGTTTAAGTCCATCCATCGGATTGATTTGATTGACTTCTCAGAAGGATGGAGAAGTGCTCTCTATGCTGTCTACCCCTGATCACGACTACAGTCAATACCTCGACACGCTTGACTTGAACACCGACTTGGCAGATTGGACCCAGGGGGAACTTGGCGACCAATCTATGGCCGCCCCTGAGCAACCGATACCGTTCAACGCTGCACGCGCAATGCGTCACCTCAAGACAATGACTGAGTAGGGAAGACTCGCCATAATACTGCTCCGAGTTCTGACCAGGATCGTAGGTTTTGGAGTAGAGATCATCGAGCGGAAAACGGCACGAAAGCCGCCGATTGGATTCTCGAAAGTATTGAGAGGATTGTAGCCTTGGTCAACCCGCGCATTGAATCCGCAGCGTTCACACATAACGCCACCAAACAGCCCTCGATCATCGCCAAGCTGCCTGGAGCTACCTCTGACATTGGTGAGCCTGCCCATCATCGCCTAGATGGCTCTGCTAACGTCTCGACCAGTGGTTTTCGGCGCCCACTTTGACTCAACTTCAAAAAGTCCTAGTGGCTATGCTCCAGGAGCCGACGACAACGCTTCCGGAACGGTCGTGCTGCTTGAACTTCTTCGGGCCCTAGCAGAAGGGACACAACAGAGTGACGCAGAGCCTCGAAAGTTGCTTCGTAACACTATTGAGTTCCACTTCTATGCCGCAGAAGAAGCCGGCTTGCTTGGCTCGTCAGAACTCTTCTATGATTACAAGGTCAAGAATAAGACGGTGGTTGCCATGCTGAACCATGACATGTTGGGATTCTCTTCCACTGATAAGGTGTCTCTGGGTGGGGACAAGATTGACCCACGCCTCACACACGTCCTCCGAACCATTGCGAAGCAACGCGGCATTGCAACACTGAGCTTTTCATGCGGATACGCCTGTTCCGATCATGCAAGCGCCCACAACAACAAATATCGTGAGTGCAATGTTTTCTTCTCACTTGACTTGAACTGACAATGACTCCGTAGCTGCAGCCTTCATAACTGCCGATCGTGATCCAACGGGCAACGACAGAATTCACACTGATAAAGATGTCAGTTTCACCGATACTAGCTACGGTCTCTCCAAAATTCGAGTGCTAATCTTGAATGCAGACGTTGGAGACGATCGAGAAAGAAACACTTGAACGTCATTTCCGATTTGGTCTCGCGGCTCTTGAGGTTCTCTCGCACGCCAATGTTACGAAGTTGGGCAGACCAAGTGACGATCTAATGTAAACATCGGGGTCTGGCTAGGCGGAGGACGATGCAAAAGGCATGGACAGCGGCCGGCAAGCCATGCTACCCATTCATGAACCAAAAATATAATTACTAGCATGTTTTGATGGAATTCGCATTCCTCTATGACTTTCACCATTTGCCATCGTGAACTTGCGCACTTGTTGGCCTCTTCCTCGATGCTCCAGGGATTTGGAAATACTTCAAGCTCAACATTTATCACGCCAAGGTCTTTGATACCCCTCAGATGGCTGAAGCAAAGACTCCGGAAGGAGAGTTGACCTATTCCGTCACGTCCGGCGTTGAGTGCCCGGGCGGCTCCACTTTGACCGGGCGGCACTGTCTAACTGCTCGGCAGAGGCCATGATAGGTGGGTCGACCCGACGCTCAAAGCATATTACTCAGCATGCCCCCGAGCGGAGATGTACGAATATGGACAAGACATCAAAAGCCCGCTGAGGGGTTGTCATCCCTAGCCTTATCAACGACGATAGCCGGCCAGTAACGACCACAAAGGCAACGACATTTTGTCAAAAGATCAACAGAAACATGAGCAACCTCAAAGGCAAAGTCATTGCCATCACAGGTGCAGCATCAGGCATCGGCCTGGCGACAGCGAAGCACCTCGCCAACCTCGGCGCGCGGGTATCGATATCAGACGTCGACGAGCCCCTCCTCGCCGCAGCCGCGGCGGACCTCACGAAGCTCTACGGGGTAGAAAATGTCTACTCGCGAGTCGTGGACGTGAGGGACCGCAAGGTAGTGGAGGCATGGATCGCGGAAACGGTAGAGAAGCTCGGACCTTTGGACGGGGCGGCCAATGTCGCTGGCGTGCTTGGGCGGCAGGGCAACACGGCGACGGTGACGCAGATTGAGGATGATGAGTGGGATTTCGTGATGGGGGTTAATGCGAGGGGGATCTTGAATGCCATGAGGGCTGAGATTCCTGCGTTGGCGGAGGAGGGGAAGGGGAAGAGTATTGTTAATGTGTCGAGCGTGGCGGGGCATTATGGGTTGGAGTATCATGGGGCGTATACGGCCAGTAAGCATGCTGTTGTTGGCTTGACCAAGAGTGCGGCGAGGGAGTTTGGGAGGAAGGGATTGAGGATCAATGCTATTTGCCCGTAAGTTGCCTTTGTCTGCATCACAAGGAGATGAGGCTCACGAACATCGCAGCGGTGCTATTGATACGCCCATCTTACGGACGGCACTGGCGGCCAAGACCACGGAGACCGGGGCGGATGTGTTTGAGCCGCTTCTGGGGAGGGTTGGACAGCCTGAAGAGGTGGCGACGACGATTGCTTTCTTGTTGGGCGATGAGTCTTCCTATGTCACGGGGCAGGCATGGCTGGTTGATGGAGGTTCAATTCCTTGATGGAGCTTGTGCAACTGCAGTTGAGGGTGAGAATTCGGGATGAGGGAGGACGGAGGATGGACACTAACTTGTGGATGGATTACGGCGCGGAAGATGAGATCGGTCGGGTCGTAGTCAGGGTCACCGGAGAGTAAGGTAATCCGGCATTGGAGAGATGAGACGTGGAATACTACTTGCTCATTGGAAAACTATCTTTGGGTGCTGACTGTGCTGCTGTCTCGGAGTATTTGGAATTTTCGACAGCAATTGGTGCGTTGTCGCAGCGAAGGATGCAAAGGATTCGAGCGTTGCTACCTCTTTTCCCGAGAGTGGAGGAGCAGCTACCGTGCTACCATACCTTGGTTGGTAGGTAACAGAAGAAATCCTAGATGCTACGCCGGCAGCTGTGCGTACATGCAGTGAGAATTTTCTGGAACGATGGAACCGGGAGGTGTGATCGTGGGTGAAATTACGACCAGGCGTCGAGGCAGAAAATTGTCTGCCGCGCCATCAGAACCTGCACGCAGAGGTACCGTGGGCACACGGCCGATGGCCTTGGATGTTAGGACTGAATGACGGAAGAACACTTCACCAAGAAAGCGACGGTTTATGAAGATTGTGAGATAATCTCGTGAATTGTTTCACGGAATGACTGATAGTAAATCTAGCAAGCGAGTGCCAAGTTGGTATCAAAGCAGATATGAACAAGAGTATTATAGATGATAACCGCCTTCCCCTTTTCCAGCCGTCGAAATATCCTCCGACGGTCAAGCGAAATCTTTAAATGATGGGTAATTACACAGCCTGATTGTCCAAAGACTTAGACAGTCTTCTCGGGCAATGAGCTGTGGGCGGAGCTGCCAGGGGCACCGTCGTGGCTGCTGCTGGGAACAATGTCTGAGACATGGCGGGTGACTTCGACGTAGTCGTAGGCGAACTCGCCGAGCTGGCAGTCATCAATGCCGAGGTCCTCATCATCGACGCTGACACGCAGGCTGAGGCCGGGGATCAGGTTCATCAGGAAGAGGATGAGGCAGGTCAAGGTGAAGGACCAGGCGAAACCGGCGACGGAGCCGGCCAGCTGGTAGCCGAGCTGGACGTAGTGGTGCTCGATCCAACCACCGGCGATCGCGGATTCACCAGTGTAGGCGCCATCGAGGGCAGCAATGTAGGAGCTAGATCATGTTAGAATGAGGATCCGCGAGTAAAAGTCACAGGGTACAAGACTTACGCAGCGAAGATACCGGTCAAGACGTTACCGGTAATACCACCGATTCCGTGGACCGCAAAGATATCGAGACCGTCGTCAATTCCAAGGACGAACTTGAGCTTGGTGCCAAAATTGCAGGCGATAGCACCGACAATACCGAAAATGACAGCAGCCCAGGGGGTAACGAAACCAGCACCAGGGGTGATGGCAACTAGACCAGCAATGGCGCCAGAGCAGAAAGCAATGGTGGACCACTTCTTCTCCAGACGGTAGTCGAGGAGCATCCAGGTGACACCACCGACACCGGCAGCAAGGTTGGTGTTGAAGCAGGCCATGACAGCACGAATGTTGGAGGCGAGAGCGGAACCACCGTTGAAACCGAACCAACCGACCCAGAGGAACACGGTTCCGAGAACGACGTGGGTGACGTTGTGGGGGCGGTAAGGGAGTCCGTGGACACTGTTGTAACCGGTGCGCTTACCCAGCATCAATGAGTAGGCAAGGGCGGCAGCACCAGAGGAGATGTGGACGGGCGTACCACCGGCAAAGTCGTATGAGCCGAGGATGAACAGCCAGCCATTGCCGTTCCAGGTCCAGTAAGCAATGGGGTCGTAGACAACGGTGGCCCAGACGAAAGCGAAGACCATGGCGGGGAGGATGCGACCGCGGTCAGCAATAGCGCCGAGAGCAAGGGCGGGACTGTAGAGTGGTTAGATCATGTCATTGAGGTCACAGACTTCGCGCCAGACCAGAGTGAACTCACGTAATGGCGGCGAACATGCCCTGGTACAGACAAAAGAGAATATCAGGCAGCTTGGTGGAGCCGACAGAGGGTTGAGCGACGACATCCTTGAGACCAAAGTTCGACATGTCGCCGAGAAAGACGGAGCCGGTGTGAGAAAAGGTCAAAGTATAACCCCAGAAGAACCATTGGAATCCAACCACGCCCACACAAATCATCGAGATCAATATCAAGGACAGCGCGGACTTGCGACGGGCGAGACCCGAGTAGAAGAAACCGACACCGGGAATCATGAGCAGCACGAGTGCCGAGCAGACCATAATCCAGGCCAGATCGCCAGACTATACCACTATGTTAGAGAACATGTATGAGGTAGTCGAGGATCACGACGGCATCGCGTAAGCTCACCTCATAGAAGACGTTGAGGTCGGCAACACCGGCAGAGTAGCCGGCGTCGGCCTCGCCCTCGGTGCCATTGTAGGGGATGGCGTAGAGACCGGCAGACATGTTGACGGTTGCGGCCGGCGCGTGAGCGGTCAATGGGTAGTGATTTCGGTGCGCGGTATCCGGACGGGTCCTCGGGAATCCTCAACGTTTGCCAGCCTCGAGATCGGCGAACAGACGTCGAAGCAGGAGGAATGCGTGAAGAAGGCTACAGGGAAGCGAGGGAACGAAGGAAGGGGGGAAAAGACACAACGTTGAAGTCTACTCCGGGGATGGACAGGCTAAATAATCCAAAAGCAACATTGAGAAAAGCAAAACCGGGGCGTTGCCTTCGGCCCCTCGTCGTGAGCCGGCCGATATTTGAGCCTGCGAGTGCGGATAGAAAGTACACTATGTACGGAGCACGCTGCCACAATGCTGCAGTATCTTTGGATGGATCCGAACAGGGCAGGGATGAGCAGCCCAGACCGATGGCGCGGGTAAGATGGAGGATGGTATGTCAGTAAGTTGGGACGGGGAGGTCGTTCATTGACCAGTCCTCTATGCCGGGCAACACCATTAGTGCAGGGCCAAGGGTGGGGAGTAAAGCATAAAAAAGGGCGTGAGAGGGTGTCTAGCTGCAGCAGAAGAGGGCTGTATCTTGAGACCGACTTCCAAATCCCCCTCTGTCTCCGGGAAGACAAGTCGAGCATGTTCCTCTACTGGCGTAGCTGCATGGTGGTGGTACGAGAACGCCCTCATCGCGAGAGCTTCATGCAAACACCGTCGGTGAAATTCGTACATGTACTTGGACCACATGCTTCGAGAACCCTTGTTGCCCTTTTCCCCATCCCATGTCGTCCAGCATCGTGTGGGCCTTCGGAAGCTGTGGGTACTGATAAGGAATTGGAGACTGGCCGGGGTTTGTCGAAGGAAGATGACAAGGATGTCTAGGGTCGGGGGGTTCGGCTCAAGGCTAAGTGAAGCCATTTGAGGGAGCCATGTCTCTTGGCAGACCTGGTCGCTAGCGTACCGTAGACGTTTCTTCGTCCGCCGGGCTAGCTTTCGTACACCATTCGTACCCTCCAGAGTCTGTCACGCTGTGTATCTGGCTTTTGAGACTGAGACTTCGGATTCTGGACGTGGAGAATGTCAAAAATCGAGCAGATGAAATAGAGTGCCATGCCAAGAGATGGCTTGAGCTTTGCTGATCCCGCCCCGTGCCCACGTCTAGAGACAATCGAATCTCAACATGCTGTGTTCGCCAGCAA